ATATAAGTTTCTAGTATTTTATAACTAGTCTAAATACTAGCTATTAAATTCTAATTAAATTACTAAAAATTAAATATAATTTTCTTTGCCAAGAAAAAAACTCGCTAAGCTTATAGCTAGCTTAAAATACAACGTTTTAAATTTATTTTTAAAAAAAACTAACTAAACCTTATATTTTAGTATATATAAGTTAGTCCTATATTAATAATTATATATTACTTATATAATATAAAAGGTTCTAAATACTTTAAAGTTTTTTTTAAAAATATTAAACTTGCGACATTGGCGACATTGGCGACACTGGCGAACTAGGCGAAAATATTTAAAAAAGTCAGCGTGGAGCGACTTTGGCGAATCTCCTATTCGCGCTACTAGCCTACTACCAGCTGCTACCTAGGCGAAAATATATAAGTTGAATTTTCCTAACGCACACAGGCGAGTTAGTCGCCTAGTTAAGTTAGTTACGATGCTAAGACCTTACTAAAATTAGTACTATGCACGATAGTACAGCACTGTAAAAGACTATAGCAGTAAATTGTAATAAGCTAATTTATTTAAAAACTACTTCTACTTTTTACTTATATATTTGCGCGTTATGCCTAGCCTTACTACAGTATTTATAGCGCCTTTAAGAGGGCTTACCCGCCTTAGTATATGCCTACTTCTTTGCCTTCTTCCTATTACTACGCGCCCTAAACTTTTTTAAAATTATTAGTTAAAAACTATCTTTTACTGTAAAGGTCCTTTTTTTCTATATTTACTTTTTTTTATGCAATTTTTATTGCGTAGCAGCTTTATTAGCTGCTTAAAGCTTAGCAATTTCTTTCTACGCTAATACAAGCTTGTGCGCGACTATAGCTGTACTTTTTAAAACTTTTTTAAAAGCTTTAATTATTAAAGTAGGGGAACTATTTAGGTGCTTTTAAATTCTTATTTTAACTAGCGTTAACTAAAACCTAAATTTTAAAGTATTACTTAGTGTTTTTAACTCTTAAGGACCGTCTTTAACAGTAGGTAGTAGTAAAATACATAACTAAATATTAAGCTTTAATATTATAGCTTTAGGGTTAAAAAGAACTAGACTAGCGCCTTTAAAGCTACTTAAGATATTGCTCTTTGTAATAGCAGCATTAAAAGCTAGTTTAAAGCATAGTAAAAACTTAATTTTAGTAATATAGTTAATACTGTTGCGCATTAGCTTTTTAGCTTAGTACTTATATACTTTTTTTAAAAGCGCAAAACAACCTATATTAAGTAGCTGTAGCAGGTGCGACAAATACAGGGGCATATAAAAAGTAATAATTTTTTATTTTTTGCAGTACTGCTAGAATTAAACTAATGCGTAGCTTTTATAACTGTTAATAACAAGCAGACGATAGGTACTAATAACCTTTCCCTTAGTATACTTATTAAAGTGCTTTAACTACTTAAAAGTAAGCTTATTTATTGTTTAGCCGTTTTTAGAAACTATAATAATTTAATTATAGGGCAGGCTATCCTCTTTGTACTAGGCTAAGAGGTAGTTCTTGCCTGCAAAAATAATAAAAGGTAAAATAGCCTACCCTATTATATTAATGCTTTAGATTACTATTATTTACTTTTAATTACCCTACTGCACTATCTTCAGCCGTCCTTAATAGTTAGCACTTAAAACAATAGTTCTATGTAATATCTAGCCTATTATAAAGCCTATTTTGTTAAAGTTGTATATATTTTTATTTTAAATACTATATTTAGCCTTTATATTTTTTATAAGTTAGAACTAGCCTTATATAAGCTTAGGATCTTTATATAGGGCTTTTTAGTAGTTGTACTTTTAAAAAGTCCTAGTACTAAGCTATAGATGTTGTCTAATAAACGTGCTAGCCTAGTTCCTACTAATAAGTAGTTGCCTACATTTAGCTAGCAAAATATTAGCTATATTGTTTATAGCAGCTAGTTAGGGCGGAAATCCTTAGTCCTTAAAGTAGAGTATATACTAGGCAATTACCTTTTCTTCTATTAAAAAAAGCCTTATCTTATTAGGCCTAGTATTGTGTCGTAGAAGCTTTCCTTTTAGTTAATTACTAAGTATTATTTAAGAGATGCTGTAGATCCGCGCAGCTTTTTATTAGAAAAAATTCGCGTTGCGTTTTAAAGCCTAAACTGCAAGCTGTATTTAGTTTTTTTTTTAAAAAAATTGCACGTTGTTATGTTAAGGCATTGCGTTTAATAGTAGAAGACTACTAATTTTAGTAGGGTCTTAGCATTGTAACCGACTCGACCAGGCAACCGACTTGCCTGTGTAATACGTTATTGCATTTTAAAGCCTAAATTATAAACTATATTTAATTTTTTTTTTTAAAAAAATTGCATATTATTATATTAAAATATTGTATTTAATAGTAAAAGACTACTAATTTTAGTAAGGTTTTAGCATTGTAACTAACTTAACCGGGCGACCGACTTGCCCGTATAATACGTTACTAGCTTAAGGAGCCTACTCTTTGTGTAATGTCTATTCGCGATATATTAAAAAGTAAAAATAGAAGAAATTCCAAGGTACCTCTATTGCGAGGCTCAAAATACTTTCACAGAGCCAACGATAGCTCAGCCAGGGAGTAGGCGCTTGGAAGATCCCCTATAGGTAACAGCACGCGCCCACACATGACAAGAAGTTGGGCAAGAAACAACCACACAACGAAATACATTTCATGAAATCAACGGGTTGGTATTCTATGCGCAACCAAAAGGATGCGATGGAAGATACATGTAACAATCCATCACCGAATCGTGACAGGTTTGATGCTCGGACGGAACTGGTACGGTTCGCGTGGCGCTAGCGGATCTCTTCGCAACGACCGGCGTAGCCCAGAGCCATTCTCTCTTCCTTCTTTCTCAACATCCATACCTTTGTCACACTCCCCGGTGTTATTCTCCTTATCTTCGTCGGCGCAGGCCTTCCTCTTTCGACCGCTTGAACGAGTCGAAGCGCGGCGCTCGTTGTGCTCCGTATTGAGGTCCTCACCGTTAGGATCACTCAGCTCAACCACATCGGTGTTCCGTTCAGCTTGTGCTGCTCGTGGTGTCTTCCGTGTTTTGGCAGGAGTCTTGTTGGTCGTATTGTCTTTCTCGAATTCATCCTCAAGAATCTCAACCTCTTCCTGTGCCTTTCTCTTATTCTTTCCTTTCTTACCTGTCTGCAGCTGACCCTTGGGGCTTGCTTTTTGTGCCTTCCTTTGACCCGGTTGCTTGGACATCTCATCAACCTCGTTATTCTCATCTGGTCTCGACGCAGTCTTCGACCTCGTAGCTCGAGTTTCCTTGGTCTTGGACGCTGTCGTATTTGATTTCGCTGAATCGTCTGTGGGGTGTTTTTTTTATGGACCCCGTATTCTTGCTTGCGATGCAACTTCCTGGAAAAGTACCTTTCGCTGAAGATACAGACTGCCTGAAGTCCGAATCAGGCTCGGGAATAGGGATTCGCAGGTTGCTAGGTGAAATGTCCCAATCGCTATCATATTCGAATGGGTTCTCACCAAACTCATCCTCAGAGAAGTTGATTGGTGAAAGTCGTCCATACTCCAGAGATTCCTGTCGTGCGGGCGATGCAGACGCCATGGATGTTGAATTGTTTTGTAACAACGACGACGGAGGTACTACTAGGCGAGGTGATTTGGTAGGGCGTTCTGTATTTTTCGGATTCTGCTGTTGTCATGAAGGCTCGGCGCGTTGGCGTTTGAATTGCGTGTTGTTCCCCGTATCGGACTTCGGTTTGTTTCCCCCGCGCTTGTTACCCTGCTTTTTCTCTGCGGTACGCATCAACTCAAGCAGCCGCAGGAAATCTGGACCTTTTTCCTTGGCTTTAGCGATTTGTTCCAGCATTCTCACTATGCGATGGTCTTTGCACTTATGGTTCTGGGAAGTTCTGTGGTCTGTTGCCTTACACACGGCGCAGTGTTTCACGTCCGTCCCTTTCACGGGACAGTCGTCCGTGTCGTGATCTGCTCCGCAATTCCAGCAGCACCGGGGGTTATCACATCTCTTAGAGATGTGGAACGGTAACCCGCATTTATAGCATTGACACGATTCGAACTTGAGTGACCATGGCTTGATATTGTACTCTTCGCCATCGAATCGCATCAATCTTTGCTGCTCAACTTTATCCACGTCGGAAAGACTGGGAATATTGATAAGCAATCGCTGGGGGCCGGGACGGTATGAATGAACTCGTATATTCATTTCCGCGTAATTGAACTGAAAGGCCTCGTTAAAGGATTTATAACCTCATCCTTGCTCAGGCCTTTGATCCAACTTTTCCCTTTTAGGTCAAGGGCGAAGATATGTAACGGCCGTAGATAAGTGCTAAAGCTCGTTTTGGGGTCGAAGTGAAGATCTGCAGGAAATCCGTACTGCTGAATAAAGTTCGCCAACTTCCTAGCGCCCTCAGGAAAGTCCGTCGTGATCCATAATTTATCCTTGTGGAAGTGAAATGGTTTTGCGAGATACCACTGGCCTCCCGCGTTCTGGCAGTTCCGACTGTTGTTCATAGAGAACGCTCATGTTGAACTCCTTAAGGACAGTAAGCCAGCGTATCTCGCGATTAGGCTCATTTGCGAGTAAAAGGAGGACTTGTTGTACTCTATTAAAGTCTTCAGGAAGTCGTGCTTCTTGAGTAAGTAGCTTATACTTAAATCTAGATTTATAGCTAATTATAATAGGTTTCGTACGCGCCAGTCGCCGCGAAGCTTGTCCGAATGAATGTTGGCATTGGTTTGTACCCCACGATTACTTAATTGATCTGCACTATAACTAACAAAGCTAAGCAGTTGAAGTTGATGAGGGCGCCTTCATGGGTACTTATACCCAGGTAAGTTTCTCTAAGCATGCCTGTTCCACAACCAGCAACTAACCCTTTCAGCGCAGCTCTAGGCAGCAGCATCGTGCGTTAGTACATATTCTTTATAGCTATGTATTCTACACTAACTTGTTTGCCAGGTTCGAATTCGGTTGAGACTATTGATTTAGCTCTAGTGGTTGAGTCCCGGTAGATCACTTCCAGTGTTTAGTTCCGTGGTTCAGGTTGCAACACCGCCCATACGATTTGACCGAGAGATCTGGCGAGCTTTAAACAATCTCCTTCTCATACATGCTTCCGCAGGCTTTTGCGGGCACTTTCGGGTGCGGTCCTCGAAGCCGTACTTTCAGCCCGTACTTGGCGAGGGCTACGAACCTGTTTGCAATTTACTTGCTAAGCAGAGCCAATAGTAAGACGCATGCATGCGGTAAGTTTTTTGTCCCTCAGTTTCGTTTCCTTGGGATATGAGTCTACTGAAAATACAGGCGCGACGCAGAGCGATCCCGAGTACGAAGGGGAAGGAGAGAGGGAGAGGGAGAGGGAGAGGGAAATGGAGAGGGAGATGGAGATGGAGATGGAGATGGAGAGGCAGGAAGGCAGGAGGGGGGGCTGTTATGCGTTCGATATCGTTGTTTAACCATCCCATCCATTTCCTGTATTCCTGTAAAGTTGACGCATCGTGAATTGAGTCTTGAGTCGTCGACAACATTGGCTCCCATGTCATGATTCTGTCCGATGTTGTAGCCTCTTCTTTTTCAACAGTGTCCAGTGTCAAGTTTCCTCCAACTGATACATGTCGTGCCTGAATTTTGAATGGACATACTCCGTAGCTTTGCTGAGATCTCCGAACTCTTACAAGTCTTCGACGACCCTAGTAATTTTGTATCTTTCTACTAGTGCGTGAGCACTTCCTCCAGGTAAAGCAATCTTTCGTTCCATCAGCGCTTTCCATTCCATATGCCAATCGCTGGCAGACCAATAGGCGCGCTGCGGAAGAATCTGGCTTAGATCCCACCGATCTCCAGCAAATCCATTGAACCTAATGAGTCGCGAGGAACCTCCTATCATAGCCTTTACTGAATACGTGAACTGACGGGGGACATGACAAGGTAGCGGAAACAACACCCGCTGGAAGTCGACATGAGTACCATGCGAAGGAGTTCCTACGCCTCTTTGATTGTAGTATTCGTGCATGGCCTCTCCCAGCATTGCAGCCTCGTGAGCTAGCGACCATATCTCCGAGATATCATGTCCTAGAGCAAGTGTAAAGGACTTTGCGAGCAAACTACTTTCAGCATCCCTAACCTCTGTGATCCACTGAACTAGGGAAAACAGGATATCTTCGAAGCGTGTGGCGGTTTGTATAAGCCCTTCCTCTTTTTCAGCTATCAGATGGTATAATATGCCATTCCAGCCAGGAGGATATAGCGTAGTCCATAAACCAACATGTCGCTCGATGCGCAGGCCTTTATAAGCGCCTAGGTGTGGAATGAGTCCACGTGCATGGTGTTCCGGATTTGAGACAGATTTGAAGACTTCCTCCAGGATGACATTCCGCATATGGAAGGTCTCGGAGGGGTGCTGACTGAAGAAGCTGATTGCAATAGCTGTCGCACTAAAGAACCACTTGCACATATTGTTATCTTCCGAAAAGCACGACCCGTAGATATGGTTCAAGGGTTCCTCGGTCAGTAAATTTTCCAGAGAGAGAAGTTCGGTGATAGTAGGAATTGCCCATGCGCAAGGTTGCCAGGTTAGGACTGATTTAAAGGCATCGTGTAGGAAGAATGTTGACCACGCCCGCGTATTGTTCGTTGTACGATCGAAAGCCAGCGAAGCTAGGCGGTCAAAATCCGCGTGAACAGAGGCCAACTCTAGCAGATGTTTCAATGCCTGACGGTGTTCGACTGAAAAGTCAATGCCTCCAACCATAGCCAGTTCGCATATTAGGCCAGTCCCATCCATATAATCCACCCTTCGTCTCCCATCTTGCACTGCCTTCAACGCATCTACGAAATATTGACCACTCTCACCACAAGTGATTACAAGGCTTTGCAAAACTTGCGGTGTGACACAGGGCGCAGCGTATATAAGCATCTGGAGCCTCGTAGTTGTTACGCGAGCTTGGAGCATATTGTATCGACCAGCTCGCGATCGAAGCCCATAGTAACCCAGCTCGTCCTCAATATCCCCCGTCTGAAATGTAACCGTGTTTGTGCGAAGGGCGGCGCCCTTCATCTCTGCTGCAACGGCTCTGCAGGTATACATGAGACGCAGGTCGATAGGTTGCCGGTCGGCCAGATATAGCTTCCCTGTATCAATTTGGTGGAAGTACCCATTTTCTTCGAAAGTGTAGTGCGCGTAGATTTCGTCGCGGAGCTCTCGAGGAAGGCGGAAGAGCGGCGATTGGAGTTGTGCAGCGTAGGGATCTGTACGGGGGTTTGGTGACATCTTGGTTTCTGATGTGGTCTTGCAAAAAGTTTTTTGGAGACTAGAACAATGAGGGGAGGTTGCTGTGGTTAAGTAGTCTGTTGGTTGCTGGAGGCAGCAACCCATCACGTGATTTAAACGCGCTTCCACGGTTGTGGGTCTGATGCCTAAGCCCAACGGCGCGTTGTTGGGCTGGTACACTATCATAACCATGGCTGCCTCTCTCTCGCCGTGGATATAGTCAGTGAGACGTGTCTGAGATGACATTGGTTGGAAATGTCTTCACAACGAGTGGATGGCACTCCTTCTCTCGTAGAACAACGTAAGGAAGCCGTTTGTGGGCCTCTCTTAACTGCTCGAGGCTATTTAGGCTACCGTGACTAAGTAACAATGCTCGGCAAACGACGGAACCGAGTCAGCTCATTGGGTTAAGATCTGTTAACATGGTTGAGTGTGGACAGACGGACCTATCCTGGAAACTTGAAGTACTCCTATAGACTGACGATAGCTTAACAGGTAGTCTCTAGAACATAGGCGCTTCTTAAACCGTGGTGGTCCAGTTCTTAGCATGTCTTACTATCCTTAGCTCTGGGAAGACAACTGAGTGTAGTCACCATGGATAATGCTATTACTCTGTCTCCGAGCGCGACAACAGATGGCCAGGTCATGGACATGGGCTCGTCTGGTCACACTGCTATCTTATTAGTGATCGCTGCGACTGCGACTGCGACTGCGACTGCGACAGTGTAGGCTGGCTCATGATCCACAGGCCTGATAGCGCATTCCAGAGACGGAGCAGCGGTCGAGCGGGCTCATTGTGGGCGGCATCGCACTCTCGACATGGCATGGCAAGCCCACGATCAGCACTTGGACAGGCAAGCCGGACAAGCCTGTACAGGCCGTGGTTTCAGAAGGTGGTGCAAGCGCAGAGGGTGAGAGGAGAGGCATGGTGATGGATGGATGGATGGATGGATGGATGGAAATAAGGCTGGGGCCGTCACATCATGTTACACACCAGTCCAACCACTGTACCCAATCAGGCCAGGATTGCTGTGTGGCATGCTAATCACCTGGCGTCCACAAAGATAGCAAAATAATCATAAGCATAATCATAATAATCGAAGCTCGAGGACGACGACGTGTTTCATACTCGTATATCATCTGCACATGCGCCACAGGTCGGTGTTTTTTTGCTAGTTGCACCCCCGCCTGCTTCCCATTTCCCCCCCACCCCACCACGACCGCCTGGAGGCCTAGAGGGTCCGTCATCGCCCTCTACCTACCTACGTCTACACTGAACACGCCCTCAGGCCTCACCCCCCAATCCGACATCTCCCATCTCCCATCCCCACCGCGTCCGCCCACAGGCAGCGGCCCTCTAGCCTTTGCCGCTAGACAGTGCTGCACGATCCGGGAGAGTGTGGGGCGCTTCCGCTCAGCCACCTTCATGCGCAGAGCTAAATCGCATTTCACCCACTAGGTTTTGACGCCATCACGCTCCTCGCACGACTCGGCCAGCTGCCGTCATTGCTACCAGCACACACGCCCTATTCTTCCCTCGAGCACGCGTTGACGAGAAACGCCCTCCGCGTACAGAGTTCCCCTGCTCGCACCGTGCCCGTTTGGGCGTCGACCCATCCACGACGCAGCCTCGAAACGCTGCCACATATATATATACGCCTTCTCGGCAGACCGTGCTAGACCACAGTCACCATGGCCAGCGTCGACGAGACCGTTGCCAATGTGCAGCGCAAGATTGACCGGGAGAAGGCCCTGATCAACGCCGCCAATGCCATGCGCCAGTCGACTAACAATCCCGCCGTGCTCTCGCGCTTGGACGGCCAGATCAAGGATGGCCGCCGCAACATCGAGTACTTCGAGTCGAAGCTCAGAGACTTGGACTTGCAGCGCACATCGTCTGGCATGGACAACATGAGCTTGCAGCCAGGGGCGCGCAAGGCGAACAACCCGCTGACGCCTCCCCCCAAAGACGGCTGGAATGAATATATGCAACAAGATCAGGGCGGCTATGGCGCGCCCCAGAGCCAGTACAGCAACCTCAGCGGGGGGGACGGCTTGATGCCTCCACGCGCGCCATATGCTCAACCAGCGCCTGGCACGGCCAACAAGCGTCCAAATTTCAGCAAGCTCGGTACGTCACTGCACTCTTGGTATCATGTACAACTGCTGACATGGTGCAGACCTTATCAAATATGATACCCCGCATCTCGGCCCCCGCATCCAGCTTATGCTGTCCCAGCTCGAGTTCAAGCTCAGCGTCGAGAAGCAGTACAAGGATGGGATTGAGAAGATGGTGCGGCTATACCAGATGGAGGGTGACCGCAAGAGCAAGCAGGATGCAGAGGCCAAGCGCATTGAGAGTAACCAGAAGATCCAGCTGTTGAAGCATTCGCTGAAGCGCTACGAGGATCTTCATGTTGACATTGGAGAGGACGGAGGCGATGGTAAGCTAGCCTTGCTCCATTTCCCCGCCAATACTGACTGTGATTGTAGATGATAGTCTGAACATACCCAGTCAGAGGAAACCGCTGAGCGGCCACCTTTCGCTGCGCATCCACTCAGTTGCCGACGTCGACCACGCAGCCACTGGTAGATTCAGTCGCGGCCCGGAGACTTTTGTCAACATCAAGGTCGAGGACACGATCAAAGGCCGCACCAAACCAACGAGGAATGATCGCTGGACGGACGAATCGCACGAATTCAGCATCGACAAGGCCAACGAAATCGAGATCACGGTATACGATAAGACTGGTGATCATCTGCTCCCCATCGGCATGCTTTGGGTTCGTATATCAGACATTGCCGAGGAGATGCGCCGAAAGAAGATCGAAACTGAGCTCCAGAACTCCGGATGGGTGTCAGCTGACAAGATGGGAGGCCAGGCCGGTGGTATCCAGCCTGACCTCCAATTCCAACCGCCCCCTGGACAGGGCTTTGCCGGAGCTGGAGGTCCTGCGCCTGGTGGTATGAGACCTCAGGGTGGTCCACAGCCTCAGACAGGCCCTGTCCTGATTGACGATTGGTTCTCCCTGGAGCCAGTTGGCCGAATCCACCTTACCCTGTCTTTCGCAAAATTCACGGGAAACAAACAGCCATTCGACCTTGGTCTTGGTCGAAAAGGTGCCGTTCGTCAACGTAAAGAGGATGTCGTGGAGCAGTACGGACACAAGTTTGTGCAACAGCAGTTCTACAACGTCATGCGCTGCGCTCTCTGCGGCGAATTCCTCAAGTACGCTGCCGGTATGCAGTGTTCTGACTGCAATTACACATGTCACAAGAAGTGCTACCCCAAGGTGGTAACCAAATGTATCACGCAGTCAAATGCCGAAACCGATCCGGACGAAGCGAAGCTCAATCACCGCATTCCGCATCGATTCGAGAACTTCTCCAACATGGGCGCCAATTGGTGTTGTCATTGTGGCTATATACTTCCCTTTGGTCGGAAGCAAACCAAAAAATGCACAGGTAAGTGGTTCTCTCGACCTAGATGCCGAGTTCGCTAACACTGTCTTAGAATGCAGTCTCACATGTCACGCTCACTGTGTTCATTTTGTCCCAGACTTCTGTGGCATGTCAATGGAGGTGGCTAATCAGATATTGATGGAAATTAAGCGGACAAGAAGAGGACAGTCTGCATCAGGGTCAGGCATGGCCCAACGCACCCTACGGCCACAGTCAGCTAAGCCTCTACCGCCGACACAGTCCCCGTATCCAGCCCAGCCTGGCCAGGAACAGCAATCGCAACCAGACCGATACTCTTATGGTAAAGACCAAATGAGTCCTCCACCTGGGCCGCCACGCCAACCCTCGTACCCCACATCAGCAGCATCAGTCGATGCGGCGCGCGTCTCCTATTCGACGTCAAGCTCAACCCCTGCTCCGACATCTCCCACGGCCCAGTCGAGACCCTCTTCAGGCCCACGGACTCAGTCTTCCGTAGCTGCTGCGCAGGCTGCCATGAATAAGACCGCCACTCCTACGTATGGACGCAGTAATACAGACTACCAACCCCAGAGTGGGAGGTCATCTGGGAGTGGCTACCCAGCAGATCAACGGATACCACAGCAGCAAGCTCCTCAGCAAGCTCCTCAACAAGCTCCGTATGACCCTGGGGCTTATGCAAATATCCCAAGTTACCCGCAAAGCCACCCAAGTCATCAGCAGCCGGCACCCATGCCGTCGTATCCCCAAAAGTCATCCTACCCTCTACCGCAACCACCACCGCAAGCTCAGCCGCAGCACCAATCGCAATCGCTTTCTCAACAACCGGAGACAAAGCAACAGCAGCCCCCCTTAAAACAGCCTCCATCTGGTACTGTAATCAAAGCCCCCGATAACAAGGTTACTCCTCCGGCGAACACCCAAGGTACAGGAAAGAGAATCGGCTTGGATCATTTCAACTTCCTTGCAGTCCTCGGCAAGGGTAACTTTGGAAAGGTCATGCTGGCTGAGACAAAAAGTACGAAGCAGCTCTATGCCATCAAGGTGCTGAAGAAAGAATTCATTATCGAGAATGACGAAGTGGAGAGCACGCGTTCGGAGAAGAGGGTTTTCTTGATTGCGAACAAGGAGAGACATCCATTCCTTCTCAGCTTGCATGCTTGTTTCCAGACCGAGACCAGAGTATACTTTGTCATGGAGTACATTAGTGGTGGTGACTTGATGTTGCACATTCAAAGGGGTCAATTTGGCACCAAGCGTGCTCAGTAAGTCCGTCATGCACCTACTGGGATTCAGGACTAACGTCGGTTTAGGTTTTATGCTGCAGAGGTTTGTCTCGCGCTGAAGTACTTCCACGAGAACGGTGTCATCTATCGAGATTTGAAGCTTGACAATATTCTGCTTACCCTTGATGGGCATATCAAGATTGCGGATTACGGTTTGTGCAAGGAAGAAATGTGGTATGGGTCAACGACAAGCACATTCTGTGGTACGCCCGAATTCATGGCACCAGAGGTAAGCTTATTAACGTGTGGATGAAGAAGAGTGCATGCTGACGCTAATCCTACAGATCCTTCTCGACAAGAAGTATGGCCGTGCCGTCGATTGGTGGGCATTTGGTGTCCTCATCTACCAGATGCTCTTGCAACAGTCACCGTTCCGCGGTGAAGATGAGGACGAGATCTACGACGCTATTCTCGCCGATGAGCCTCTCTACCCCATCCACATGCCCCGCGACTCCGTGTCAATCCTCCAGAAGCTACTGACCCGTGAGCCCGAAATGCGTCTCGGTTCAGGTCCCACTGATGCGCAAGAGATCATGTCCCACGCATTCTTTAGGAACATTAACTGGGACGATATCTATAACAAGAGGGTTCCGGCGCCTTTCATTCCGCAGATCACTAGTCCGACGGATACTAGCAATTTCGATACGGAATTCACGAGCGTGACGCCGGTTCTTACGCCTGTGCAATCCGGTAAGTGTTGCTGGGGATCCACCTCTTGTACCAGTTTACTAACAACCCGCGCAGTACTCTCCCAAGCGATGCAAGAAGAGTTCCGCGGCTTCTCTTACTCGGCCGATTTCAACTAAGGAAACTTTCTTTTACTTCAGATACCCTAGGCTGTTGGGAAAATTGTGGTTTTAGCTTCGTTTTGAGCGCCCGCTGAGCACCGGCCGCGCGGTTTGGATGCACTCACTGCATCTGATCGACATGCATCAACTGGATCCCAGGACTACGCTGCAGACACTTGATACTATACGCGGCCTGCCCTGCCACATTCTACTCTTCGAAAAGCCGCCTTTATAATAATTTTCGACTCGCTCGAGTATTACCACTCACATGGATTGGAAGGGAAGCAGGTGCACGGGATGGCGGATTCACTGTCGGATTCGGTATAGGTGTGGTGGTTGGATGTTGGAGCGATGGGAGATGCGAGATGGTAGTATTGTTATGGACGGAAAGCACAAAAGGAGGAACATGTGGGTTATGCCCCGAGATCTTTTGGGAGGGTTGGGAAGGTGACGATTCTCCATGGTATTACAGGATAGATGAAACAAAGTTCTTCGACTTGAGCTATGCCGTTCGCTTGGGTTTTATGCGCCTGACTGTCGATTTCATCATGATCTTGAACATTCTTACTCCTACATATGTTCTCTGCAAAACGATGCGCTAGATGATATAAAAGGAGGTGTGGCCACTACCATGAAGCTTCCTGAAAGTTCGCCTGCCATGGAAATCCCAATCCCCCGAATATCTGCGTCTCTCCGGAACCAACCTGACTCACTGGTACCGTATAGCCCTGTGACTTCCTTGGAAGAATTCACCAGGATCACACCACCACATCTCTTTCCTTTACTATTTCCGCGGCTGGGGCAACCCATGCCTGGATAACCAGCTGTATACCCTGAACGACCTACCTTTGCTGCAGGACGGTCGCCAGGCGTGAAGGAATACGGATAGGTTCAGTTCATAGGCCCGTTTAATAGGCGATGTGTTTCCGCGCCCACTCTTTGCAGCTGGAGAGGTTCGGGTGGAAAATGACGGGGGGGAGGGGTGGTGTTTAGCTGCATATACTACATGGGTAAGGGGTCGGGGGGGGGGGGAATAACCCTGCTTATCTTTTGTGCCTGTCGGGCTCTAGGACAGGACAGGACGGTAGACTACATTCGTCTGTAGAGGGTTCGGTATAATTATATAGAGTGGAGTCTGTGTGTGCTACAGTCCGTACATGCAGTATAATCGACTGTAAGTGATGGGATTTACGAGCTGGACGCCCCTTGTTACTATTCCAAGATAGTCGACGTCGATGTGCTGATTCGGCTAGATTGAGCGTTTTTCGGTTTAATACCCAGTGGGTAAGAGGGATTGTTGAAAAAAAAAGGGCCGCGATTTCCAACATTATCTGGGAAAACTGAGCTGAGTAGCTTACATCGAAATTACAAGTATGAACACGCCAGCGTGAAGATCCTACAGGGCTTCTTGATGAATATGTCCGAGGCACCACCGGGGATAAATCGCCGCATTGGAGACGTTGGGTCTATTGCTGCTACAAGGTAGTTTCAAGTGTGTAAAAGCTACTTATCTTCGATGGCGGCCATTTTGTATGGCAGTCGTTAGATCGACTTGATCTATGCACCCATCGAAAGGCATGCACACCCTGCATGAAGAGCGAGCAGCTCTCCCGCTCGTGTTCGACGCATTCATCAACCGTAGTCAGCGAAGTGGAGTGAACTCCTCCTTTAGTGAGCACCTAGTAATGCCGTTCGGTACTTCCTCGCATAGCGGGGGATTCGGGTAATAATGGCCGTTACTTGGGTTCGTCTCCGCTTCTCGACAGTTGAAGCCAGCCAAAGAGCGAGCAGTTCAGAGCTGAAATTGAGTGGGATGAGTGGATTGCACTCGTAGACTGCTGCGCCGCCCGTAATCGCGCTAAGGTTCGTGGTCAGAAGACCCTGGATAACGGCCTGAATGCTGAGGTGGCGTTTATCAGACAAGTAGCTTTGCGTTTGACGAGTTTGCGCCTAGTTGCAGCAAGGTTAGAAGATGCTCTACATGTACCGTTCTCGACAGGCCTCTCGGTACATCCACCAGCGAAGAAACCAACCGCCAAACTACTCAATTGGTAGGACCCTGGCGAAACTACACAGGGTCCATACACATCCGAAGGATGTCGGATCACGTCTTCCGCGGAGGGCTGACTCGAGGGTGTCGCTAAAGAGGGGGTGACGTATATCCTTGGCAAACGGTCTCGGTACAAGAAGCCGAGGCGCTATGCCATTTTCGGCTGCAATCGAGTTTAAGACGAACCGATATATCATCTCCAAGACGTTGTGGTATGCAGGGTGCACGCTAATGCACGACTGGATAGTGGTGGGGTTAACAAGGGCTCGCAAGGAACTCCTACGGGAGCACTCGCTCGCCGCGACCGAACATGTAGGCTCGGTTGAGCAAGCTATGACCACGCTCAAACGTTTACTGGGTAAAGAGTGTACAGACTGATGGGCGAAAACGAGTCTGCTTGCTCCTTGGTTGATGACATCTCAGAATATTCTTCGCGGACCGACATAGATCCTATGTGTGCTTGTAACTTGCAGTGGTCCTCTCCAATTGGTCGAAGCATGCCATGCATGTCCGCTAGAGTGTTGAGCATCGGATTACTGAACGGGCTGTCGGATGTGGTCCAGCCACCAGTGTAGGCTGCGGAAACATGTCCGTGTTTCTGTGTTGGACTAGTTTACTATCGGGAACCATAGGTAAAGAGAGCGTTACCAAGACTACAACCAAGACTAGCTCGGGGGCGGAGAGAAACCCGTGTACTTTGTGAAGCTGTCGAATTTAGGTTTGTAAATATGTAAGATCTTGAGAGTAAGCCAGCGGCTCTGACCCGATGTCGCTCGCTAGGACATCTGATCACACTCGAGGCAACATTGGGGTACCTTCAATACCCCGCTCGCGACCGCGGATTTGACTTGTTAAACTGCAGACTAGCCGTTCAGGTCCCAGAACGAACCATGGCTCCAAGCTTAATATGCATCACTTGCGGTATCCGACGATTCTATCGTTTCATGTTGTTGCAGGACAGAGGCCTAGGGAAACATCTCAAAAGGGAAGCGGGGTAGCGTCTGCGTTTAGGTAAGAGGGAAAAATGGTGGCCAGCTTTGTCAACGAGGTATCTGGCAGGCTAACGACGTGGACGTGGCTGGTTGCCTATCGAGAATGCGGCCATGACAGGCCAAGTGCGGTTCTGGACGATACCATGTCTTGCACAGCTTGTTATTGCGAACATTTGAGGGGATCGTCGAAGGTGTCGTAGCTGCAAGCCCATGGAAACGGATCAACGGTGGCTGTGTAGATCTTCGATGTTACCACTGCGGCGGGAGAGATGAGGATAATACGGTGCATTGTTATGCGGCACGATCTAAGATGGTGATCCTGTCCAATAATGTGCAGTCTGTTAAGAAACCACATCAGTCGAGGGCTTTCACAGTGGCATAGTGACGGAAAAAGAATCTTTCTCTCTGATACACCTACAAGCCCGTAAGCTCGTGCATCCATGTTCAGCCGCGGGATGGCTGCTCGTGTGGCCCAACAAGTCGGCTCTTGTCTCTTCCGAAGGCCCTGCAGAGAAGGATGTGGCCCAACACGTGGCTGTAACCTGGTCTGTGGCGCTGCCTCTGCTCTGGGCCGAGGAGACAAAAATCTTTCTTTTCTTGTACGTATTGTTTATCGTGGGCTGCCTATTGGAGACGAATGGCTAGGTAGCGGGTCGGGCTCCAGTGGTGTGGTGAGGCGAGGCGAAGGAAGGGCCGTGACATCACCTTGGCCCCTGTGGGAAGAGATGAAGTGGCGCCGGGACGGTCGGAAGATAGAAAAGGGGAGCTCAGCGGGCATGCATAAAAAACAGGGAAATAGCAGAAACGGACCGGACTGACAGGGACGAGTTCGCTAGGGCGGCGAAGATAAGGTCGATGACGGGCGAAAATCTCGATGTACTGTGGCAGTCTGCGCGCTTGCACGGGTGCCGTTTCGAGTTGGGCGTGGAGGTCGAGGTCTGGATGCTCTTGGGAGGGTCCATGTGTCTAAAAAGGCGCACAGTGACAGGGGCGTGAATGACGTCGCCCCCAAGCCGCGCGTGTCCGATCGCCTACTGTTGCGTCGATGTGTGCGCAGGATGGTAAGGGGTGGCAGGGGATGCGCGAGTGGAGACGGTGGAGAGTGGAGTACTATGGAGGAGAAAAAAAGACCCTGATCTCTGTGCTACATGTGACGATCGCAACCTTGTGCCGGTCGCGTCGTTTTGGACTTTGTCGAGTGAGGCAGCCGCTGCATGCAGATGCAGATGCAGATGCAGGCTGATTGACTGACTGTGGCGCTGGTACAACGAGGCGGATATAGTCATCAGACGCTGTGCGTGGTGTTGCGAGCAGGCTGCCCCCTCCTCGTGAGGCGGATATTCGGATGAGGTGGGAGAGGGGAGGGGCTAGTTCCTTGATCTGTCTCCTCGGATTAGGCGACGCATCTCCGATCATGTCCAGTATTTGTATTGGCCAAGGACGGTGGTCGTCTTCTCCTTCTGATGAAGCGTGCTGGCAGCCGTTGCAACGACGGACCCGTTGTGGCGCTGCTGGCTATGTGGAGAGAGAGAGAGACCTTCATGTACTGACTACAGACTGACTACGGACTGTATGGAGGCGTGAGAGACACGACCATACCCAGTTCCCAGTTCCATCCCACCCAAGGATATTACTGTTACCCTTCTTTTCTTCCTCGGCTTCCTTTGATCGCCCGCGGGCCCTGCCACAGGATGCATACATAGGCTGAGCGCTAGTCTCCTAGGTCCGACCGCACATCAGATGGGATTCTGCATCGACTTCTCAATTACCCTGATCCCGGTGCAAAGCCCCCCCCCCGGTCGGCAGGCAAACTAACTTCTCTCCAAGGGAGCCTCCCCTGCTTGTTCCTGCCTGCTGCCCACTATAACTGCTTCCATGGCCGCCCGCGATTTGTGCCCTGCTCCAGTAAGCCCGCCCGCAGAAACAAGAGTCCAGAGTCCCTCTGCGTTTCCCCTCACCCAAACCTAATAATCAAATCCCCTCCGCCTCCTCCTACCACTACCACTACTACCACTACTACCACCACAACCGTCTTTTGTGACAACCACTCAATATCCCCCTCCCCTCCCCCCCGCTTACGCTTCCCCGGATCGCTGTATATAGACGGCCCCAATTCATCCTCCCTCTCTCTGGGTCCTGCTCTGCCCACCTTGCCTCTGCGCGCGCCTCGAAGCGCCTTTTCACGTGTTTGCGCACTGCCACCTTTGCTGCGAAACCCGTCGCATTCCTTTCACTGGCACGTGTTTTTACAAAATGGACGCCTTGTCCGGCAAGAATTCGACAGGTCGCAGAGTGTCATTGCTAAACGACGGTCCCGAGCCGCCACATCAACAACTTGCTCGCTTACCCTCCATCACTCCTTCTCTCCAATCCAGGACCTCTAGCTACTCGTCCTCCCCCATCGGCTCTCCGCCTACGCCTCGACTGGTGCGCAGCGACTCGTCAGACTCGGCCAACATGCACACTCCCTCGCCCATAACCCCAGACTTTGTCTTCGAGGGCCTGCCCGGCCAAGGCATGGACTCGCCCGTCTTCTCTCAATCTGCATTCTTCCCACAACACAAGGATCTCAACTCCGTCTATCCGCCTGTACACCAAAACCCGGGCCCTCTTCCCTACCACACCGCGAGCGCCTCGCAAGCTAGCTACTTCACCCCTCAGCAGATGCAAGAACAACACGATGCGGCAACAGCAGCGGCAGCAGCTGCAGCTGCAGCCGCGGCAAACAACACGCGCACCAAAAAGAATAGCTACCCGTGCCCAATGGCCAAGCAGTTCAATTGCGGCGACTTCTTCACCACCTCAGGGCACGCTGCTCGCCACGCCAAAAAGCACACAGGCAAGAAGGATGCCTTTTGCCCAGAGTGCAACAAGGCCTTCACCCGCAAGGACAACATGGAGCAGCATCGACGAACCCACCAGAGCGGCCGCAACGCTGCCAAAAGCGGCGCCGACCGGGAGGTCAAGAAAGCCAAGCAACAAGGGAAGCGACCCAGGCCCGCCCCTCTCCAGTCTTCAATACCTTCGCTATCGAATCTATCCGTGGTTGACCCATCCCTTCCTGACAGCCCTGTGGGGTCCTACATGGCGCCCGCGGTACAACCGTCCGATTCCTACCTCGATTTCGCTCAACGCTCCCCTTATCCCGATCCTACCGCCTTCTCCATGACCCATAGCTACAACACTGGGTCATCGTACGGCGGTCTCGATGCTCTAGCTATTGCTGCGAGCAGCGAAAAGCGCAAGTTCGAGTCATAATCCGGGCCTTTTCCCCTTCATTCATTGTTTGTCTGGTTTACATGATTTGTTTGATCATCTACTTGCCCGGAAAGCCACTCGAGTTCCTGGAGCGAGGCGCTGGCGGCCACCTTGAACCTTATTTGGCGCCCAAAAATTCGTCAGAACAATAGACGCGAGCCGTCAGAGGCTACGAACGGGGACACGGCGTTATGAGAGCTGCGGTGCTTTTTGCCGTACATTGTTTCTACCTTGTATATTCTACGGCCGCTTCTACCTTGAGGGCACATTTCGGGCTTGGCTTGGTTTGGGGGACGACGCGCTTGACGTTAGGGAGCGGTCAGGAACATAGGGCAACATGGATACCCCGCCCTTATACAAGGTGCACAGCATTTGGAATCTCTTTTTAGCAACAAGGCGCAGGGCGATGCGACGAGGCGATTCACTCGGCCTGCCTAGCCGTACTACTCTTCACCAAGCAATCAAAACAAACCTTGTTGATCTGCCAATGTTTGTCCGTGATATGCGCACTGCTGACAAGTCTTATGCACCCCGCGCCCTCGTAACCATTTAGCGTGAGACCATGGTAGATAGCTAGGATGAATTTGTCCTCCGCGGCTTGGTCATCCGTTTTCAACCGCCCAAGTTTTCGCAAGCGCATCGTGACGACAGTAACCTGTACCTAGCTGGGAGCTATGACAAGCCCCACCACAGCTAGCTTGTAGTTCGCATTAGCCACTGACCTCGAGACTGTTTCCCGCCGTCAAACCGTGGTTCTCTATGAATCTAGCCAGGCCATTAAGACGCCTTTGCGCACCCTCCGTCAAGCTAAGGTCGTAACGCCCAATTCCCAAAACTCTAAAAAATAAAATCGTCAGCCGGTCCTGCATCCCCCCCAGCCGCCGTCGTTCAACGGCCTTGGCGGGCTTATTAGGGATATTGGAAACCTTACGTTTAGTCGAGATCACTCAAGCAAGCTGGCCCAATATCCCCGTGCGTGACCCTGCAGCGTCCCAGCTAGACCAGGACTGCCATGATCTGCACCTTGTGAACCCTCAACCCCGAACGGCGGAGGAGATGGATCCGACTATTTTGATTGGCTAGCAGATTGGTGAGTGAGCCCTACCAGAACAATATGCTTCAACAAGCAAAAAACTCTTCACGATCGTGCTGCGAGAAAGTCTTGTTTGCTTCGATGCAGTACGAAAGGCGAGGAAGGTGCCAATGGGATGCGACTTCCCCTCTGCAGTACTTGACGTCAACACGTCGCTCGACCTTCCGCATTTCATCCTACATTGCGGAGTAATACCGCAGACAGACATCAGCTCATTTCTCAAACGCTGTTCGACGTCGTCCTACAACCACCACCACATTTCTCCCGCATGCGGACGGGTATGCACACGCAAGGGAGTTGAGCGATGGAGACAAGCACACCCACACGGATACCTGCTCTAGCCATGCGCCTGGCAGTCATCGTTCGATACTCGCTACTACTGTTGATTGATCCCTGCTGCGCGGCGCCGGGAAGCCCATCCTCGATGTGATTACTTGATGCGAGGCCCTCCAACTCATCATGACCAGGCGCGTCACGAGAACGAGAGGAAAAATATAACGCAACGCACAAGGGCTAACCCAGCACCGGCTCCTTCAATGCCCCATTTTGGGGCTTTGCTCACTCCAACATTCCGCCATTTTTCTTCAAGTTCAACAATCCGGAGATCAGTCCGTGTGACCCATCTTTCAACCTGGTATGTCTGTCTCCCTGCATCAGACCTAGCAACACTTCAGACAAGACCGTCGTCCGTTTCTTGCCATCGGCCATGATGATCTCGGTGACAGGCTGTTCGTTTCGCACGTAGTGTTACGTTGCCTTATCGCCGTGGTGGCCACGCAAACCACAGTCCACAACATACTCCACCGACATCAAAGTACTCGGGTTTAGCACAAGCACACACACAGACACACAGACAACACACACATACACGCCCGCACGCGAGAGAGCGAGCAAGGCCCTGAACCAGCCCTGCGGGGATGCCGCGTTTTCGTCCCGACCCCACTTTCAGCAATATCTCAGGGCTGCCGTGACTCCCGTGAGGGTGGCTGATGCCCGGCATAGGCGCTGCTGCTGTACCACGTCGTTTAACTAAGTCTTTTCACCCTTACCTGCAGCTTCTCGGAAATAGCTAATAAGTAAGACATTCATGGTATGGAGGCGGGGCTATACGCGGGATATTGCGGGGCAAACCCCTCGGGAGTCTCTGGGGCTACTACTGCAAAATAATGCACGGACTGTGCAGGTTTGTTTATTGTTTCAGCTCACTCGCTCTGGGGAGCGAGACGAGGATGAGGGATGCCGGATCCCCGGCTCGTGGTCGGTCGGTCAGGGACATTTCTGTTGGGATGCCGTCGTGTTGAACAAATATCTCGACGTTGAAAAGATGACTCTTCAGCTGCGGCAGAGGACATATGTGGCGTGTCAGACTCATCGTCGTTAATCTCGTCTCAAATCTCCGATCTTTCCCTGATCGGACGCTAACCGCTCGCCCTTCTCGCGACTCGATGCCCAAAACACGTGAGACCCAACTTCCCCAACCTCACAAGTCGTACAGAGAAAGAAAAAACGCCATGTGTCCACCGTGCACCAAACGCGGGCTGTCAACCGTGCAACGCTCAGGCCCCGTCTCACCTTACGAAAAAAGAAAAGAAAAAAGCCCCAGCAGATTTCTGTGGAGCTGCAAAAGCAACTTTAGGGCTGGCTGCTATATCGCGATTCGTTGGCGTGAATACGATGTGTTTTGTTGAATAGCTGGGAAGACGCCTGATGGCTACATTTAGATGGATACAAGGTATTCCCCTTGAGATCTAATAATACGCAAGAAAGGATAGCCATGGAGACAAAAAAAACAATAGGTAAAAAGAGCGCATCTAAGCCTGTGGTGGGTAGGTAAGGATAGAGCCATGGTCAGATCCTTACACTTAGTTCGTAGCGAGGGTATATGTGAGACATTTTTTTCATTTCAAGAACACTCTTCCCTCCCTCCTTCCTAGTACAGACAGTATACATCTCAACAAGCACCACACCACACCACCACCGCCAACAACCCCAGCAAGCAACAAGGACCTGTCATTTCCCCTCCTCCATCCGCCCTTTCGCGCCCACCCACCCACTCACTCAGTCTGCAAGGTCCAACGCTGCTGCTCTGCCTGTGTGCTACTAGGCACCACCCCCACGCAAAAAACGATGAAGCGAAGGGGGGCGCAGCATGCAGCGTCACAGTGGCTGATACAACGTGTTGCCGTCGAGGCTTCAAGCGAACGTTAGGCGTCCCGTTCAAAGGGAAGGGGGGCCCTTTTTGTACACCCGTGGTGTGAGGAGGGGGTGGAAATGAGTGGATGAGGCTATGTCTTGCCATGTTGTCGAAACGGCGTTTAAAAAAGAAAAGGAAAGAGGATATGCATTCGCTGCTATGGAGGGGTCAAGATTGGGTATGCATGCAGTGTTGCACTTCACGAATAGCAGAGGGAAATTAAGACGGGGGGAGATTGACATGCAGTACAAGGGAGCAGAGTTTGCTTTCAAGTCGCGGAAGTTGATTCCCCCGGGCTGACACTGACATCCGACAAGCTACACCCTCCCTTCCCCCCTCTGTACGTCGTTTTCGTTTCTAACTACCCGTCTTCGTTGCCCTGCATAGAGTCGTGCCACAGTCGCTTCCGACCCGAGTCGTCTGTTCTGAAGCAAGCATGACTGCGTCGTCCTCCCGCCGCCGTGTCCAAGACAAAGATGGTTATCGCTAGGGGATAGATTTGTGGACAGATAGGCTTGTTGTGGCGGAAATACCTGGCCTGGATTCCCAACACGTATTCAGCTGTCACTGTATGCGACTCCGAAGACATTCAACGTGGCGTGAGCGCGCAATGCGGTCAAGTGAAACACGGACACCACGTTGGGCGCTGCGGCCCGTCTGCACATTAAACCCCCTCTTCGCCAGTCGTAGTCTTGCATATATGCGTCTCTTCCGACATTGACCAGGAACTCGGAAGCGAGATCGCCCATCGTAAGTCTTGACATAACATGTTGGGTATCCTTGCATCTGTTCCCCGCTATGCTCAGGCAAATTTCGCCATCTGCGTGTACCTCGCAAAACTCATGTCCTCGTCCTGCGTAGCTCGACTGTCTCTCAGCGCCTGCTCGTACCGCTGCTTGAGGCCCTTCTCTGGGTCATCGCTGTCCATTCCGTCCATTTCATCCTCGTAATCAAGATCCTCGGGATTCATCTCATCTTCGTCCTCGTCCGCGTTTTCCGCATCGCTAACCGTCTCTGGTTCTTCCTTCGGAGGCCGTGACTTTGGTTTCGTCCCCGCACCCCCAACCTTCATATCCTTCATCAGCTTAGCCAGCTCCCGCTGGCGCGTAGCTTCCTTCTGTTTCTCTCTTTCTGCCCTCCGCCGTTCAAGTTCGGGTTTGTAGTCGCGCTCAAACTCTTCTTTCTTCTCCTGCACGCCACGGAAGAAGTCATCCATACCGTCTCCCGTCATAGCACTGACGCCCACAACACTGAGGTGTTTGTAGAATTCGTCAAGGACAAGCGACATGCTGTTCAGCAAGCTGCCCATGTAACCACTTCCTCCTCCTACGCCGTCACCACCGAAGCTGCCACCCTCCTCTTCATTACGGAGCGCGGATTGGAAGGCTTCAAAGTCGGTCATCCATTCTTTTGCAAAGGCAGCGTCTTGTGCATCGGTCTTGTTGAATACGAGGATCATGGGCAGTTTAGTCTTGTACAATATTGAGCATGCATACAGCATATTGGACATGAAGGTGCTTGTGCTCGTTGTGCGCGGCGTGTCGATGATGTACGCGATGACAGTCGGAAACGTGCTCGCGAGACTCGATAGTAGGATCTCCCCGCTTGCTGACCAGACGAAGACTTCGATTTGGCCAGGTGTGTCGACTAATATGTGCTTGACCTGGGGTTGTTGTGCGGGCGGGGCGGCCTTTTCTTTTCCGCTGTTTGTCATGAATTCTACTGTGGTTTGCTCTGCCTCTGGCACTGGAGCCGGGGGCATTGTTCGCTTTTCCAGAAGGCCGATAACCTGGTCGATCTTTGTGCTGAACAGATTCAGACTAGTGAGGATACCACCGTTGGGTCCTAGGTTGAACTGCTTCATGACTTCTTTGTAGTTGACGCTGTCGCGGATATCGATGTTGGGAGTGAAAGGGACATGGTGGACAGCCGGGTCGAGGTTGATGATGTACGGCGGTGTCGGCGAGGCTTTGGATACGGATGGTGTGCTCTGTGTAGGGTCGGGATGCGTATACAGGTGTGAGACTAGGCGTTGCATGAAGGTCGTCTTGCCGCTGCCAGCCATGCCTACGCAGACTATGGCTACGGGGGCATTCGAGGAGCTTGCGGCGGGCGAAGAGGGCCCGGGGGTTGTCGACTCAGACATAGTGGTGATGTGGGTTGTGCGGTTGATAGTTGAGTGAGACTGCGACTGAGCGCGTCGTCGTACTCTAGAAATTCTTTGGCGGGGCTGTCGCGCTAGTCATGGGCGCGGCCGATGTCATTCAACGGTCCAAGCTTCCTGCCCGTCTGTCTTGTCTAGAAACTTTAACCGTGCCTCAACTCTACAACCTATCACATCATAACCTCCACTCATAGTCTATACACCGGTTCGACCATGGGGTTGGAAGACTTTGAGAAGGAATTAGCTGAAAACAAGAAGAGCGAGGATAAAAAGAAGCGCCATCGAAGTCGGAGTCGCGACAGGCAACACCGCTCCAGCAAGGACCACGAGCGTCGGCACAAGCACCACTCCTCGCGCCATCACCGTGCCTCCGACCATGGCGATGAGCGACATAGAGACAAGCGGTCGCGACACCACAAAGAAACGTCAGACGATCGCGCGCGGTCGAAGCATAAAGACAGGCGTAGTCGGTCCCCCGAGAGCGACGACGAGGATCGGTTAACACGAAAGCGTGGGTCGCGCCACTACCACGAAGACGAGTCCTCGAGCGACGAGGCCCCGCAGGCGAAAGATTATGCTCCACCGGATGGTGAGATTCTAGACCAACAGCTCGAGGACGCGGCAGACGCAAACCTGCAACGGGACGACTGGATGACCGCACCTTCCTCCATGGACGTGGATTACGTGCAGCGGAAAAAGAGGGAGGAAAAGACAACCTACGTGATGGAATCGGCGCCGCAACAGCATGCGTTTATGGTGCACCAAGCAGAGTTGAATCATCATTTGGCCGACATGAAGCACGACGAGGACACCATAACCGAAGAACCAGCGCAAAGGGAAGTCAGCTACACCTTTGGCGACGCAGGCGCACAGTGGCGCATGACGAAACTGAAAGGCATCTACCGCAATGCTGAAGAGTCGAAGCGGAGCGTGGAAGATGTGGCCATGGAAAAGTATGGAGACCTACGAGATTTTGATGAAGCACGGGAAGAAGAGATCGAGTTGGACCGTAGGAACATGTATGGCAACAACTATGTTGGCAAAGAAAAGCCTTCTGGCGAGCTATACGAGGAACGGAGACTGAAGGCTGGCATTCATCGAGCAGCGCGGGAACATCACGAAGCGGAAGAGCTACCACAAGGCGAAATCGTCTCGAATCCGCAATCAACAGCGAACACAGTCGTACTCAGTCAAACAGAGCTGAACAGACTAAAGGCGCAGATGATGAAGGCAAAGATGAAGAAAGCCCCAAATGCCGCCCAGCTTGAAGCAGAGTACAATGCGGCATCAGCTAATTCTGCTGGTGGTAAGGATCGCGACGTTGTTGTTCTGAATGCAATGGACAACCGTATGCTGGCAGGTGGTCGTCAAGGCGAAGTCACAGCACTGACAAACAAGCGTGGAACAGAACGCGGATTAGTCAAAGAGAACGAGGACATGAGCATCGAAGACATGGTCCGTCAAGAGAGGCGAACGAAGGGTCAGGCTGGAGGTGAAGGCATGGTGTTGGCGGAGAAGATAGCTAAAGACTCCAAGTTCGACGTAAGTTTCCGCATTCTCTTTCCCTTTGAAGACCCGGAATACTAACTTTACATAGAACGACCTCGATTACCTCGACGAAAATGCCACAAAATTGGCCGCCCGCGCGCCCAAATCCTCCGTCAACCTTCGGAGCCAAGCAATCCAAGACTACCAGCGCACAAACCGCATCCTAGATTCCTGCCCGCTGTGTCATCATGAGGATAAATCACCGCCTCAGCCACCCATTGCACCTATCGTTTCTCTTGGTACTCGTACCTTTTTAACGCTTCCTACCGAGCCGGAGATCAGCGAGGGCGGTGCTGTTATAGTGCCAATCCAACACCGCACAAACCTACTTGAATGCGATGACGATGAGTGGGAGGAGATTCGAAATTTTATGAAATGCCTAACGCGCATGTATCATGATCAAGGACGAGACGTAGTCTTCTACGAAAACGCCGCCAACCCGGGACGTAAATTACACGCTGCCATGTCCGCAGTCCCCATACCCTTTGAGCTAGGCGAGACGGCACCAGCCTTCTTCCGCGAAGCCATTCTGACTTCGGACATTGAGTGGAGTCAGCACAAGCCTATCATCGACACTTTGAAGGCCTCGCGCTCAGGGCAGGGTAAACAGGCGTTTCGACGCAGCTTGGCCAAGGAGATGCCGTATTTCCATGTATGGTTCGAGTTAGATGGTGGCATGGCGCATATTGTCGAGGATGAGAGGCTATGGCCGCGAGGCGATCTGTTTGCTAGAGAGGTTCTTGGAGGAATGTTAGACGTTGAAATTGATGTGGTGAAGCGACAAGGCCGCTGGGTAAAGGGCGATCGCAGGGCGGACAAGTGGAGGAAAGGATGGAGGAAGTTTGACTGGACTAGGGTGCTGACGGAGGAGCAGTAATTTATTAGCTGCAGGAACAAGCATAGTTTCAGCATCAACACAGTTGAGGTCGAGAGCATAATTGAACACAAAGATACCCTCAATACAGTAATCGTTAGTTCTTCCGACGAGAACAAAAGACGTATTGAGGTATACAAGTGACCATCAAAGCGCGATTAGGCAATACTACTTAACCTGGTATCTTTCATGAATGCCATTAACAAAGGTCTGGGATATCTACAATTGGAAGATCCGAATAACTGAACTCCACGGATGCGCACATTTCATCCCCGTGCGCAAAGGGCCATGAGGGTACAACATGAGCCCATTACGCAGGGTGGAAAATATCTACTCGCTATCATCGTCGCCGATGAGCTTGGCGTAATCCTCGACGGACGCAAAGGTAGGCAGATTCTTGAGCTTCCTCTTCTTGCTCTTCCTGCCGTCTTTATCTGTGTCCTTTTTATCCTCGTCGACATCCGTGTCGTCGTTCATGTCGAAGTCCACCGGAACATCGGCATCGCTGTCGACAAACCCGTCTTCGTCATCGAGATCAAAGTTCTCAAAGTCGTCCTCATCGTCGTCGTCCGCTGGTTGACCATCAACCTCAGTAGCGTCATCGTCGCTGCCAAGGTTGAGCTCGACACCCGCATCCATACCACCGGCCTCCTCGTCACTCATCATGTCGTCCATGTCGAAATCACTCAGATCGTCGTCGTCGCCGCCATCACCCTCAACATCCCGTCGACTATTAACAATTGCCTGCCAAATCTCGTCTTCCCCACTTTCGTCCTCACTATCATCACCCTTCCTCTTGTCCTTCTTCTTCGACTTCTTATCCGCCTGCTTCGCCTTCCCGGCCTTCTCAAAGTACGTGTGGAAGAACACCTCATCAACCCTAACATCATCGATCTTCTGCCGCCAGAATGACTCTGAGTTAAGGGGATCGTGTGTGCGGTCGCCGTCACGAGCGGTGATGAGATACGATGCGGCTTTCGAAGTGCCGGACATGGGCTGCATGATGGAGGATCCGTGAACAGCTTGGATCTTGGTCTTTGCGTTGCGGAAAGAGAATTTGTCGAGGAAGTTCATGAGGGTGTAGATTGTTGGGTCGGGTTTCTCCTTGATCGGTTCTTGGTTGACGATCTTGGAGGCAAGCACGTGAACGGAGGGGTGGTAGTGAGCCTGGAGGGGCAGGAGCTCCCATAGGCAGGAAAGGTCTGCTTGTGCATGCTCTGGGTCTCGTTTCCGGGCGTCGTAGGTAGCATGTTCTGACTTTGTCTCTTCTTTACTCGTCTGCTTTTCGCCATCCTCAGCGGCATCCTCGTAGTGTTCCTCGCCATCGTCTTCCGCATTGTCTTCGGGTGTTGATAACATGGATTTAATGGTAGGAAATGTAGTAAAGAGTTCGTTGACGAGATACAAGACGCCACAGATGAATGGAGGCTCGTGCAAGTGAATAATTTGCAGTAAACGCTTCACAAACGCCTTCACGCGCTTGACGCTGGTATCTGCTTTGAGCGACCTGTAAAGCAAATTCAAAAACATTATATGCTTTGAAGTCGAAATGAGACGGGGATCCAGTAGAGATTCGTAGAGTGTTCGATAGAAACGATCCGCGGAGTAATGCTTTGTAGCAGAAATCTGTTGGATGAGGGTCATGGCCTGTATGCTGGTGTTGAAGTTGGAAGAGTGCGTGACTTCGAAGATCATGTTCAACTGCTCCTCGAACTTTGCGTCGTCAGTTTTGGCGAATGGAAAAGCGCGGTTGACGCCCGTCAAGATAGCGGAGATCAACTTCTCTCGAGACTCGTCCTCGACCTTGAAAGCCATTGTTTCAGCCTTCTCGGCCTTCTTTTTCGCCATCTTTCCAGGCTGTCCACCTCCTCCCTGTAAGAGCCCATGCTTGTTGATTCGCTTCTCTTCTTTCTCGTGCTCCTTTTGTTTCTTCAATAAACCGAGGAACAGGCTGAAGTACATCTCTAAGAGCCTGTTGGCGACTTCCGGCTCCTTGACGCTAAGGACGGTCTGGTTCATGGTGATAACCGCGTAGTATTTGGCGACCCCGCTCTGGTTCGGACGGAAGAGGAGATCAGATTCGATCGAGCTAATGATGACGTTCTTCATCAGCGGGTGGGTGATCTGGAGTTGCAGTAGCAGATATGATGCCCTTGAAGCGACCTTCTTCTCCTTATCTCCAAGCTTGTTAATGAGTAGTCGGAGAAGATTCTCTTCCTGTTCTGGCTTCTCCTTCAACAATTCCCAGACCATTGTCACTGCCCGATTGCGCGAGTATTCGATCTCGTCATTGGACCAGGTCTCGAGAATCTTAAGCATCTCGAAGTATTGCTTCTTGAGCCAGTCCTCGTACGCCCATACGATCAGATGGATCTTCTGGAGATCGCCCGGCAGCTTCTCTCCCGCCTTCCATTGTGCGCCCTTTCCTTGTAATGAGGAAATTAGACCAGGCTGTCGTGCGAAAGCCTTTAATTTTCTGTCCGGTGGGAGTAGAACGCCCTGTCCCAAAAGATCCTTGAGCGCAGCCAAAGACATCATAGCGGCACCCCTGTTTTTCTTTTGCGATAGACCCAGCAACTGCCCAAAAGCCTTCATAGTATGCAATGGCGACTCTTGAACCAACAACGTGAGCGCTGAGACCTTGTCCTCCATGGTACCGGAGTTCATGACTGTCGACATGAACTTGTGCGACGAGTCTTTGGCCATGTGCGACGACGCATACTCGGTCGCCTCGGCTTCCAGAAGCTGCTCAGCATACTCGCGGATCGCGTCGATGACATAACGAGGCGGTATCGTGGGGTTGTCGACGGTGGGGAGCGATGGTAGCTGCACAGAGTGCCATTCCGGCTGCGGCTTGAAAAGCTGTCGCGAATGTTAGCTTCACCATCATTCTGTCATCGCGAACCAACACATACTAGCTGAGACCGCGGCTTCTGCACGTTTCCGGTTTTGCCCTTGTCCTTGCTGTCGTTCTTGACGCTCACCCGGTTCTTATCCGCAGGCGGCTTCGTAAAGCCATCCTTGGTCTCGGCATGGGTCCGCTTCTTCCCCATTTGATATCGTCGGTGTCGCGGGAGGTCGATCTACAAGGTCCGTCAGAGGAAATACTCTGACCCGTCATGACCTTGATCAAGTTCACTTGCGATGGAGTCATTGAAATTTGACATTCGGTGCTGGGTAAACGATTCACCGCGCGTCCGTGCGTCTAGCCGAGATCGGCCTAGTGAGATTTCTTATTGAGCGACCATTGCGGATCATATTGCGGACCTCCGCGTGTTCCCGTGCAGTGAGTCAACTGGTCGATATCTGCCACTTTTTCAAGCAGATCAGCACTTGGACCTTATACAAACTTATAAGGGTCAATTGGCACCTACGGACTAGCTAAGAAGTACCAAAACCCCGCCAGTTCACTCCGCCGACTATACATATGCTTAGGTAAAGCATCGGGAAAAGCACGGGATACATATTACAATGGCAACGACATCAAACGAGGGGGATGCTAAGACCTCGATAACCCCACTCCTCAAACGCCTCTGGCATGAATCACCCGCAACAAAGCCCAATGCCGACGAGATCGCGGGAGCACTTTCTCTGATATTCACCAACAGCCTGTCTGAGGTCCAGACAGGAGCTCTGTTAACATGTCTTCATTTCACGGATCGTGATAGACAAGCAGAGGTTCTCGCGAAATGCTCGAAAGCAATGCGGGACTTCGCTACTGGAATTGATGTTCAAGGGCTGGAGGAATTGCTGAAGAAGAGAGGGAGAAAAGAGGGCAACTATGGAGGAGGCCTGGTACGTTCATTACTTCACCTGACATGTTTTGTTATTGTACCCAGCATGAAAAGTCAGCGTCAACAGTGCAACTATTGAACTCCCTGGGGCATCAACTAACACTTATTATAGTGTGACATAGTTGGCACAGGAGGCGACTCCCACAATACATTCAACATCAGCACCACATCCTCTATCCTAGCCAGCGCCCTCCTTATGATGGCAAAACATGGCAACAAAGCCTCGACATCGCGGTCTGGCTCTGCAGACTTACTCTCCTGCGCACCTCCAAAGCCGCCTGTCATCACCGCCATCACCCCCAAGACTATTTACGAGATTTACTCCAAGACGAATTACGCGTTTCTCTTTGCTCCGATCTTTCACCCGGGAGCCCGCCATGCGGCGAGTATTAGAAGGCAATTGGGTTGGCGCACGATTTTCAACCTGTTGGGTCCGTTGGCCAATCCCCTGCATGATCTGATCGAGGCGCGGGTACTGGGTGTAGCGCGGAAAGAGATTGGGCCTGATTTTGCGGAGTCACTAAGGCAGTCCGGGTGTAAGAAGGGCATGGTCATCTGCGGCGACGAAGAGCTCGACGAGCTTTCGTGTGCCGGACTAACCCACTGCTGGCGCCTAGTCGAAAACGCGTCTACCGGCGAAGTCGACATCAACTACTTCACCATTACTCCCGCAGACTTCGGGCTCCCAGAGCATCCGCTCAGCGCTGTAAGCCCGGGACAATCGCCAGAGAAGAATGCGGAGATTTTGATGAGGATTTTGACTGGAGAGGTTTCCCCTGATGATCCGATACTCCACTTTGTATACATCAACACGGCAGCCTTATTTGTCGTGAGTGGCATTTGTGATGCGGATACGAGCGACATGGGTTACGGAGACGAGGGGGAAGTGATTAAGGAGGTTGGACCAGGGGGTGGAAGATGGAAAGAGGGTGTCAGGAGAGCTAAGTGGGCTATTGCTAGTGGAGAGGCGTATAGACAGTGGCAGCAGTTCGTTGAGGTGACGAATAGGGTGGCTTAAAGGCATGTCTACGATATGAGGTTTTGTTTGTTAAACCAAATTTGTTGTATCTAGACTTACAAGTGTGTCACTATAAGACCCCAACCTCTGTTTCCATTATTACAGAACTTGTGAAAATCTCGTCTAAGAAAGATAATAATTCAAATGTTCGAATCTACTAAGACTTGCCATTAATTCCGGGTGTCAAACCCCTAAGATAATGCCATGCATCCCTGAGAGCTCGGGACGGGAAAGTCCAATTGCTTTAGGCTTCAACTAAATATCCACCACCCATCACCTTACTCAACACGTCCCAAACCCACACCACGACGTGATTCCATCCACCCACTGCGAAAGTCTCCACTACATGTCCACCACGTAACGTGCTAAGAGCTAGGAATTGGAGTTCCTTGAGCTCCTTGCAAGAAGTTGTGAGGGTTCGGCAAGCAAAGACGAAGTCCAAGATCTGTTCAGTCGTACCTGACTTGAGAACGTGGATATCAGTAGCGTACGTCAGGCGTCGTATGTGAGGGCAGTGGGCTACGACAAAAAGAAGAGATGTGGTGTCGTGCTCGATTAAGGTCTTGGGGCCAGCCTTTTCGAGGGGGTTTATCTCTCGAATACCCGAATTTCCAAGTGTAATAGTGGTTATATGGGCAAGTGTCGAAGGAGCGAGTGTCTGACACAGAAGGTTCGACTGCCCAGACAGCGAAAATTCAAACCGTGCGTCGATGTGGTCGAACAAGAGATGGAGAAGCTCATTGCGTATAGCCATGTTGACCTCCATGAGTTGGTTCTCGATATTTGCCTTCATGTGCACCTAAGCTTTAAGTCAGCAACTTCCTTCTTTTCGATTTCAATGAATCAACTGCACTTACAAATCCATCCTTCTTGATAATCTTTACAGTCAAATCCTGAAACCCCGCTTTCTTTCCCGGTCCATCGCGAAAGATCAGTTGCTTGGCTTTCCGTCGGATCAAAAACTCTCTAGGCAGAGCGTGCCACAGCATCGGCCATTTCGCATCTTCATGGAAGATGATATGCGACTTATCAACACAGCCTTCACTGGGGCCCGGGCAATCAACCCACATATAGCCGCCAACTGGAAACCTCAAATAAGCGTATATATGGTGGCGGATTTCAGCAGGGAGGTGCTCGAAAGGGGAAACGGCGGCAATATCAGTGTTGAGCGAGGAGGAGGAGGTCGAGATCGAAGCCATGATGGAATTGTACTTTGGTAGTGAATCGAAAGGAGAACTCGTAAAGTTGATCCAGTGGTCAAGTTCAGGGTTGATGTTGGAGTGCTGAGTGAGTAGAAGCGGTAGTGTGGTTATATAGGACTTGGACACCATGTTACTCGAGACTGAAGATCGCTTGCTTGAGCCTCGAAGAGGTGGATGGTCCTATAGCAACGGATTATCTGGTGAAATCCTCTTTAGTTACCACGACTATGCTAAACAGTTGATTTCCCCATTCACTCGAAATATAAAGACTTTCACTTACATCATACAGAGATGCTTATATCTGATAAATGTGGTTAGAAGCCTAGAGCTCCTTTTCGTTCTTGTCTAATCATATTAAATGGCTGGCAACTTCGAGCTTGCTCCGCTCACAGTTTGCCTGACCTTATCCCGGGATGATAGGCGCGTGCCTTTTGAACCTCGAACTTCTTCTAAATCTCACATCCTTATCTTATTCCTGGGGAACACATACCCATCTCAACCTCAAAGCCTATACTTCAGAATGCCACCAGAGTTCGAAGTGTTCCTTCTGGAATTCGACCTTAGCATAGCCTCCATAGGACATACTAAGTCCATTCCCGACCGCCTCAGTGGCAGTGGAGGGGAGGATACGTTTACGACGTTGCCCCAGTATCTCTTCCAATCGATCTCGAGCAGTGGCCGCGGCTATGTCAGCCTTGGACTGTGGTTTGCACTCGTTCTTGACTTTGGGAGACATGAGCTGCTGAGAAGGAAGCTCAGACACAATGGCCAGCTTCTTAACTGGATCCTTTTCTGCATATGACGAGGGGAGCGGTGTCGGAGGCAGTGCTGAAACTTCCTTTCGCGGCAACTTCTTGATGGGCGTAAACACTGGCATGGTGAAGCCGAAGCTTGGGACAGCGACATGATCACTAAACTATGATTAGGTCCTGACCTTTCATTCATAAACGGGTTATTGAATACGTACTTGCTATCCTTGTCTTTGGAGTGGTTTGTGGAAGATCGCCATCGACTGTCAAGTAGGCCGGGCATATTGAAGACCTACTATTCCTTAGTATTGACAGTCATATACTAGAAGAGCAAACCCACTGTTGCCGATGAGTTAGTCAGGCAATTTTCTTTAGGTTATTAAGGAACAGTGTAGTCGATGTTACGGAGTTGTTCTCTATGTCGAGTTTGGACCTGAGAGTGGATTTGGCGGAACTTTATAGCTCGATGGGCAACAAGCTTGCTATGGCTACCCAGTAGGTAAGAGAGAGAGAGGAGTAAAGGCAACAATGAGCCTCGCTTTCGCGGAACGAAGGGTAAAGGTATAGAAGTAAGAGACAAAATTGCTGCCTTTGTCAACAACAGTAAATATAATTGATAAGTTATGTTCATGACAGTAATGCGCAAATTGACAAACACATGCTCCATAGATTCTATCGCAAATCACACTCTTTAATTCGCCTCCCCAAAACTCCCAGCTGCAGCAACACCCGCCACATAGTCCCCTCCATCATCCAACACCGCACCAGGTACTTGAATAGCACCAGCCTGAATACCGTCCGTATCCAGTCCGTGTCCCGGGAGCTCGTCCCCCTCAGTCTCTGGCGCGTTGTCAAAACAAGAGTCTACCTGTTCGACCTCCGCGCATGAGAGGGTATCGCAGGGCACATCGCACGCCGCGCCGCTATCAACCCAAACGGTGACTGCTTGGAGGTCGTCGAAGCCGCGGACCACGGAACCATGGCTTGTAGCGCCCTTAAATCCCAGCTTGCAAACACAGTGATTGCGGACACAGCGAGCGTTTTTGCCGCATGACGAAGTGCTACTGCATGTATCCAGTGGACAGACTGCACTATTGCTATTCGAGTTATCCGCCCCAGAGGCACCAGGGACGTCAATAATGTTTGCTGGGCTCCACCACGGGAGATTTGGCCGTCGACATTTCGAGTCTCTAGGACACTTCCGACAATCTAGCAACCCTTCTGGACAGGTCCTCCACATCTGCACACTCGGTTCGTTGTCTAGCATCTCCGAGCGCCCGCTGTCGTCCCACGGCGAGACGCCACTTAACGGATATGGAGAGTCCAGATCGGAGTGTGGTGACCACGGAGGAGGAAGGAAGGTAGGACCCTCATCTAGCGGGTTGAGATCGAAAATCGGATCCAACTGTGCGTCGCGTTTCTGCACTTTGGGCTTGAGGCTTTCGGCCCGTTGCGATAATTGGAGGTAGTGGAGAGTGTTTTTAGCCTTTAGGTATTCAAACTTGAAGTCCCAGGTATGTGGCGCTGGCTTCTTTTTCTTCCCTGGGTGAGCAGAGCCGAGGGCAATAAGAATGGTGACGAGGGGGAGTATGAGCTTCATAATGGGGTTAAGATGCGAAACCAGCATTCAACAGAACGGGAAGATGTGGACATGAGCGAATGATAGATGTGAGCAAGGGAACTCTGGTCGGAATGTGGGGAAGGAATGCAACAGATGCAAGTTTACATTCCATGCGATGGTACGACCATTGGCCCACCAACCCAAATCTGCTTTGCTATATTCGGGCTTCTCGAACGTTCCTTGTTGTAGTTTGGTTGTCGTCGTGGCTGTCCCTTCGCGCTTTCAGCCTAGTCGCCTCCTCTTCTCGACGATAAAATTTACCATTTCTCGACAGCCGGCCTGAGATCAATCTCCCAGGTAAAGTTTGTCGTCGGCTGTGTGTGAAGCCACCAGTAATCATTTGCAATCTACAAGTTATAATCAGTGTCTGCTTGTTCATATATCAAGAGAAGCCGGCTGGCAAATGTACTTACCCCATCAGCGCTCAACTTTGCCTCCGGCGGTAAGTTATACCCCTTAGTCTTCTCAATATCAATCACTCCATCAATAATCGCATGCGACACATGCACGCCCTGCGGCCCAAACTCCCTCGCCAAAGATTGACTCAGCGCTCTCAGCGCCCACTTACCCGTCGCGAAACTCGCCATCTGTGCATTGCTCTTGACGGAGGCAGTAGCGCCTGTGAAGATCAGGCTAGGTGGGTGCTGAGACTTCTGCTTCACGCCATTGAGCAAGAGAGGAAGAAAGGATTGAGAGAACAGCACGCCTCCTGTAGCACTGACAGCAAAGGACTGCTGGAAGACCTCTGGGGGGACCTCGAGGAACGGCTTGCGGAGGAAGCCGCCAGATGCGTTGAAGATTGCTGCAGCGGCGCCAACATCATCTCCGAATTCTTTTTTGATAGTATCAACAGCGTTCTTCAAGCTCGTCAAGTCCGACACATCCGCGCTGATGCCGATGGCCTTGCCTCCCTTGGAATTGATCTCCTTTGCGAGACTTTCGAAGTTTTCTGGCTTTCGCGCAAGCAAAACGACTGGATATGTCTCTGCAAACTTTCGGGCTACTGAGGCTCCTGTGCCGGGGCCGACTCCAGCGACGACGGCGATGAGTCTAGATGCCATGATGTTGACTTTTGATAATGATGGATAATAGTTCGAATAAGAGTAAGTCGGTAAATAGTGTTAGATAGAGTGTATGAGGAACATTTAAACAGATTGATGTCTTATATATATCTCTTATCAATAGCTTGATATGTGTTTACTAACCAACTGTGGTGTAATCCTGGGGTCGAATTGCGGGAACGCGGAGTTAGTTAAGAGCGAGTCACGTCATTGATTAATCAGCACCCCTCTTCCTCAAGTTCACCTAATGGATACGCAGCACGCATGGTAAAGGGACAGATAAACCCAATGTCGTGACTTCATTGATGGATTCGTCATGTCTATGCACTGTTCATCTCTCATCAAGTACGCGTTGTCTAATGACTACGCCCTTCCTGCTTTACCAACTTGGAGAATCTCACCAGTTGGCTTCTCATCACTCCTCAGTACTGGCCAACTTGCACCGTCAGCTTTTGCTAGTGTAATCTCTAGTTTCGTGCCCAAGATCCTAAATTTGCTCTCCTCCGGTTTGATACTCGCGAAGAGCGGAAACTCGGTCTGGTAGCGCTTGCTGTCTGTAGTCCGCAGGTCCAGGTTGACGTGTGTTGATTGGAAGTCGACGACCGCGGTGGACTTATCTATTTTCTTGAGGTAGAGAGAGGCAACGACTGATGTTGCAGTCTGGTAGTAGTCATGTCTGTCAAACAATTAGCAAGTCTGTACCACGTCACACAGTGCTGGCAACTTTGGACTCACCGAACAGTCTCCAGCTTCTCTTCTCCACCGGCTTTCTGCTTGCCACTTCCTACAAACAGATGCCTGTTCTTGGTCTTGCACCCTTCGATATTCATGAACTGGTCGAACTCTAGCACCCTTCGCTTGCAGCAGCTCCAGCCTTTGCTACCTTCGTGGAAGATGGGCGCGCCAGGATGATGTACGCATTGCTCGCCTTCTCTGTCGCCACCCTTGTGAGTCTGTCCGCAGCCCTTTCTCCGGCATGTCATTCCTTCCTTGAGCGCTACGCTCGGATCATCGTCCTCTGATTCTGGAGGAGGGGCAGGTGAAGCTGTTGGCCGAGGCGTGGCTGCTTGTGCTGTAGGTAGGCGGGGTGTTGGGGCAGGCAGAGATTCCTGGAGCGATCCAAGATTGACTTCTGTGCCATTGGCGACGTCGGGAGCTTTGGCAGGCTCTGGTGCAGGCGTGTCGTCCACATCCGAGTGTTTGCCTGTTGTGCAAGGCTCGATTGCGAGGAATTCGTCAAAGGTGAGTACGCGCGGCTTGCAGCATTTCCACCCTACATATATATGTCAGCACTATGGTTTCGATTGTGCACATTGAAGCTATCCCCGCGCTCACCTTTCTGCCCCTCATGGAAGACTGGCGGGCCGGGATGGTACACGCATGCCTCGTCCTCGTTCTCGTAGGTCTTGCCGCAGCCTTTGTGTACGCACTTCTTCGCCATGACTAGGATCTCTAGCAATGCGCTGAGCGAACGGTAGGTGGGTTGATTGCGCGCTGTTCACGATTGTGTCGGCCCCAGATTTATTCCTAGGGCTCCGAATATTCTGGAAGTCGGCGGGCATGCGGTCATGGCGCAGGGGCGCTAGTGTCGGAACAGAAAGCTTACTTTTCGTGGCCATTCCGCGCTCGAGCAATCCAATCATTGTACTACCTTCTCTATATCGTCCTCTTTGTAGACGTGCACTATGTTTCGGGCTACCTCTCCTCTTCTGCGATGTCGGATTACTTTCTTCACCCGAAGTCCTTGCGGGCTGTGTGACACCGCAAAGGCTGTAGTCCACAATGTCAATACAAAGAGACCCCTCGAATATCGAGAAATTAATGTCATGGAGCCAGGGCAGGAAAAGTGGAGAGGCGTGTACGAGTTTGACACTCCAGTCGTGAGTCGTTACGAATATATGTCTATTGCGAAGAGTACCTGAGTGGTTAAGCAGATCCACGTCGACAAGGCAGAAGCTGCAGAAACTACAACTTCATCGCTGAAGCTCATGCACCGGTTCAAAGAAGAGGATGTTATGAAGGCCATGGACAAAGCTGAGCAATTATGACTTGAAAGCGACTAAACCTGGGGTATAGTGGAAACCTATGCAAGCATCCGGGGTATAGCGGCAGTCCAAGCAATATCCTTGATCTCCGTGGTCGCCTCACCCTACTACATCTGGCAAACCTCCTGGAATTACTTCTTCTAGTAACCCTTCGCCAGTGCAGTATCGCATCCGAGATAGAGGGGCACATTTCCGAAGTAGTGCTCCCCCTACCAAGTTAGGGCGTCCAGATGTGGGGTAGCTATGAAAGAGGGGTACGCGACCGGCTCCTTAACTGCTGACAATAGCCCTCGTCGGGCAGGTATATAATGTCAAGAATAATCACAAGAGTCCTTCAAAATTCCCGTAATCTTAGCCTTACACATCTTGTGCAACATTGCCGACCATCTATCACGTGTAGAAATATGAATACCCTCCAAGAAGCAAGTAAACTATACAAGGCCTTTAAGAAGGGAGGTCCGAGTTTCGGAGGCTGGCAGGTAAACAAGGTGTCATTATCAATTCTGTCTAATGTGCTGATGGGAAATGTAGATGCTTCCGGGAACAAACCATGCTCGGGCAATTGCGCGCTCCGGCGTGGACTGGATATGTGTTGACTGTGAACATGGCAACATTGATGGTATTTGATCACACTCAAGAATCTGTAGAAGCTTGGCTAAGTTTGTAAAGACAGCCAAATGCACGAGGCAATCACAGCCATAGCAAAAGAAGGAGTCAGTCCACTCGTCCGCATCGCAGCAAACGAGGCATGGATGGTGAAGCGTGAGCTACCCTTTCTCCCAACCCGGCTACTACTCGGAATCGAGCACTATTCTTGTGAACGAGTCATCCCCAGCAACACCTACGCTGTGTAGTACGGGACTGACAGACCACTAGGAGCCCTCGACGCCGGTGCCCATGGTGTAGTTGTACCGCTAATCTACACCGTCGAAGACGCCAAACGCCTCGTATCCTCCGCTAAATTCCCTCCCGAAGGCCACCGCGGATTCGGTTCACCTTTCCCACTGCAATGCTTCAACGACGAACCTGTAGCATATTACCTTCAAAATGCCAACTCCACCATCCTCACCATAGTACAGATAGAAACCGCCTCCGCCCTGGAGCATGTCCGTGAGATTGCTGCGATACCAGGCGTCGATTGCTTGCTCATTGGCCCGTTTGATCTGGGGAATAATATCGGAAGACCTGTTCTCGGTGAAATGCACCAGGAGCTGAAGGACGCAATCGAGCAGATCAAGGATGCGGCGCATGCAGAAGGGAAAAAAGTAGGCATTTACTGTGGAAACGGTGAGCAGGCGAGAGGTTATGCGGAAAGGGGGTTTGACTTGATCAGCATATTGACGGATCAAATGGGCATTACGACAGCTTTTGTGCAGTCTCTTGCTGTATCTAGTGGCAAGGCGGAAGGCAGTGAGGATAAGAGTGCGAAGGGTTATGATGGAAAATAGGGGCAAAGAGAAGAGAGGGGAGGGGGGCGTAGACTTCCAGTCGGAAAGGCCGCACTGCATGAATATAAATTTGCAGATGCAAATGAATAACAAATGCTGGAGAGGATTTAGTCCTGAAAGACCATGCTTCACCCGTTACCGCTGCCACTTCTCTACATGCTTCATGCTCCCTTCATCTTCTACTCGACTGCTCCTGGGTACCTTGAAGATCTTTTGTGCTAATTTCGTAGATTTGTATATCTCATGCCGCTCGTTCATTAACTTAGAAAAGCAAAGAAGCTACTGTACAGTCGAGGGCCGAGACGCAACCATAGAAAGGGTATAAAACTACCGTGAACACTCGCTATGCACATACACGTACATGAAAGGGAAGCAGAAAATAAACCAGATAGAAGCTCGCTAATGATGACCCTATTGTACAGTTGTTCAGTAGCCCGTGCAGGATTGAGGTAGGTAGGATCTAGGTTGGAGGAGGGGGCCCCGTGAAGTTGGTGGCTTTCAAGACCTGGGGAAGAGCCGCATTCTGAAAACAATTTCAATAGATCATCGGTGCGGCGTCGACTTTGTCTTCTTGTGTCGTCTCATTGTCATCATGCGGCCACCCTGTGCAATCTGACCACTGCCATTACTGCGCGACATCGAGCAGGCAGGCCTGTCTTCGTCCGAAGACATGGAAGCCATAGCGAACGAATCTGTGTTGTGTCCGTAGTAGAGGAGCATACCAGCACGCATCTTTTTGACGCCTAGGATGCCGATGGCGCCGACTGAGTTGCTGTGCTTTACGCTTGGATGGCCTTGATTGATGTTAGACGTACTGTGCTTAGAAAACAAGGCATTGCCTACCTACCCATGAACTCATTCTCAATCATCGATCTAAGCGCTTCGTCCTCTGTCACCTCCACGTACTCTCCGCCCCTGCTCTTCTTCACGCTCTGATAGAGGCGCTCGGCGCATACAGTGGCGGCCATCGTGGTTGCCATGTGCTCGCCTGTTCCGCTTGTAACAGTTGCAACACAAGTCTGTTCTGGATCATCTGGGTCGACAGGGATGACTGCAGCACCAACGCCTACAAGAGCTGCCGGTCCAACTCGTCCTCTATATTTCATGCCAATACCTCCCGACGAAGCACCGCAAGCGATGTTGCCCCAGCTGTCTACCGCAATTGCGCCAACTGTGTCAGTGATGTGGTCCTCTTTCTCGGACTGAAGTGGGAATGGGCCAGCAGGCCTCGGCGCTGTCTTGGCAAAATTCGATGGCGTAGACACACGCGGTGAGGGTGCCTCGAAGATCTTTTGGGTCTGTATCTCCGGCAAAGGACTACCGAGATTAAAATCAGACGGTGCGTCGACGAAGCCTGCTTTCATCGTTTTCGCGCTGGAAGTAGAGTCTGACTCTTCACTAGACCCATCGCCGTAAGACTTGCGCACGGACGCAGCATGTGCTGGATCGCGGTGTGCTTCTTCCGCAATGCGATTGAATGTGCCGTCTCGAGGGACTCGGTGGTCTCGATACTGACTCATGGTTGGCACCTTCTGTGTGCTGTTGATAAAAGCATTGCGAGAGGACTCGGCGACCGTGTGAGGGCGAAAGTCTTCAGGTATCGGGGACTGGTTGGATGTATCTGGCGTGGGGATCCGATCATCGCTGAGCCGAGTGCCCGAGGATCGGTCAGAAAATAGAGGCAGTGAGGGATCAGAAGGGGTACTCGAGGTAACATCCGTCAAGTAGTAGAGTTGTTCGTTGGAGGGCTCTGGCGAGGAGGAGATTAGAGATGGATATCCTCGCAACAGATTCTGTGTATGCTGTTCGCGCATACCCTGCTGCGCTGCCTCATCCTCTGGTGTGATGTTATTTTGTATCTGCCAGCACGAAGGATGACTACCAGCCTTCTTGGCCTTGCGCTCAGCAGACTTTAGGTCAGCGCGCCATCGGATCCATCGCTCTTTTGCAGCTGGCGATATAAGTGCATCATGTGGTAGGATCGGCATGCCCATCTCCGCCGCAAACTCAGTTGCACCTTGAGCAACCAAAAGGTTCGGTGGGACACGGCGTAATGTGAGTGAGCTCATGGTATGGTCGTGAATCATTCGCGCTAACGAGATAGGGTTCTTAATTTCTGAGCAAACTGGTTAGTGACGGTATGTTATCTACCAATGCAGAACATACGAGCTACGGCACCAACAGCCCCGCTGCGACCGAAGTGGTCAACAACAGAGGCGTCACATTCAACAACGCCGTCCATAGCCAGGTTGCTTCCGTATCCGGCGTTTGTGATCTCCCTGTCTTCGAGCGTTTTGACGGCAGCCTCTACTGCGTCCAGCGCCGATCCCCCGTTCTTCAAGATCAACATAGCTAGTTGTGCGGCGCTGTAATTGATTAGCAGAATTGACTTTATGGGACCTGACAGGCGACATCGACAAGATACTTACTCATTACACGCTGCGAGATGTATCTGCTCGTTTTGATGACTGTGGTATCCGGCACCCGCGTGGACGTATATACAGCACACGTCATCGTTAGGTGGGCTACTTGTTGCCTTGCGTATGTGTGACTCGATTGGATATGCACCATCTGTCGTCGCATAATGGCGATGAGAAGCCGACATGCCTTTGGGTGTGGAGAGGCGTCGGCGAAGGTCGCGGAAACGCAGACCGAAATTATCCAGCTTACCACAAGATGAGCGTCCTATTGTAGATGCTAGGTGTAGGTGGAGTAGACTGTCGTTATTGGCAAGCCTCACCTCAGCTGGCAGAATAGATGCGCTGCGGGCACGGGGAGCCTTTGGCCGCTAGGAGTGGGACCTCTATGTGGCTGAGAAGAGGCGATAGAGGGTGATGAGTAAACGGGGGTCTCAAGGGCGTGTTTAGGAGTCCATGGGTGATTGAGATAGTTGAAGCGGAATCGAGAAAGCAGGTGAATTCGGAGGAAAGCTGGGGCGGACTGAGGAAATGTGAGAGAGAGAGAGAGAGAGAGAGGAAAAATGACAAATGAATGAAGAGGATCGGGTGTCCTATGGCGGTGTGAACAATGAGAGTGGGAGAAGAGCACGGCGAGCGCTATAGGGTTGGTGTCAGTATGTGAGAGATGGAGAGCTAAGTGAGGACGGCCATGTCGGATGCTCCTGCCTCGACACCTGCCTAAGCCATGTGCATGACGAAAACTAAGAATGGCACAGGTCTTCAGGTCGTCCCCGTATAGCAGGCACGCCGATATAAAGAGGAAGGAACAAGTTTGTTGACATCTGCACTGCTGTCTAGGACCCGGCGGTGAGCTGGAGCAGCATCACCAACTTGCCCCGCCATTTGTTCTCATTTCCGCTGCCAAGGGCGGAGCGGGGCGGTGCCTGATTCGAGAGCAGCCTACATCCACCAAACCTCCGCCATCCCACTACTCTCTCCCTCAACAACTCGCGCCTACGTACATCCGCTCACGGGTACACCCGAGCTGCTTCTTGTATTCGACTAGGCTCGCAAGCAGTAGCAAAGATGGCGTCCCAAACCCCTGCCGTTGTCATGGACAAGTAAGCTCCCAGCTACCTACGGACCCTCCCCCCATAGCAATTGAGCACTAACGTTGGCATGCAGCGGTACGGGATACTCGAAACTTGGTATGCATGGCAGTATCCGCCTGTAATCCAACTAGCTCTAATGATGAGTGTCTAGGCTTCGCCGGCAACGACTCCCCCTCCTTCGTCTTCCCCACAGCGATAGCTACGAAAGGCCCAACAGGCGGCAGCGGCGGCTCCGGCTCCGGCCGACCAGCTATCGCGAACAAGCCCTCTTTTTTGACCGGCGGTGCTGGACCGAGCAGCCATCTGTCTGGGAAGCGGGGTACTGAAGACCTGGACTTCTTCATCGGTGACGAGGCCCTTGCTGCAGCGGCAGGCACGGGCTATGGCATCAACTACCCGATCAGGCACGGTCAAATAGACAACTGGGTATGAAGGTGTCAATCAAGTGGAAGACAGGATTTGCTAATGCTTGATAGGATCTTATGGAGCGCTTCTGGTCCAATTCGATATTCAAATACCTGAGGGTGGAACCAGAGGATCATCATTTCCTCCTCACTGAACCGGTATGCCCCAAGATAACCGTCGAGATACACGGCTAACGTAGGACAGCCGCTAAACCCCCCTGAAAACCGTGAGGCCACCGCCGAGATCATGTTCGAGTCCTTCAACGTCGCGGGTCTATACATCGCTGTGCAAGCTGTTCTTGCACTGGCTGCATCATGGACAAGCTCCAAAGTCCAAGATCGATCTCTCACCGGTACTGTTATCGACTCTGGAGCAGGTGTTACCCACGTTATCCCCGTCGCCGAAGGTTACGTTATTGGCTCGTCGATTAAGAGTGTCCCCATCGCCGGTCGCGATATCACCAATTTCGTACAATCCCTTCTCCGAGAGCGTGGCGAGCCTGATTCGTCTTTACAGACCGCTGAGCGTATCAAGGAGGAGTACTGCTACGTGTGTCCAGATATCGTCAAGGAATTTGCACGCTTCGATCGCGAATCAGACGATCGCTTCAAGCAACACACCGTCAACTACGCGAATGGCAAGACTACGACAGTCGACGTCGGTTACGAACGCTTCCTTGCACCCGAAATTTTCTTCAACCCAGAAATCTACTCGTCAGATTTCCTAACCCCGCTACCTACCATCGTCGACAATGTCATCCAAACCTCGCCCATCGATGTGCGCAGAGGGTTGTACAAGAACATCGTGCTGTCGGGTGGCTCAACGTTATACAAGGACTTTGGTCGCCGCCTGCAGCGTGACATCAGACACCTAGTAGATGCCCGCATCAAGGCGTCAGAAGCCAGGAGTGGAGGGGCAAAGAGCGGCGGCCTAGATGTTCAGGTTATATCGCACAAGAGGCAAAGACATGGACCGTGGTTCGGAGGCAGCTTGCTTGGTCAGACTCCAGAATTCAAGAGCTACTGCCACACCAAGGCGGAGTACGACGAGATTGGTCCCAGCATTGTTCGGAGGTTCGCGCTGCTGGGTGGCCCAGGAAGCACATGAGCGGAGGACACGCGTGGAGACGAAGTTTGGATGATGGGATGATGGACGGTCTATGAGCGAGCATGAGATTGTTGCACAAAATTAAATGAGTAAAGACAATCAATCACTTAATTTCGTGCACTTGCACATGCGTTGATTCTAATAACTATCGTACACAGCAGGGTTCAGCAACTCTCATCAAAGGGAACTCAGACATGATCATTTTTGGTCGCACCCTGCTGTTCCTCGGTTTTCGCCCCAGCACTTTTTCGCTTAAGCACCGCAACACCCTCAACATGCCCAGTCTGCGGGAAGAAATCGAATCCCCTCAAACTCTCAATCTCATAGCATCCTTCTCCCGTTCCAAAGCCACCATCAACGCCCGTCATACCACCCACCAGCACGCCAATATCACGCGCCTGCGTGTGCACGTTGCAACTCACGTACACCACGCGCGCAGGCCCGTATTGCACGAGTTGGCGGAGGAAGGACTCGTCACAGCCTTTCCGGGGCGGATCAATCATGACGACCGTTTCGTCGGCGGGAGACGATATGGAAGCAAAAAGCCGGGCGGCGTCTGCAGCGATGAAGCGTGTTGACGACTCGGGGAGGTTGTTGAGTGCGGCGTTTGTAGTTGCGGACTGGATACTACTTGAACTTATGTCGATTCCCAACGAGCTTTTGAATAGTGCGGAGAGAGTTATGGTGAAGAGACCAGAGCCGGAGTATGCGTCGATGAGGTGGGTGATTTTGTGATCGGGGGTTGAGGGGAGTATGTGCTCTCGAATGTATTGTGTGAAGTCGGGGAGGATGGAGTTGTTGTTCTGGAAGAACGAGCCTGCGGGATTGACAAACTGGAAGTCGCCGATGTATTCTGTCGTCTTCGCGTTTGGATCCGTCACGCAGATCTTCCTGTGTAGGTGTACGCCTGTGTCCTCGACAACTGCATCGGGATCTTTCTCTGCTGAGGCATCATACTCTTCCTTCAAAGTGCGTTCGGTGCTCTCTCGCAGCAGTAAAGTCGCTCCTTTGTGGTATTTGTCAAGGTTATCAGCGACACGTTTCCGCTCGCGCTTGTTGCCGTTTCGCACAGCGTCTGTGCCAATGGGGCAATCTTCAATGTCAATGGTGATGCGGGTACCCTTTTTCATGAAGCCGATTGGAGGTAGCTCCTTGAAGCTACGTTTGATACCGTTGCGGCCGTCGCTCCTCCTCGCATCTGGCGGGCCGTCAAAGTGCGGGGTGAGTTTTGTTCTATATCCATATTGCAGCGGTGAGCCGATGGTGTCCCCAATGGCAGGTATGAGCTCTGGTGGCAGGTTGGAGAAGTTCTTGTACGCCTTCTCGACTATGGACTTCTTATGTTGCAGTTGGTAATCATAGGGCAGCATCTGGAACTGGCAACCTGAGCAGCTGGCAAAGTAACGGCATTTTACTAGTGATGAATCACGGTGTGGTGAGGGCGTAATGACTTTGACAATGTCGGCCATGGAGTATTTTTCCCTCTCGAAGTGTTTGAAAATTTTTGCGGTTACAGTGTCTCCGGGTGCTGTGAATGGAACCACGTAGACTTGGTCTGAGTCCGAGCCATTTTGGAGTCCGAGACCGTCCCCGGTGGACGAGATTTGTTGAATAGTGACCTCGATCTCTGATAGCCGTTCAGGCAGCGTAGATGAATTCTCTTTCCCTTCTCTTTCTAGGCTGACTTTCTTGAGGAGAGCAGTAACATCTTCCAGCAAAATCTCCTCATTGGTCCCGTTCGTTTTCAATATCTTACTAGTCTCGGCATGCCCATTCTTCATCCTTTTGTTCTTGAACCTGTAGTTTCCCCGTGACCCTTCCTCGGTTCGTAATGGTGTTTCGGCATATCTTTTCGCGCCATTGCTCTCGATAGGCGCAACATTGTTTGCTGCGGAAGCCATGCTGTACTTGGCAATTTTGATCTTCAGACTGCTGGCTAACAACGTCCGGAGCGGTCGAGTAAAGGCACGCGAAAACATGTGCAGAAATTCAGACGTCGAAAAAGGTCGAAAAAGCCATGTTAGTAACTCAGTTGGGCAAGGCGGCGATTGGTTGCTGCACGAATATGCGGCTTAGTCATAAGTGGAACTCGCGAACTTCACTTCCAAAGTTGTGGAGGAGGGTTCGGGTGCAAGACACGCAGCGGCTCCTACGTCCATTAGCCCTTCTGTGCGCCCAACTGGCCTTTATCGGACAGAAAGAAGGCATCATGAGCGTCTGCCGCCCCGCACGATGTCTTTTCTCCAAGGCCACGTCGACTGCGCTCCCCAAGCCATGTCCGCAACGCTCCTTCCACGCATCAGCTCCACGACCAGCGCGCAAAAAGAGGCCCCACTACCCGTCGATAAAGGCCGATGACCTCAAGCTTCTCAATCAAGCTGCAGAGGCCGAATACCCCAAGTTCGACACCGCCGAGATAACCCTCCTCGAGAAGAAATACACCCCCTCGCAGATTGCCGCCATCAAAGCTGCCGAGTCCACAATCGACGCACGAGATGTCCTCACACAGGGCCAGCGACGAACAGACCCATGGCTTCTCAACTACGAGGATGACCTCGCACAAGTCGACCCTGTAACCGACCACCCCGAGAAACTGGGGCCGGACGACATCCCTGGGAAAAAGACGTTCCGGCTTGCAAACGATGTAGAGCGCGACGAAGCAATATCCCGCATCGCAACCGAGAACCTCGCCAAAATGTATCCTGAAGGTTTACCAGAGGGGCAATTGGATCCAGTGGATGAGCAGAAACTGCAGGACGCCATGGAAGCGGCGCTGTCTCAAGCCGCACTCGACCCACGCGCAACGTACACTTCTTCGAACCCCGCGGCCCTCGAGGCATTAGCTGACCCGCGTCACTCCATTGTCGCCCCAGATCTCCCCCGAGTCGAAAACCGCATGGCGCGCCAAACCCGCCGCCTTTCCACCGAAGAGGAAGAAGACCCGCGTCAAAAACGCCTGTTGCAGTACCTGGGCTGGGACAAGCAGAAACTGCGTACCGTCCGTGTCAAGACGCTAGTAACCCACAGCGTCACGAATCAGACAAGAATGGGCAAGATTAGGAGTCTATACTTTTTGACCATTGCGGGAAATCAGGATGGATTACTTGGTGTAGGGGAGGGCAAGAGTGTAGAGCCGGAAGAAGGGCGAAAGCAGAGCGTCATGTCGGCTATCCGAAATATGCGACCAGTTCCGCGTTACGAGAACAGAACCACGTTTGGCGATTTAGAGAAGAAGGTGGGGGCTACCAAGGTGCAGCTGTTCTCACGCCCACCAGGTAAGATTCACCTTTTCCCACACTATCTTATCTCTCTGAACAATCTTGACTAACGTCGACTAGGGTTCGGGCTCCGCGTCCAACATCTGATCTTTGAACTCGCGCGCGCCGCCGGCCTGCAGGACCTGTCCGCCAAAACTCCCCGTTCAAGAAATAAGATGAACGTCATCAAGGCGACGTGGGAGGCGCTCACGAACCAGAAGCTGCCGGATGAGATTGCCAGGGCGAGGGGCAAGAAGCTGGTTGATGTGCGGAAGGTGTACTATGGAGGATCTATACATTAGGAGATGTAGTTGTCCAAGAAGCAGCGGGACCATGGAAAGTGTATGATATATACTGTGAAGCATGAGTGATGGGAGCTGTGAAATGTGTATGTTGTACTATATGCATAGCATTGGGCGGGCGTGTGGCATTGTAGACCTTGTATCATACAACAACCTTCACATAATCACTTCGCATTCGCCTATCCAACCATCGTATTGACTCTCATCTCATTATCCTTGGGGTATCATATCCACTTTATCCACATGCATGCATGCACAGCAACTCCCTCTCGCCATCCTTATCCATATACTCCTATCTTTATCCATCCATCTCCCTCCGCCGCCGCTCAGCCTCGTCCTTCTCCCTCCGCCACGTCTCGACCTCGTCCGGATTCAGCTCACCACCCGCCCCATCAGTAATCTGCTGGTTCAGCACGATACTGTACACACTTGCTTTCAGCAGAGTGAAGACCAGACTTGTTTTGCGCTCGAGGCCGCGCAGACCGTCGAGGATGGCGGCGCTGGGCTTGTTCGAGAGGGCGAGGAGGAGCGTGGACATCTACGTTCATTCTTGTTAGTGCCGTGTGTAACAGGTGCGCTTGCTTGGGGAGTAATGGGGTGGTGGAGGCGTCCGTCATTCTCTTCCTACTTTTAAAAGGGAAAGACACGTACGGTATTCAGGTTCCCTAGTAACCGCGCATACTCGTCCAGGACCTCTTGTTCAAGTGGGGTCAAGCTTTCGTCGCCTTGCTCTGCGCCGCCTGTCGTTTGCGAGGTCGAGGGCGGGGTTTGATCTGGTGTTTCTGACGCCATGTTTTCTCTTCTCTTTCGGTCTCTGAAATTTTGCTCTATGCTGAGGTCGGAGGTCGTGGCGATTGGGTATGGTTTGATTGTGTGCGCATGTGTTATGCGGTGTGGTCGGGTGGATGGGTACTGTTGGGTGTGTGCGAGTTGTGAAGGTAGACCTGATTGTTCATGAATGCAATGGTACGGGGTAGAGTGAGACTAAGATTGATAGACGTTGATTGAAAACTGATATCTGGTTGTGGGTGGTCTCGTCACGTTATTGCTCAGATTCAGCGCTGCGAATTAGTGGTCGCGGGGAAGACGCGTCTTAAACTGGCCCGTGCGTCTGATATTGAACGATTCAAGTCATCTTGGATCACGTTCGAGCGAATACACAAGATATCTTGGACTATCATATATTCACATGGTGTCTTTCTCATCATCTCCCACAACCTAATGACACCTCCTCGTCCTTCGACATATACCTCGCCGTACCGCCCACGTGCCACTGCCCTTGTACCACATGTCGTCGACTCCAACCCCTGAAGATGCTGTCAAAACAAAAATACTAACGCCGAAAAGAATTTTACAATCGCTTCAATGCCTCTGCTGACTCGGCGAACTCGTAGAAACGAAGTATGATTCCCATAAACGCCGCTGCCGTGAAAAGGTTCCCAAATCTATTGACCGCAGCAAATGAGTGGAGGTAGGAGTAACGCATATGAACGCCTCCCATGATGAAAAGTAGAAACAGCCATGATTCACGCTTTTGTAAGAACCATGAGCCTAAGAGATGCTAATCGCACCGATCCTATCGATGCGACTTCGTTTGCAAGAGTGCAAGGTGCGGCTGATCGTTGTTGTTATTGCTGTTGATCGTCCCCGTCGTGGTGGAGGGTAACGCTGTTGAACTCCTCAAATGGGTCTACAAGCTCGCCCATTGGAGTGGCCAGACCAGAATCGAGAGGCACACCCTTGACCCTGGCGGCTCCAATGTCTACACTCTGGCTTTCCTTGACATTTCGAAAATTGGGCGTTTCTACACCCTGGCCCTGGTGTGGGACGATGGGTGGCTTCATGTGACGTAGTAATGCCCATTGCGTGGTACGGAAAAAGGGCGCCGTCTTGATGTCCGAGGCACCGGCGCGCGAGCCAAGTCGACGGGTTTCATCTTTGATCAGGAGCTTACGGACGATAGACTTGCAGAGGCTACGAACTTGTTAGCATTGGGTTTGTGCGATGTAATGGCTGCAACGTACTTGGACACTGCTGGCGCACCAGAGCCGTCCGGAAACGGCACCTCATCGCGGAGGATGTTGGCAAAGGTTGCGTTACGATTCTTGCCCTTGAATGGGGTTGTTCCGTACAGCATCTCGTAGATCAAGATTCCAAGAGTCCACCAATCGACTGCACTGGTATGTCCGCAGCCTTTGATGACCTCTGGCGCGATGTACTCTTCTGTGCCTACAAATGAATTCGTCCTAAAGTTATTTATGCATGACTTGGTGTCGATCGTCGGCAGGTTGCTTGAGGAGGTACCGTTGCGACCGCTTATGATCATTGTTGGGCGACCCCCCGGGTCAGACTGCTTTGACAGATCAAAGTCTGATAACATAATGTGTCCAGACTGATGTAACAGAATGTCTGCAGTAGTTAGCATCTCCACTCTGCAAATATAGTTCAAGACGTACTCTCTGGCTTCAAGTCTCGGTAGATGAAGCCCATCAAATGCAGGTACTCCAATGCAGCCGTGACTTCAGCCGCGTAGAAGCGCGCTGCATCTTCGTCTACGCACTTGTTCGGTCGTGTTTGTAGAGCGCGGAAGAACTCGCCACCACTACAATACTCCATACATAGGTAGAGGTGATCTTCCGACTGGAAGGAGTGGTATAGAGTAACAATAAAAGGATGGTTGCTGGTTGCCAAAATCTCCTGCTCAGCCAGGGCTCGCTTGATCTTGTTTCGTTTGATCATCTCCTTCTTGCTCAGCACTGGAAATTATTAGCATAATTCTCTACAAGAGGACCGGCAGTTTATACCCTTCATAGCATACAGCCTGCTCGATTTCTTCTCTCGCACCAAGTACACCTTTCCAACATCGCCCTTTCCGATCAGCTTGATCTTGTCGAAACTTCCTGGCCCCACCTCGACATTGCGGACCTTGATGGAATTGGAGCTGTATGTTCTCCGGAAAGCTACAGACTGGCGGATCTGGCCTGGTGTAGGGAGTGGCTGGCCGGTCTCGACGGGTATGAGATGGGTTGGGTCGGGCACGTTGGTCTCCACCATGCTCAATGTCGACGAGTTCGGGTGATGCAACACCGGCTGCTTGCCAAGTTCGGCAGTCTGTGGTCGTTCAGTTGACTTTCCGGATGAAAACAGTCCCTGAGCATTGGGCGCAGAAGCTACTCTTCGCAGTTTCCTCGCCAGTTCCTCCTTACCGGCTGCTGTAGCCTGGTCATTCGCACCACTTGCGGCATCTGTCTTTATTGTCGGTATTGATGGCGTGTCGGGGGGAGACGGAGGAACGCTACCCTCATTGTGATGGCGGAGGGCGGGGGGTCCTTGGTGGACAAAGTATGGATTGGCATTGGCGGTAGGCGAGGCGGAGTCGTCCAACGGGTTGCCCTCACTCGCGACGGTGTGCGAGCGATTGCGGGAGATGTGAGGAAGGAACCTCGACTGGCGGAAACTGGACTTTTCGTTCTTGGATGCAGGGGCAGTCGCGTTGGACTCATCTGAGTGCTTGCGGGTATCGCCGTTGCTGTTTATGCGGAAGAAGTTCTTGATGCGCTGTGAGACCTGGCTGTCCTTTCCGTTGACGGCCTTGTTGGCCGAGAGCGGGACGCCCGAGAAGGTGCGCTTCTCCGTCATGGTGGAGTGGCTCGAGGTCGAGGAGCTGAAGAGCTGCGTCATAGCGGTTGCACAATGTAGCTGCCGGCGGCGAGCAGAGCTTCGTCACGACGCGTGTCGAAGGCGATGGAGCAGGGAGGCTGACGGTTGAGGCGTGGTGGGTCAGTGGGCCATGGCCGGTCTGGGCATGTGGATGTGTATGTCGATGTCGATGTCGGTGTCCAGGTGCTGCGGCGAGTCGTGGGTGCGGCGTGAAAGAATGTCGCCTTGGGCGGGCGGGCGGCGCAGGCGGTGGGGAGGGAGGAATGCGGTGTGGCGATGCTAGCAGTGAATCTCTACACTGCTCAGCTGGGATGGAGAGGACGAGGACAGGGAGGGAGGAGGAAGAAGAGGGAGCGGAAGAGAGAGAGAGAGAGGTAGGAAGGTGGTCGACTCGTAGGACCGACGCTAGAATGCCAGAATCCCTGTCTAGGGAAGCCGCGAGCGAGAGAGGCGCTGCCCGTGCAAGAGAGACCGACGACGCGGTAAAGGCAAACCAACCCTCCGCAGTCCGCAGTCCGCAGTTGACCAAGCATCCATTCACTCTGCCTGTGCCTGTGCCTGTGCCTGCGCCTGTGCCCGTGCGGCCTATTTCCAAGCAACGCGCAATCCTCGGGGTTTATTCACTTAACGGCTGATGATATGCTTTGCACCCTGAAATGGCCCTCTGGCGTCTTCCCCACAGTGCCACCAGGCTCGATTTATCAGCACCACCACGACGAGCCCGGCGTCATGGCAGCACGCAATCTCCATCCCATCCAGACGTCTGTAGTAGCCATATCGTCCCATCATGTCCTATCCACATCTTTGCTCTTCCTCCTAGGCTGTGCTATGCCAGCGAAGCATCATCCGCACCTTCTTCTGCGCCCCGCCTTCTAGAAGTCACGAGTTAGGCAAGGCGTATCCACATCGCCTTTGCCGACAACATACAACGGCAACAAGATCAGACCAACAGTGCTTGCATGACAATTGCGTCTTATTGCTATGTAAACCTTTAGAGATGCTGTCGACTACTCTAATTATACCATTATTAAAGACGTGAGTAACATGCCGACTGAAAGGAGACAAGATCCCGTCCTCGCCTTGACAACGCACCCTCCTTGTCCTTTCCGCCAATCCACCCCTACTCAAAGATATGTCGTGAAAAAGAGAAAAGAACCCGAAGACAGCTGCTTGTAGACTCGTTGTATCATGTTGCTGTTAGGCTGTAAAGCGATAATCTCCATGCCCTGGCCCAGACGACATTGCCAAGAAACATGTCCATATAATCCTATACCTGGTAAACGTCGTCTTCGCCAGAAACAGAACCGACGACGTCAATGAGACAGCGAGAGGGGAAAAAAGCCAGAAGAGCATGTTGAGATAGGCGAGGTTGAAAAGGTCGACTGGTCTATCCAACGAGTCGTCCCGACATGGCCGACGAAAAAAACGTCATACCAAACCATGTCCATGATCAGGTCCCAGTGTTCCTACGGTGCGCCTCGATTTCCTTCATCTCCGTCTGCTTGAGTTGATGGAAGCGCTGTCGCCACTTCTCCGATCGCTTCACTCGGTCCTCGGGCGACATGGCGCGAGGGTCGTCTTTCTTGACACGTCTAAACTTGTTGGTCACCTGTTCAAGCTTTGCTTTGGCAGGGGAGTGCTCCCCGGACTTCTTTGGCGAACTCGGTGGCTTGAGGGGCGAAGATACTGTCGTGTCACCTCCACCAGCCGTAGCCTTCTGCTTGCCTTTGCTGCTTGATGGCTTGAAGCAGGAAGCCGTGACTTCCTCCGTCTCCACTGGGATAGGAGCCTCGGTAGACCGATTGCCCGTGGAAGAATGACTGTCCTCGATATGCGTATCGTTGGTCATCTCTGCCAGATCATCCATAGCACCATCCAGTCCTGACAAGCGATGGTCAGCGAAGACCCGGATAGCGGGCGCGTTGTCTGCTCGGAACCCGCTAGACCCCATCTCTTTGGGAGTCGGGTAGAAGCGCTGCATGGACAATGGAGTGGAATAGCCACGGTTCTGGAGTTGGTGTCCAAAAGTCTGTCGTGAGGCTCCACCGCCCGAGAAAGAGTCTGTGGGGGATGGATTACCTTTGTCCTGCATCCTCATGCCCATGTCATTCTCGGTACATGGAACTGCAACGAGCCGTTGCTCAGACGCGAATCTGTCTTGGAACATCCCAGCGGGGTTGAGAAACTCCCCCATGCTCGAGGCATTGCGCTGGCGTGGGTCATGCATAGCTTCGTTGCAGAGCATATACGAAACTGGGGCATCCTTAGAACCTTCGCGTGGACTGTACACAGGAGCCCGACGGTTATTTGCCGTCGGGTTGCCATTCGCCATCCGGATGTTTTCCTGGCTTCCTCTTTGGGTAATATTGCGACCAAACGTCATGCTGACCGCGGAATCGTGAGGCATAGACCCAGCAACGAGGCCCCGGAGCGAAGGAGTGTGAGAGTCCATGCCTCGTGCGTACACATCGCGAGCAGAAGACTCAGCTTGGCACTTCTTAGATTCATCCGACAGGAAGTGCAGGAGACCCTGTATATACCCTTGCAGAACTTCGGGGCTGTCGGGAATACCAACATGGTCGTAGCCGGCCTGGTAGCCCTCTTGGTACGTAGATGGGACATGCGTCACGGCCTTGCTGGAGAAAGGCCACTTCTCTTCCGCGCTAGTGCGTTGGTTCGAGTCTGTTCGCAGAAAGCCACTCTTACTCGAGGCTGAATTCGAGGCTTTGGCACCCATGGCAGGACCTTGCTCGAAGGTAGCAGCGGGGGGTTGGCGCGCTGCCCCTTGCAGCAAAGACGAAAGAGAAGGCTGTTTACCGAAAGTCTCAGGCCATGAAGTAATTTTGGACACCGGTTCGTTGTTCTTCGAACGACCTGAATGAACCTCATTCCACGGACTGGCAGGCCAATGCTTCTCTGGTGTAGACGGGATAGCCGTATTCTCGTTGGAGGGCGGTTCGGCTTCGTTGGACTGCGGGGCGACTCGGGTAGATGAGTGTTCATGTGTGTTCGTAGGAAAGAAGTCTGTTGTATCGATGCTTGACAGGCTATACTTCTGGGATAGGGTTCGACGTTCGTGCTTGTCCGGCTTTGACGTCTGTTCCACACGCCATGGTGACCGCTTCGGCGGCGAAGGTGTGGGTGGAGCAACATCATGAACAGAGTTCGACTTGAACGCTGGTTCGTAGGTGGGACTCTTTGGATCCAAAGCAGATATGGCTTGCTTCTTGGTCTCTATGTGAGGCGGCTTGATCTGGACGGCATGAGATCGACGGCTCCCTGATCCTGGGGAATGAGGGGCGGTCGTCGGAGTTGGAACAAAAGGCGTCGGTTCTGTGGTGGGAAACCCAGGGAACACACCAAACGGCGGCTGGTACATTGCCATAGGCGCGTATGGATTTGCGGCAGGGAAGGCGTACATGCCCTGAGTAAGTGGCTGCTGGAACGGAGGGAAGGGCGAAGACACCGGTGCTGAACCTGCGACTGTACCAATTGGACCGAATGAGTTCGGCTGAACAGAGGTAGTAACGTCGGTTTCGAGGGCCGTAATCTGCTTTCGGAGCGCATCGAGTTCGACAATCAAGCACCGCTTCTTTTCGATCATGCTTGCCCGCCATGCCTCGCCCTGGTGATTGGCTTGCAGCACTTCGGTCTGCTCCACGGTTCGGAGCTCCTGCTTTTTGAGTGCCTGCTGGGCTTTGAGGGTTGGGAGATCCAAGCCTGCGAATGGTGTCTGAGTGTTGGCACGCGGTGGGCCAAAGGCTGCACCAGAGAGGGCTCCATGACTTATCAGAAGAGTTGGGTCCGAAGCGTGTTTTGCCGTCGGTTGTTCCATTGCTGATGCACCACCCGAGGGCATCGCGGAATTGGGTGTATTGACGGCGGGAAGCGCAAACATCCTGTCGCCGACGAAGACAACGGGTTGACCGCCAACGACCTCAATTCGAGCAGTGTTGTTGATGTTGGAATTGGGTTGCGCGGACATGACGTTGCCCGGAGCGACACGCAAAGCTTGCGGCTTGTAGGTGTTGTCACCAAAGCGGGAGGTGCCTAATGGCGCGAGATCGCTGGGTACAATTCGACCACCTGCAGTTACTCGCATGCCCGGTGGACTGCCGTGTTCTTTGAGAAGCTTCTCAGCCTTGCCACGCTTGACCGAAGGGGAAGGCGATGGCCTCTTTTGGGATGCGGCGGGAGCAAACGCCGGCACGTCGGAGGGTCGTAGACTTCTATTGGAAGATCTACTAGCCAAATTTGCGGATGCCGATGCGGAAGGGCGAAGAACGTGTTCTATGTGGTGAAGCGGTTAGTATTACTGGGATTGCTATGAAAGAACGAAGAGAGATGAGTGGGTCAAGAGGCGAGTATGCTGATTCATCAAAGTTGTAGGGTAAGTGAAGTGAAAGGTGAAAGGTGAGAGGTCGAACACTGACCTTTGATCACATCCTCGCTGGCGAATCTGTCAATCGATACAGCTGATTCCGAGACCGAGTCGCGGAGTGCGAGCAGCTCCTCGACCTTGTATGCGAGAGACATCGCGGGTGGTCCGTCACCCCAAGTAGGCAGCGTAGGCAACGAGCCGTCGTTTCGATCAAGCGTCGGTATCAGAGGCCAATCGAACAGCGGACTAGACAAACAGCGAGAGTTGAGATGGTGTGATGCGAATATCCTGAATCGTCAGCTAGAACCAGTATCGTTGCATATCTTGTAAACAGTGAAGCATAGCTCGTCATCGTGAAAGCTAAGGGACCAACAACAGTTAACGTACCCCAAAGCTGGTCGATGGGAGGTGCGAAGTGAACAACAAGCGGGCGACGGCTATCCAAAAAGCCGAGCAGCAATGCGAAAGAAGACGGGGCGGAACAAGAAGATGGAGACAAATGAGTGTGTGTATGAGAGGGACGGAAGAAGCTGCTTGGTAGATAGTTATAGCCTCCATCTTCGCTGCACCTCCCCAAGAGTGATGCACGGCCTCAGATCTAGGAAGGGGAGACGGTGTGAACTGCCGAAGCGGAGAAGGACAGAGGAAGCACATCGTGGGCTCCAAATAATAGAGAAGCGATGAGTCGTCATGGCCATCGAGATTCAACACAAGGAAAGAGCTGTAGCGCTGATTCATGAGCCACTGCACGCGGACTTCGACGAAGCAACAGCAGATGCAGGCAGGAAAAGCTGGGACCTAGCAGAATTGTAGACTCAACTATGAAACATGGACACCTACTGTACTTTCCGGTGGTGGTTTTGTAAGTCCGGTGCTAGTTACATCTCACTTAGATCCCGAGAAACCCAGTCATACATCGTTTTAGGCACCTTCTAGACGCCTTCGCTATGCATGCCATATACATAATCCATGACGCCATATTCGTGTTATCACATTACCGCTCTATGGTGCTTCTCTGAACACTCCAGTTACTCGTAGTTGCAACGCTAATTGAGATGGCTGGCACTGCCTACTTCCTGCGCGTGCTTCGAGTAGTCGGCGGGTCAAACGCGGCCTCATCATCATCGGAGATCTCATCGTCGCTCTGTAGTCATCATTAGCAAGCAGTATCATGTTATAGCACTAGATTATCACTTACAGGCTCAATAACCTTCCTTCCGCGCGATGGTACGGCTCGCGTGGGCTGACTGCGCGGCGTAGTTGTTTGTGAGAAATTCAAGGTCGATTGTTTGGACATAGCTGGCGCCTTTGCTCGCGTGGTAGCTGCCTTCTTCACTGGTGACTTTGCTCGTGCTGCTGGTGCTTTCGCAGTAGTCTTTTTTGCGGGAGCCTTCTTTTTCGCTCCAACGAAAAGATCTTCTGCGCTCTCGTCATCATCATCGCTGATCATGACTATGTCGCCGTCCTCATCGTCGTCATCCTCCTCTTCCTCAATCACCTTCTTCTTTCCGCGACCGCCTTTGGCCGCTGGAGCGGTTTTTTTGGTGGCTGCAGCCGGTTGACGGGTGGTACCAGCTGCTTTACCACGACCACGTGCAGCAGGCTTCTTCGTTGGTATAGAACCTAGGCTTTCGCCATCATCCTTCTCTCCTTCATTGTCAGAACGAACCAGAGCAGCAGGCTGCTCAGCCCAAGGACCATCGAAATCGCTATCCCAGCCACTTGGCTTAGGTTTGATCTTCGCTTTGCGAGTCTTCTTGAGCTGTCCAGAGGCGAACAAATCCTCTAGTTTTGATCGGTACTGATCCATCTCATCTATTATCTTAGCCTCGTCGACGTCGTTGGCATCCATCAAGTGCTTCAGCTGGCTGGTCAGACTATCGCTGACGAACGTCTCCATGGCGTGTTTGTCATCCTTGTCTACGAATTGGGTTACAGCGTCTCCGAATGAGTTTTGTGGCAAAATCGTCAAAGTCTGTGCGGTGAGGAACTCCTTGACTAGCTTATCCACCTTCACAGAATCGATCGACAAGTCGGCCAGCACTTGCTCATCCGGCATTTCGGCGTTGTTCTTCAGAGCTCCTGCAATGATATTAGAGACAGATCAACGTCGACGGAACGACGGGACTTACGATTCACTGGTTTCTTCTTTCGGTGGAATTGCACCACATCATTGACATTTGCGACCTTGCCCATGAAGCGATTTGAGATGCGCTGAGGATTCTCGCAATGAAACTCACCCGGCTGAGGAGCTGTGTATTCAACGCGTAGGCGAACAAGAGGCTTTGGAACCTCAATGTCATCCCCCTCTTCTCGATCAACCTGGAGATCGAGCCAGTCTCGCTTGGCTTCTTCTATCAGATTTTCGATGACCTTATTCAGGTATTGGGTAATCTTTGCACGGTTATCCGTAATCCGCCAAATTTCCTTATCCTTGATTTCCTTCTCTTCCGCCAGCACAATTTCCTTCATGATGAAGGGCCGCACCGTTTTCAGGCGAATGTTCTCGCTTGTGAACTCTTTGCCTGTAACGCTTAGGATACAAACGTGCTTTGGTACCGCTTCTCCGGGCATGAGAGACGTAGCAACTGACGATCCAGGTTGCATGACGTGGAATCCCATTTCAGGGTTATACCGAGGGTCAATTAGGCACTCGTGCTCATGGCCCCATACTACTAGATCCATAAAGTCTGGTAGAAAGTTCTCAGGAAGGTAGCTAGTCGGCGTATGGGCATGATGGTTCTGGTGAACGCTCATCAGGTTGAACCATTCGTCCTTCCGTGTCCCTGGTTGGAAGAACTTGACGTTTCCGTCTCGCCATGTGTGGAAAAGACGCTCATCTCGAACATTGCTCAGGCCGTATAGTGCAAGCTTCGTTCCGCCTTTCTGTAAGAGTACCGGCTTGACCGCAATCTTGTCCACCTCTGGGGTACGCCCGAAGTAATTGACGAAACCGGATGCCTGCAACAAATCGAGCGGAGAGTATGAACCTTCGCCAGATGGATCGTCATGATTTCCATGAATCGCAAATACAGGTATCGCGATGTTGATGTCTTCATCCTCGTAGTTGACGTGATCGAAGATTCCGCCAAAGTTCTCGCTTGCATCGCTCAACATTTCCAACTCGCATGGCTTCTCTCCGAGACAATTCATGCGCAACGACCGCATGACCTGGTACATCGACTTCCTCGACGGCTTATTCTCGTGAAAAAGGTCACCAGCATGCAAGACCATGTCCACATCATGCTCTTTCGCTAGGCACATAACCTCGTGGAAGGTTTTCCAGCTATCGTCCTTGCGTTCCGCATCGCGTTCGTTGTATCCGACATGGCTGTCTGTGGCGACGAGTATGCGAATGGTGTCTGCTCCTATACATGTGTTAGAGCCTCTATCATCCTATCGAGGTTGCAGCATACCTCGCTGCGGACCGCGTGCTCGTGGCGGCATGATGGGCACTCTGTTTGTGTGGGAAGGTTGATCAATGCTTGACTGAGGCGGCAATTAAGGTGTTCAACAAACTTGAAGAAATGTTTGCAGGCACCGGGGCCTCTTTATGCATAAACCATCCCACTGCAGGTGTACCACTGACGGGCAAACGTTCACTCCCGCGACGCGCTTCAGCCTAGGCCAAGCCATTAGCTGCAGCCACGTCATCACGTGATCGAGATATGGCGGAGAATCTGAAAACGGTCGCCGACCTCATCTTTCACGCCGTACGCTGCAATGTTTCCCACGAGGGCGCTCTGCGCTCGATCGGTCTGGAAAGGTAAGTGATCCCAGGTAGATTTAGCTGGATGCAAGTGTTGTGGATGAATTGAGCTGATCTGTCGCATAGGGCCCAACATTGTTCCGTAAGTTGATACTCGCAAGCCCTCCATTCGGCATCATCTAATCGCTCCAAGTCTCCCAATTGTACGAGCGGCACCGGGCGCGAGAGTACCCCCAATCAAGACGCAAGCACGCTCTGCGACGATTCTTCCAAACTTTGTCGGCCTGAAGTTTCAGATACACAACGGGAAGAACTACCTAGACATCACCATCACTGAGGATATGGTTGGACATAAGCTTGGAGAATTTGCACCGTACGTCCCGACTTACAGTCCTGTACTGCTGCATCTGGTATTGAATGGCGAAGAAACAAGACTGACAAGTAATCTTGCAGAACACGGAAGCAATTCACCTATAAGCAGACGAAGAATAAATAAGGGCTGGGTCGCATTTGCATCAAATGGGAGTTTGGGTATCATTGGTGTTTATCTAGAACCCCCATTGTGTACTACTATTGTACAAATACGATCAGCCCTGTTATAGGGTGGAATATCGCAATGTCCTGATGAATGTCTTGCGCCTGTGATAATACTGACCACCCAACGCCTATAATGCAAATTCTCAAGTGCGCCAGCTTTTCTATTTGGTCAGCTCCTCTTGCACGATCATTGCTGTGCGTTGAGACCGCGTCGAACCCCTTTACCGGTAGAACTCGCCGCGCTTGATGTTAACGCCATACTCTCCCACAGCCATACCCAGGTCCTCCATAGTCAGGACGGTCCGTCCTTGACTACCGCCTTGGCCACCGCCGCCATATCCTGGCCGCTGGATACCGAGATTGTAGTCCTTCGCCTTCGCGGCGCTGTCCTTTCCACCCTGCACTCCACCCGGTGCGGCTGCTCCTGGGGGCCCACCTGCACCGCCTATAGGATTGTTACTCGTACTGTTGGATGACCGGATGCGGGAGAACTGGTATGCGTCGGCTGCGATGTCCGCGATGAACTTCTGTGTCGCGAGCGCGAGGAGGCGGGCAAGGTGAGGCGAGGTCTGAGGTGGTGGTGGGAGGCCGGCACGTGTCAGGTAGTAGTTCGTGACTGCGTCTGGTATCTAGCATCGCTGTTAATGTCATGGTCTCGTTTTATGGATGGGCGAAGCTTACGATCGGCGCATACTCATCCATCTTTCCTAGAAACTCCCTTAGAGTTGCATCCTTTTTCGCAGGTATCCGTGCCTCAAACGTGGCAGTTGCATCTGACACTCCGTTTACTGCTGCGGGCTCTGCGTCGTTTGCGCCGTCAAGGTTCATCGCATCGGCCTGCGTCGCGTCTTGCTGTATTTCATCTTCCACGGTAGGGTCCAGCTCTTCGTTTACCTCCATGTTGGTATCGGGCGGTTGCGAAGTACTGTCGGACATTGTTGCGGTGGAATGTGAGTTGCGGGCGGCACGAGCGATATGACGTGGGGAGGGTTTGAACGTTGCGGAGACAATGCGGGAGTGAGGTGAAGGGAGAGTGCCAAGACATCAGATGCGGACGGCGTGGGGGAGCCAATCGGAGTGGTCAAAACTCAACATCAGCATTTGAGAACCCCCCTTCATCTCCCCCGCACGTCAGATGGGTATTCTATGATTCCCTGAGGACTGTCCTGTGCTACTGAGGCGTCCGTTCTTTGGATTGATGTGATCACTGACCCACACGCGGCGTCAGCAATTGGCTACGTTCCAAGAGCAAACGCCAGTGACGCCGCCTGACTTAGGCAGAAGAATGAGGCTCAGCTTGGTGTCCGCTAAAGGAGGTTTTCCAAGCTATTATATATGACGAACGAGTTATACCGACACTTTTTTGCCACGGTATCTGTCACTGCATCCGAAACAGCGACTTGTCTTCCCACAGTCAGCACATTGCAGCCCACACACTGAACCGAAGATACCCACGACCCGGCTTCCAGAGTCGACGGTTGGACGCAATTTCGGCTCTCTCGCATTCTCGCATACAGACTGACTCCAACGTACGCCTGTGCTATTGTCACTAACTGTGGTACACTGGGATTTGACAACAAAGATTACGATGGCGGTACTGACCGACCTGCCAGCTGAGCTCCTGGAACAGATCTACCATTTCCTCGGCAGTATTGACGATGTGCATTGTTTTGGACGAGCTTGTAAAACGACCTACCATAACATTAAGCGACAGAATGTTTATGTTGAGATCATGCGTTCCGTGGTCCAGCATTCGCCCCAACATCGATACGACTATCAGCTCTGTAGAATGCTCAACCTGCACACGAGGATTGTGCATCATTTCGAACAAAATGGGGGCCATCTTCCAGTTACCCGAACGAATGCACTTGGTTACACGCTCAACGAATGGGAAAACGCTCTCGCGTTGGCAAGTGTACCAATTACATGCGAGTCCAGCTTATGTTCAGAATGCCTGCCCGATGAAATGGTGTATGAGATCTTAGCTCGGTATCAAGGATTACGGACCCTCGAAGATATATGGCTGGAGAGGCAGCTCAACGAAAGCGACTTCCTTGCAGTAGATGGCACCTCGGACGCAGACCAGATCATGCAATCTTTCCACACTCTCGTCGGGCGTGCAGAGGAGTTTCGAGATGGCGATATCTCTGCACGTAACTCGAAGACACCCGAGACTAAGTCTTATACCACGTTTAATGCTGACCAGCGAGCACGATTCTACTCGGCTGTTGTATGTGTCTGGCTCTTGAATGAGATCCGGTGGGTGTTGACCAACTTCGCGTACCCAGGTGGCTTCAACATTCCGATTATGGTATTGGAGGGCTGCAGGGAAAATATTGCGAAGCAAAAGAGCACATGCTTACTTGATGAGTTGGATCAACACGCTATATTTACTTTCATGTACCACCACTTGCTCCCATCGTACGGCACCTTTCTCGCTGATCGAGATTCTTCAAAGCTGCCATTCACTTTCTGTTCGGACTTCATGAAGGATAGCCCTCACTGTATCCGGTACGTATATGCAGAGTACAGTTGAAACGCGATTCTAACCTAGTCTTTACCAAATGGCAATCAGGCTAGTGACAATACATCACCAGATGGCTAGGGACACATGCTACTAGAAAGCAATTAACAAGACTAACATCTCCCAACAGGCTGTTGCAATTATTTCTTGCCGCCGGTCAGACCTACCTGCAGCCACCTGACCTGATCGACCTCATTGTCCGCTCGAAGGTTTCCCGTAGAGCCCCCTATCCCCTAATGACGCTGCCGGTCTCGACCGAGAACTGGATCCGGCCGTCAAGGGCCTTCGCCTTACCACACCACTTCGGCCTCTGCGACAATCGCTACAAGAGCTTGATCCAGCGAGCATCTCTCATTCACCTCTCACTCATCATCCGCTCGTCCTTCCACCAAACACAAGACGATATGTCGCAAAACAGGCTCACCGCGCCTGCGCTCAGCCAAGCACCCTACGACCTAAAAGATCATGCGAGGCAATATTTTACCGAGAGAGCCATGGTAGCGTTCGAGCTGTATGAACAGCGTAGCAGCGGGCTGAGGAACATCAGAGACGGGTTTTGGAAGGTATGGGATAGGGTGTTGTGGAGTGTCTGGTGGTGGGCAAATAGTGAGGAGAAGGCTAGGGCCAAGATGGAAAGGTGGAGACAGCGACGACAATGGGTAGGTGGACGGATACCGAGGGCGTAAGATGGGTTCGTTGGAAGAGTTTGATCCCGGGTGGAAGGTAATGTTCCATTGAGAAGTTGGAGTGACAGCGGCCGCATTCATGATGGAGAAGAGCTGATTGTTGGCCTTGCAACTAATGCAAACTAGGCGTGTTAGTTGACTGGGATGCTTTCGTTTTGGCTTGTGGCATCTCGGGTGTATGTTGTAATGAGGATGTTTATCAATGTCCGGCCACCATACAAATTGAGAGACACATAGCAGGATTCACGACCAACTTTAGTTTAGCTTGAGACTTACGGATAATTTGAGTCCTAAACACTTCGCGGATTCTTCAATCGTAGAACCGAGCCAGAATACTATTATTGCTTTGCGACGGTTTAAATTGGACACTATGTGCGTCGACTTCCTCCTACCCAAATGACTCTCCTGCTACTAGGCAGAGTGAATGCAGGTAGTTGTGATGTTCTAGTCTGAAAGGTTAATGAAATCGGCATGGAGAATGAATATCTGATGAGACGGTACATTTGGAAACGTTCTCTTAGAGTGGACACAAAGTGGTCGCATATACCAAGGCTTGTCTTCTTGGACAAGCGTTGAGACACAAAGACATAGGTCTCGAGTTGATAGGTAGTCTAGGTCCATTTCCTCGTGATAGAGTTTCCTAAGGTCCAATCGCCTTCCCGCTGGCTGAGAGGTTCTATAATGACGAATCGTTGTTGAAGTGCGAGCTCAGCCGATAACGACGACGCGGCGCCAGTAAGGCTTGGAAATGAAGCGGAGAGGAGTATCTATGGACACTTCCAGTAATTCCTCCGTGCAAGTCTGGGGCCGACGATGTGTAATAGGACTACAGAACTCTTAGGGCGATCACACGCACCCGGTATACGTACTTGAATATCCAGCAGCAATCTGTGATATTGCATTCCTGGCTAAATAGCAACCGCTACACTGGGCCTCGAGGCGACTCCAATTGTACAGGCACATGAACCTTCAATATCGAGACGTCGGCTTTAGGGTTCCAAGCAATTTTTAGCAATTTGTCAGTTCCAGGAACGTTTATTTTTGGAGCGTGGCTTGTCTGAGACATGCGGGCCGGGACGAGATAACGTCGGACTAAGCGTTCATTTGCCGGGAGTTTTTTTAAACACTTTGTTTGGGGAAAATTGATTCGAGGAGATTTGCTGATGCTGCAGCTGATTGCTTCCAGGTTTGAATCTACTTTCTCGTTGCAGGGTCGCTGCTTCAGGAGAGAGAGCAACAAACAAATAAGTGACGATGTTCAGCAAAGGCCATACTATGTGCATGTCGAGTCACTAGGGGGAAATCGAGATTTATGCCTGCTTTTGATTGCACAGTGCATACCTAGGCAGACCTATCATATAAAAGCAGGAGGAATTGGGCGAAATTGGGGGCTACTGCTTCTCACTCATCGGCTCACGGTCCACTGGCCACGGCGAGCTTACGTATGGTGTAAGATGATGGCCCAGCACAGGCATCGCAAAAGCTCACGGCGGCACAACGCGATGGATCCGCAGTTATTCAGGCAGGTGATAGTAATTATGTAGGCCATATACTCGGCAAGATTCGGGACGTCAATGGGCCGTGATTCCGTTGTGCCGTGGCACAGGGATCCGTCGCGAAAGCAAGCTTCGACCTGGCAGAGGAAGAGCCAACAGCGGCCCTCACCGAGGCGCCCATGTGTAGGGGGAGTTCGGGTGCCGTGGGCAGTAGGGGTGGTTGGGCTCTGGAGCTGCAAGAGAGGTCGTGGCTATGGTGGTGTATGTAGTATGTAGTGTGTAGTATGTATAGGCAGCCATTCCAGCGAGGGGTGCACGAGACGTCATCAGGGCATGCCGGATGCGCGTCGGAGCAAGTGATATTGGGCCATTGCAACGAGAAGCAGGGCGACGGCGAGGGCAGACAGCATAGAGGCTAGGCGGCAGGCCTGCACGTCTTGGATTAGACACTCTGCAGCACGTTCCTCTTCCTCGGGCGCGCAGGTTGTGTGTGTGATGAAGTTGCCGGAGCGGGCTGTCGGAGCCACCACCTCTAAACTAAAGAAAAATTCGCGCTTGACAGTGACCCTTCCCCTCCACCTACGCTTGCACCCTTCGCACACACGACGGTCAATATTGTCCACTCTGGCCCTCGGTCTGCCTTGAGCTCGTCGCCTACGACCCTCGAGACGCCGCCTCAGTCGCCCCCCGTCGTTGTTTGCCTGCACCAGAGACTCGCCTGCATCGTCGGCTTTTGTGTGCCTGGAGCCCGCCGTACCCAGCACCCTCCTCGTGCTCAACACCCACTGCCCAACCGACCTCTTCAACGCACCGCCTACGTGTCCGCTGCTTGCTCGCCGCACGAGTCTGCCCAGCAGCCTACTCACACTTGTCCCAGAGGTTAGTCCGCATACACACCACCACCGTGCCCGCCGCACACTTGCACCCTGCCCACGCCCGCGCCTGGAGCTCCCAAGCATATTACCCTCTCCTCTCGCCTTGCACTTCTGTCATAGTCTGAACAGAGCTTCTGGCTTCTCTGCACGCCCTTTCACAGCCCGGTGTTCACCCACGCAGTCGACTCGATCCTTTGTGTGCGCAAAGGCGTCACAGTCCTCCAGCAGTGGTACCGAGCACTCGTTCCCCCTCCCCACCATCCACTCCTCTCCAGTACCCCGCGCTCTGCACGTAGTAGGGCTACTGCGCGAAGACCAAAAAAAAAATCCGCCAGTCCCCAATATCAGGCTTGGTGGCAGCTCAGGGCATTGCGTGCGGGGAGGTTATTAGACACCTCTCCGGACATATCAGCACCAGCACCTGTGTTGGCCAGCTCATTGCAACGCTCCCACTGGGGCTAGCAAGCACTAAATCTCGCCTTCTCAGCCAAACTCCACTGGACGCACATTCTACCACTGCTATGGCATCAACGTTTTCCTATGCGCAAGCCGCAAAAGGCATTGCAACCCCAGCTACCACGAACAAGCCAGCGTCTGGCTCTGCCCCTGCGGTTAAAGAGGCCGCTACGGCGCCTACCTCAGTCTCGGTTGCTTCAGTAAGAAGCTGGGCGGACGATGCTGAAACCGAGTCACTGCCCGAGCAGCCCGCGCCAGCCCGCGAGTCCCGACCGCAGAGGTCTTCTTCGAAACCAGCGAGCAGAGTCTCCCACTCCGTAGACACTGCCAGCGTATCGTCACCGGACCTTGGAGCCTCGTCCTCATCAACAGTGACCAAGGATGACGATGTCTCCTCGATACCAAATACGTCCTCAGAATCGACCTGGGACAACAAGTCGCAAGCCTCTACCTCTGTTGACAAATCAGTCGAGCCGGTAGAGAAGACCTCTGAAAAGGTCAAGAAAGGCAAGGCCGCGGTGGTCAAGCCACTACAAGAGGCACCTCTTCCAGCTGTTAACATCTGGATGCAGCGAGCGAGTGAGCAGAAGGCAAAGATACCCAAGACGACGCCATCACCCGCCACGAATGGAGTGTCCCACGGACCAACGGGCACTTCAGCCAAGAAGAGCGACTCCGCGGCTCAAGAAAAGACTACAGCAGCTGATAGCAGAACCAAGGGCCGTGCCGAAGCCTCTCAGAGTCGAAAAGACATCAAGGGAGACGCGGATGCTAAAAAGGCCGTCAAGGGTAGGGCTTCAGAAAAGGAAGTGAAGTCAACGCCTAGCGCCCTACCTCTACCGCCAAATCGAGATCAGGAGTCGTGGCCGACCCCAGACACCGCGATTGACGAAGACCGTAAAAAGGCCCAGGAAAAGGGTGGCAAGGTTGAAAAAGAGCGCAAAGAAAGCGCTCCTGCCGGCACAAACGGCAAGCATGAATGGGTGAAAGTCCCATACACTCCGTCTGTCGTGTTCAACACGCCTTTGCCGAATGCTGCAAACGCTCGTAGGGGTGGCAGACCCGGAGGACGCGGTGGAGCTCAGGCTGCTAGCAGGCCCACTGGACCTGGCAGCAATGGCGCCGAGAAGCCTGAAAAAGACGGATCAGTGTCAGATGCCGTGCCTAGCAGCGAGCAAATAAAGCGAGAGCGAACTGATGGAGCTGCGCCACAGGTCTCTTCTCCCAAATCGAACCGCCCGGGTAGTGCGGCATCGCCAACATTGAAAAATCAGGCACCAGCAGTGACTGAGGAGACAGCTAATGGGACAACTCGTCCCACGTCATCTGATGCTGAGGCGCGACCAAGGAGAGCTTCCATGTCGTCTCAGATACCAGGTCAAAGCAACGCCTACCCTCGTCAGTATCCTGGCAGACCTAACAAGGGCCGTCGGGGCGACTTTTCTGGGGCTGGGGAGCGAAGGCGAGATGATGCAGTCTCACCAACCAAGGATAACACCTTGGAAGACCGCATACCTATAGCAACGCAGACCGATGCCCCAGGAGATGGTGAGCGACGAGCGACTAACTTTCAGGATGGCTCCAATGGACACCACTCCAAGCACGGCCGTTATAGTTCGTTCACAGGAGGCCGTGACCGCGGTCGTGGAGGCGCTCGAGGTGGTCGAGCAAGCTACTCGAACGGTCATCAGTTCGCCAACGGGCATGCTCCACCAGCGCAGTCTTCGACATTTACATTAGGGCCTCGATCACCCACGACATTCTACCCCGAGAACAACAGCTACATGTCTCCGCCTCAGGGCAAGTTTGGCCGTAACAGCCATCGGTCACAGTCCGTGGCAAATGACGCTTACCGGTTCCCGCCCTATCAAGGAGGACCTCAGGTTGCCCCTCTTCAGACGTACGGCATGTACGAGTATGGCGTGATGCAGCCTATGAGTGCTGTGCCATACACTCCATATGTCGATCAGTTTGCCCTTTTCTCCATGATCACCACACAGGTGTACGTATACGATTTTTTACCTATCAACACACAGTTGCTAACGTTCGCCTAGGGAGTATTACTTCTCTGTTGACAATCTACTCAAGGACATGTACCTCCGCCGCCATATGGATTCGCAAGGCTTCGTGTCTCTTGATTTCATCGCTGGCTTCAATCGCATCAAACACTTGTCCACTGACTTGGAGCTGGTCAAACTTGTCTGCCAGCAGTCGAGCATCATTGAGTATCGCACTAGCGAGGATGGTCAAGACCGGTTACGCCGTAGGGATGGCTGGGACCAATGGGTCCTCGATATGGCCGAGCGGGATCAATCGGCGCAGAACGAGGGACCGAAGGAGCTCCATCGTCCACCTATTCCGCAGCCTGCAGGCTTCGATCAATCCAACCCTCAGTGGCAGGGCATGCCTGCAGGCATGTACGGGAACGAAAGCTCATTTGTTCCGATGAATGGGTACCTTGGTACTCCTCAAGATGCTGCCTTGGCTGCACCCGAGGATCTAACAAATGGCACAGCTACTGAAGGCACAAATGGTGACGCTGTACCAAATGGTCGGACCACCGAGAGTTCGACAGCTGTGAGTGGAGATTCATTTTCTGACGCGCAAGTGGATAGTTTGACAGTCATTGTTCGAAAACAAGACCAGTCGCTTTCACCAGCTTTGTCACCCTCCGCTTCACGAACATTTTCTAATGGCTTCATCGATAGTAAACCTGGCGTGCCAGATGAGCTGGAGAAAATGATGGACTGTCAATTGAGGGCTACTAGCACTTGCTCTTCGGATGAGTAAGTCCCCTTTCCCTTTTTTACTCGGTCGAAGATCCCAACCTGGCCTTGGCATCGGATGATCACGCGCTAAGCATTGTAATAGTAGTCTCCACATCGATATTGAAGATCACCGGCAAAGTGCTACGAGTCCTTTCCGATCGACTTCTCCTACCCCTGTTCGTCTTTACTGGGTCAAAGACCAGGACTCTCCCGTTCATTCGATACCCTCTGATTCTTCGCACGAATCGTATTACCATCTTCGATGGAAGGCGCTTCAGCAGCGTCAAACTTCCTCTCTTGGCATCACCCCTTACGATATGGACGTCCTTTATCAGTTTTGGTCGCATTTCCTGATCCGCAATTTCAATACTCGAATGTATGACGAATTCCGCCATTTTGCTTTCGAAGACGCAGCCCACAGGATGACTGACGTTGGGCTTTCAAATCTGATTAAATTTTACAGCGAGTCGTCGGTGTCGCCGCAGAGCGTGATACGCGAGCGTGTGGCCTCCGACTACGTGGATCTGGTGAAAGCAGAGGATGAGCATCATCACCCAGCTTTTACGCAATTACAATCCGCATTGCGCAATGGCACCATGAACGCTTGCAGTCGGAAGCGTATCGACGACTTGCTGGATGACGACCTCCTGGCTTCCCTGGAGTCGTGATTGTGGAACTGTTCAGTGTTATTACGATTTTCTCATGACCTTATGGTCTTGTTGCCTCTAATCTCATCTTAGGCAACTATTAGGGCATGTCACACTTCAACAAAAGTTTGTGTTCAGGCGTTTGTACATGGACGGCGGTCAATCACATCTCGATAGACATTCCGCACACATTTTGGTTCCATTAATGTTCACACGCGGCACACCCAATACGAATTACCCGTCGAAGGATTTGGCTCCTCTTCTTCCTGGATCTAGGGGTTCGTGAGGTTCATAGCATTGGAGCTGGCGTATTCTTGTTTGCTCTGTTTTTCATCCCCTAGTACAGACCCCCATGGCAGTTTCTCCTCTCAGCATAGCGGCATTCATGCCCGTTTCTTCGATGCGTAGGTACTTGGATTCGACGTCAGTGCAGCAGTGCCTAGGGTATATTAAAGCGATCGGCATGCATAGGCATGCGGGTTTGCTTTGTAAAAGTACGAAATGAGTAGCTTCTGTTCTCAACAAACTTTGTTGATCATTGAAGCGACCTTGCGATGCTATGTTGTCCTACTGCAAGGAGCTAGCACCATTTCATAAAGTGTGTGGCATATGGACATCCGTGGCTGCCCAAGAGCGTCATAAATTGAGGTGATGCTTTGCGACTACAGTAGCAAATATTAACCTTTCTGACATCAACAGAATTGGAGTAGCAGACCTGCGTCTAGTCAAATACTGCATGTGTTTCTTATAGCGAAGTAGAAGACCGTGTGGCTGATGTCATAGGTCGGGGAATCCGGACTCGGGCCGGTACTTGCGGTGAGTGGCGAACAACTGTCCTGCGCCTCATTAAGCCCTCTTCCCCACATTCTGGCCTTCGTCACTCTTCCCTCTTGGTCCCACACGGCATCATGGCAGCACCTACGGTGGTGCATCTGCATAGACTGGTGGCCAAGAACGCGAAAGTGTTCAAGTAAGTCATGAGACAACAAGAGAGGTGCTCTTCCACTGACATGTGACGATAGGGCCGCCTGGCGTCACGCTGCAAAGCTTATACAGAAACAACTGCCCGAAGCCGCGCGACCGACACAGGCACAGCTACAACCCATCCTCGTTCGAAATGCTCCCAAGCACCCTCTTCACCGTATTGCGTTGCTGAAGCAGAGCAAGGGCCGATGGTACACTACTCATAGCACCATCGCCTCCGCTGTTCGGAAGTTCACCTCATCCGCCTCTCGATCGACGGGCGTCAAGTTCGACAAGTCTTCCTTCCCCAAGTCGCGCATAGGTACCATCGTAACTACTCAGGCGGGTCGCGCGCCTTTCGCATCGACACTTCGCCCGAATCTGACTGGCGGAACACTTGGCCGGACTGCAGGAGGATACGGCTGGGGCTCTGGCAGGGCTGGAGGGGCTCGATACTTCTCACACGGCCCTGCGGCACCCGCCCAGGTCATCAACAATGTTTCTCAGGCCGTACGGGCGTTCCTCGTGGGAGGGAACAAGTCGCAATTCGATGGCGTCAACCCTCACACAGGGGAGAAGCGCTTCAAGGCAGTCTCCGCACTGCAGGACCAGGTCAACCGCACCCTTACCAAGGTGCCCAAGGCCACCCCCGGTTCCTACATCAGCTTCAACATCAACCCCACTGTCACCGCTCTTACTCCCCTGAAGGCTGTCAAGGGTTTCGTCTCGTTCGCGCAAGAGAAGGATACCCTGAACAACGACGGTCTTCTGAACATCTTGTCAGTCGACTTCTCACGAGCAGTCAAGGAGCTGGCTGCCGTCCTTAAAGATCTTCAGCGGTTGTCAGAGTTAGGAGATTTGCCGATATCGTATGAGCACTCGACACTAAAAGTCCACTTCCCGGGCTGCGATGCAGGAACCGTCGAGACAATCTGCAACGAGTTCGAAGTCCAACGAGGGGTCGTACACCAAGACGAAGACTTCGACTCATTTGTAGGCACTGATATTGCTCTGCTCTTCCCCTTTGCACCAAGCAAGTCATCGTCAGAATGCGATTTCTTCGACAAACCCGTCGGCGACCGTCAACACGTCCAGCCAATCATTGACTGGCAACACATGCTGTCGCCATCATCTATCGGCTCTGGTGCGTACTCGACACATTCAGAAATGAGCTTCGATGAACTAGAGGATATGGCTGAAGAGCCTAACCCATGGCTATCTTCCTCTTCGCCGTCAGGGTACGAGAGTCTACACACGAGTGAAGCTGATGAGATGGACCTGCACACACCCCTTGAGTACCAAGGTGTTGAGGGCATGTATAGGTTCATGGCGCAGTGCGAGACGATGAGTGTACGGTAGCGGAAGGTTGGAGCAGATGGACAGGCGTTGTGTGGTAGAGATATCATTTGGCTCAGATTGCAGCAAGGGCGTTGGTTATTCGCACATTCATGCCTCTCTTATGTAGCAAATTTATGACTGTTAAACCGTGCTTCTATTCAAACCGAGATATCCATTCGTAATCATCAAGGGAATATAGTATGATAGGTAAACTACTAACAATTACATTCTTTGGACAATACTTATACATCTTCTTCCAGCGCGGCGGGTTTCAACTACCCATGAATCTCCCGCTGCTCCACAAATGGGCTACGAATGCATCGAGGTATCAGCCATCAATCATCACATATCGCTCAGTCTGCTCGGCGCAAGCATCGGGTTGAATCATCTTGTCCGCACCGCCGCCGTCGGTAGACCGTTGCCTGAGCCGATCCGCAGCCGTGTTACCCAATCATGATCCGTTGGACTAACTGAAAGGAGCCGAGGAGGGAAAACTGCGTCGCAAAATTACCTTATTCCCGTCGCAAAGGGGCGAAAGAAGCATGAGTTTAGCTCTTCAACTAGCTTGAGAGTGATGCACGCCCTCCGAGTTGTTACAAATCATGGTTTGACATGATGTATTACAAACCATGTTGAACTATTATATATACCTTCGTTGAAGTCGCGTTATAAAGATATTCAAGTACTGCTGCCGTTGCATTGGTTTCAATTGCGAGCCCGAGTTATTCCCGGCTATGACGACTCAACCACCACGACACGGCAAAGAGGAGGATTTGGGTGAAGAGCCGGGCATTGCACAATGGGAAAAGAGCACAAGTAGCCTGGAGGCCTCTAATGACGCTGCCATTGGGACTGCTGGTGCAAAACAAGGGGATTCCAGCACTAATGGTAAAGAGGAGGGAACCGTTGCCGCGAAGACACCAGATGTGCCGCCAAACGGAGGATATGGATGGGTCTGTGTCGCTGCTATTGCTACGATCAACGCCCATACTTGGGGCCTCAATTCAGCCTACGCCGTCTTTCTCGCCTACTATCTCGCCAACAATGTGTTTCCCGGCGCGATGCCAATACACTACGCCTTCATCGGCGGGCTATCCATTTCCCAGGCGCTCCTCATGTCGCCAGTCGCTACGCTTACCACGCGTCTGTTCGGCACCCGTACCACGCTGCTCATCGGCGTCGCTTTCGAGGCAGTGAGTTTCATCGGGGCGAGCTTCGCTACGCGTATCTGGCACCTTTTCCTCAGCCAGGGCGTCTGCTTCGGATGGGGAATGGGCTTCCTGTTCGTCGGCAGCGTGGGCATTGCTGCCCAGTGGTTCACTACGCGGCGCTCTCTTGCCAACGGTATCGCAGCGGCGGGCTCGGGGCTAGGCGGGCTCGTCTACTCGCTCGCCGCACAGGCAATGATCAAGAACATTGGCCTACCGTGGGCGTTTCGCATCTTGGCTGTCATCGCCTTTGTCGTCAACGCGGCTTGTGCGCTGCTGATCAAGGATCGGAATAAGCAGATTGGGTCGTCGCAGCTCAGTTTTGACTACACGTTGTTCAAGCGGATCGAGTTTCTGGGGCTCATGTGCTTTGGGTTTCTCAGTATACTGGGATATGTCATCTTGCTCTTCTCGCTGCCGAATTATGCGCGCACCATTGGGCTCTCGGCGCAGCAGGGATCCATCATCGGGGCTATACTCAACCTTGGTCAGGTGTTGGGGCGTCCTCCCATAGGCTATTTCAGCGATGGCATTGGACGGTTGAACATGGCGAGCAGCATGACGTTCCTGTGTGGAGTTTTCTGCTTGCTGATCTGGATGTTTGCCAAGAGTTTCGGGGTCTTGATATTCTTTAGTTTGGTTGGGGGGATGGTGGCTGGGACGTATTGGGCGATTGTCGCGCCTATAACGACGGAGGTCATGGGCCTTGTGAGGTTGCCGAGTGCGCTGAGTATTACGTGGTTGGTCTTGGTGCTGCCTACGACTTGTAAGTCTTTGTTGCGGCTTGAATGAGTGGACTTCAGTGTGCTAATCTACGTGGCAGTCTCTGAGCCCATTGGTCTTCAGATCGTGGCCTTCAACGGCGGCAGCTATACCGGGGCGATATTATTTACTGGATGGATGTACATTGGTGCTGCTGTCTTTCTGTGGCTTGTGCGAGCCTGGAAGCTTGGGGAGATCGAGGAGATAGCCGCTGCCATTGGGAAGAGCGCGGGAGAGGTTGACTTGATGGCTGGCAGTAGCCCGTCTGAGACCCCGAGCATAGCTCCTGCGAGTTTCCGGAAAAGTCCGTTCGTAAGGAGAATGTTCATGTGGCGGAAGGTGTGAAGAGATTGTTTGCATTTAGCGGTTGGAGAAGCATCTGCATGCGCCGTATAGCATTTTAGGAGTTTTGACTAGCTTATTGCGAAATATATATACCAGATGAACCTGCATCTAGGCCAGAAAAGCGTTGGAACCTTTGCCCGTGACGTTCCTCATAGTTGAATATATTAGAGGCCAAATGATTTCAACGTGCAAGATTCCTGATACTTGTTTGATTTTTTGAATGGCTATAGTCGTTTTCGTGAGGCGGGAACAGCGGGTTTGGAGGCATAGGGACCCATGCGACGCGGTGTTAGCTCCCGTTCCCTAGCATTTTTAGTCAGGGCCCCTTTTTTCCCTCCCTCCTCAGCGGTCATCCTCGTCAAATCGAAGAAGACGGATCGTAGCAAAGAGACAGAAGCTCGCAGGTGTTTGAATGTCTCAAGTATAGTGGTGGTGCCTAGGGCTAGAACCGGGCGTTCCTCACCACTCGTTGATAGTCCACCAGCAGGCTTCAAACGCGTCGTGTCAGTGTGGGATTGACTGCCCACAATAACTTTGACCCGAGGTAAACAATGACGCCGTCTTTAGTGGGTGTAATTACTGTTGGCTATTCGATCTCGACGCGTCGTGACACGGCGGAACCGTGTTGATGTCGCGCTTTAGTTGCTCCCCGTTGATCCCAGGGATACTTGCAAGTCTTATTACAAGCCAGGACGCCCACAGGCCAGCAAGTCGAATGGCTTCGAGGAATGCTCCACGCCGTGCAACGCATGGTGCCGTCAACGTGCAGGACCCTGTGTGTGTGCGACGGCTCCATGTGGCCTCGGCGTCTTCACCAGCTGATCCCTACAAGCGCTCCATTGGCCGGGCCCCTGACTGACGAGTGTTGGCAACCACGCTGGCCTGCAGCCAATTTAGCGGCATGGCTTATACCCTAGCGCTCGCTCCTTTACAATTATCCACGACGTTTTGCTCAGCGGCCACCTCTTCGACGCCATCCTGTCTCCGTTGCTGCTTCTGCCACGGGATGTTCGCTCGTCCCGTCGTCTCCAGATCAGTGCTGTTCAACCTCATGTCACTCCTTTAGCTGCTCACTGTAGCCTTTCCTTTTTTGTGTACATAATTCTACCACACCACTTTCCGGCCCTCGCCTTGGACTCGTTCGACCTACGCGTCTCTACACACTCAAGCCTCGTCACTCGCATCCTCGACTATCCCACTCCTACTTGGCGCGCGTAAAGCCCGAGAACGGCGTGTTACAGCTCATCCGAGTTGTGCAAGAGCAGTGAGACGTTGAATGCAAGCTCGACGGACTTCCTGGTCCTCGCCGCCCCCGCCCTCATCGCCTCCATCTGCTATCCGGCACTTCGGCCAACCAAACAGCCCCTCTGAGGCGCGTGGACTATCTTCTCCGACCTGGACTGCCCCATCGCCGACTCGAACGCTTGGTAACTCGAGTCCAGAGCTTCCTACTCTTCCGTCCTTCTCTCTACTTGGAAACAATCCTCGTACACCGTCTACCGTCGCGAGGAACGACAGAACCGACACTTCATACTACACAGCTAGCTGGGGCAGTCCATATAGGCATCCACCGCCTGTCTTTAACCCGCAACGTCAAGTCTCGACAAACTTCGGCAGTGACGATTTTGACGAGGAATCTTCATCGTTGCAATTTGGTCTTGAACACTTACTTCCCTCGCGGCTAGATATCGAAGCAGAGTCGCCCAATCGATTCAATCTTGAACACCTCATCCCACGCTTAGAACAAAACGCCTCCCCAAACCAATTTACTCTCGAACACCTCATTCGATCTCGGTTGCCGACTCTAGAGACGCCAACAAGAGACTCACATCCGTCTGGCCGCTCACCACAAGTGCCCGACTCGCATCCAACATCAGAAGAGTGGGTTCACAAATTTTTGGAGGAGCGTTGGGATCGCGAGGCGAACGACTGGCGGAGCACTGGTAGTGAGACAGACGACGGCGGATCGACCAAGGACCAGGACGTTTCGTTTGACCCTCCACCGAAAAGAGGCCATAACACTAGGAACACAAACAAGACATTGAATCAGCAAGACTTTTGGCGGCATTTTAGCAAGGATCAGAAGATAGCTATCGGCAAGATGATGGCCTCAAAGTACGCAGACCCTGAGGTGGCAACGCACTCGAGCCGAACCTCAGGAACTGGCCCTTCTACTCGTCAAACGACCAATGGAAGTACCGCACACATGCAGAAGTCACCAGTCTCGCCAGCGTCGGAGTGGCCCGGCCCATTCGACTATACTCCAAGCAAGCAATCGGAAAGACTTCCCGTCAAATCGACTCAGGACCCATTGAACAATCCTGCTCCAAATACCGCGAACCAATCGTTTCTAGCACCCCCAGAGCCAGTGCGAGCGCAAACTCCGCGTGTACGCAAGAAGATCCCAGTCAAGGGCAAGAATTGCGTCATCTATATTCCGCACGATATTCCAAGGGGCAGCCCTGGGTATCCTCCGAAGCCAATGAGCGCGGAGGCAGTGAATGCTAAATTGCAGCAATTGGAGCGACAGGGTTACGACACTCGAGGCTTCAGCACCGGAAGTCTGCAGTCGCACAATCGAGCTATCTGGCCAGAAGAAGCCGACGTGCAAGCAGAGCGCGCCAACGCAGCCACTCGATTCCGAGTCCGTGTATCTAAAAAATCCGAGTGGGACGACTATGTTAATTCCCTGCTGGAGGCAAAGCTGGCAGCACTTGGCGTCAGCCAAGGAGGCGAAGAAGATATACCACTTCCCATGTCACGGCAAGCGTCTTCACAACAGCATCCTGGTCAACTCTTTTCTCCCCCGCTGCCCACTTCGTCAGCAGGGAGTCTCCGTATGGCCAGGCAAGGAAGCATCGTTTCTGGTTCTTTCCCTCTTGGACCGTCGCCGGGACATATGTCTCGGCAATCGATGGCATCGCCAGCAGCATTTATAAATACACGTGGGGGCATGCATATGCATCGACATTCGACTTTCGCATCGCCCGCCAATTTTGCGCAACATGCCTTCTCCCCTTCTGGTGCTTGGTCCCCTGGCGGTTACTTTGGGTCTCAAGATGGGCGCGGTGGATCACCTGCCCTCCCCTTGAGTAGACCTGATCTTTCCGGTCATGTTTCACCCCACTCTCCATTTGGCGCAAGACCTGGCCAGCAGTTTCCTATTACGCCCACGCAGAAGGAGGACTTCATGGCACAGATGCAGATGCAGCAGCAGCAACTACAAACTCAACTTCTGAACCAACAGCAACAACAACTTCTTGGAATGCGACCATCTTCCACACTTGCAGAGGTTCCCGAAGATGAAGGTGAAGAAGATGAGCTGCCAGCGATGAAGCATGCCGCTAAGCCTGCACCGGAGATTACTGTACCAACTCCTCGCAGTCATCGTCACAACATTAGCGAAAACCTTGAACGCGAGGCAGCCAACGAGGAATATCACCTGGAGGAAGCCATCGACAAGCAGTTCGCAGAAGGAGGCGACTTCAGTACGGAGCCTGAGAGCAATGGACAACTTAAGCCATCCAATCCTGTGGCTAACACTGCTTGGGAGGATTCTCGTACTGTTCTACATCAGCCTCAGCCGCATAACAGAGCTCATTCGCTTGCTAAATCTCAACAGCCGGCGTCGTTCGCGTTTCCTGCACAGCAAAATGCTCGCACCGATAGCGATGGTGCTCGAACGACCCATTCACAGAACACGAATCCTAGTTTGGAGGAGGGAGAAATCCGCGACTCGGCGCAGAGCTCGGCGCAGCACTCAAAGGCGCCCTCTCAGCTGAGCAACTCATGGAAAGATAACAAATTCGCCTTCAGCAAGCCTGGATCTGCGGTACATAGCAAGCATACTTCGCGATCGTCCATCTCAAAGCTCAACGTCGAAGCCAAGGAGTTCAAATTCAACCCTGCGGCCTCCTTCAGCCCTGGGTCGTTCTCGTCGGGCTTTGCCTTCTCGCCTGCGATTCAATCTCCTGCAGACATTACTGCACCAGGCAGTAATAATAAACCAGGTATCGAAGGATTATCGAGCTTCAATGTCACGGCCCCTGCATTCAAACCAGATGCGCCAGCCTTCAAGCCTGTGGCCCTCAATGCTGCAGTAAAGGCTCCGGAGTTCAAGCCTTCTGGGCTTGGACTGCAATCGAGCGGCTTCACTTTCTCCAGCCCGCCATCGTTCAAACCAAATGCGCCCGCGTTCAACCCTGACAAGCCAACCCCCGCTCCCACGAGCTTCTCGTCGAAGATCTTCGGCGATGTCAGCATCTCAGCTAGCGATATCATCAAGCCAGCTACGCGTTCGAAGGCGGTTCCAATCGTCCGGCCCGATAGTTCGGGACAGAAGACTCCAGAAAAGCTGGAACAAGGAGAGGACGAATCTGGGCGTCCGAAGCAAGCTGATGGTCCCGAGAAGCGTACTCGACGCGAACGAGCTGATGGAGATGACGTGCCCAAGTTTGCTCTACAGCCTATCCTTCTATCGCAGCCCACCGCTGAATCAAAGGCGCCTCAGTTTGGAAGCCAAGATCCCAAGCTTGAGCAAGAGAATGTTCCGGAGGACAAAGAGAACCAGTCACCTGGCGGTAAGAGGGTCAAGTCTAAGTCGAGGAGTCCAGAGCGTCTGCCTCTGCACAGTGCCGTTCCGGTAGCGAAACCTACCGCGCCAGTCCCCGAGCCTGAATCGTCTGCGGACTTGCCTATCGATGACATGAGTGACGTCGCTACACCTACGATGGAAGACCCTGCGCCCGTGGCCAAAAAGCATGGTCACAAGAGTACACTTTCGGCCAATGCGACACCTTTCGAATTCAGACCACAGATTGGCAGTACCGGCTACGACTTCGGATTTCACGTTACCAAGCCGTCCCAGGTCGAAGACCCCACAAAGTCGCAGACTTCCTCACCAAGATACGCAAGTAGAAGCCCAGCATCTACCTTCCGACCAAGCGATGATGGATCCTACAAGACGGCATTGGATTCACGCAGACATGCACCCTACCCTGAAAGCGAGAGCGTTGATTTCGATGTTCTCGGCGAAGCATCGTTCAATGACATCGATGCTGTGATGAAGCACATGAATGAGGAGGGTTCCGACTTTGGCGTTGAGCGAGACGACAACTCCTGGGACCAGTCATCTCCTCACAGGACGCCTCATGAGTTTGAACGCATCGACTTGCGACCGAAGCTCAAATTACGTAGCGATGCGCCTAGTCCCAGCCCCCGCAGATTCTATGCTCCGCGGCACATGCAGGGCTCTGCAACATCGGTCCAGGATCCGTTTGACGATGAACGGGGTGCGCTCGCGTACGAGTCTCCTGTGCACCGGCTCAACAATGCCGATGATGTGCCAATAAGTGATTGGGATGAAGGTCTTCTTACCGAAGGCGAGGACAAGATTCAGACGCGCAGTCGTTTCTTCGACCAGCATGTTGATGACCTCATGGGGCGTCTTCTGCAGAGCCGCCTCGGCCCACTCGAACAGAACTTGCAGGGTATCCAGGAGGCCCTGGTAATCATGTCGCAACGTCCTGGACGCGGTCGACGAAGCATGTCTACCAACGAGCGCTTAGACAGCGACGCCGATGATGAAGATGACGACGTTGGTACTGATTCGCACTACGCTAACCGAGCACCAAGAAAAGACAGGAGGTTGGAGAAGATGCGAGCTATCGTCAGGGACGCGCTAGAGTCACACCAATCACACGTCGCCTCGTCCATGCCCGTATCCGTTCCCGAGCCCGTGTTACCTGAGAAGATCCGGGAGATCGTTGCTGACGTCTTTGCGGCACACCAGCCAACGGCTGCATCTCTTCCTGCTGATCAGATTCGAGCCATTGTCGAGGAGGCCATCGCGTCCAACAAGGCCTCGCCACCAGAGCCTGTCGCAGAGTCTATCAAGCCAGAGCACATTCGCTCCATTCTTGCAGAAATGCTTGCGACCCATGCTCCTCAGCCTGTTGAGCCTGTCAGGACCGACGACATTCGCTCTATCGTGATGGAGGCCTTCGCGACCCACGCTCCTCAGCCCGTACCGCCTCCAGTCCCCGAGCAAATCTGGCCAGACGATCTCAAAGCGATTGTCTCGGAGGCTCTCACTTCTCATCAACAGCAGAGCCCCGTCGTGGAACAACTTCAGCCAGAGACAATCCGCTCGATTGTTACAGAGGCACTTGCATCTCAACAGCCTCCAGCTACCGCAGCGCCCCCTGCCGAACCTGTTGATTCAGACATTATACGCTCCATTGTCGCCGATGCTCTGGCTTCTCAAAAGCCTTTCGCTCTGGAAGCCCCAGTCGACATTCCTCAGCCTCAATTTGACATGTCTGAGCTTTACCAAATTATCGGCAGTCTCAAGGCATCTATTGCGCAGACTACTAGTCACCACTTGCAGGCTGAAGACGTCCGTGAGCTTGTTGACGACGCCTTCAAGCGTCAGAACATGGAAGCCGCGAAGCGCGAGGAAGCTCAGGCAGTTCTGGAAAGAGACGAGCGTATCGCCGCTCTTGAAGAAATGCTCCAGGAAGCTACGTTACGTTCCGATGTCGAGGTAGAAGCCCGCAAGGCTCTAGAAGCTCGTGAGGCGGATACTTCTCGCCTGCTCAAGGTCACTGAGGAACAACTCACTCTTCTCCAGCAGACTGCAAGTGAAGATGAGGACAAAATCCGCGCCTTGACAGAGGACCGCGATACCACTCGTCGCAGTCTCGATGTCTACCAGACTAACGAGTATGAGGTTCAGGAAAAGCTCGCTTCCCTAGACACTGAGAACGAAGCCCTTAAACTCAGGAATATTGTGTTGGAGAGCTCTGGGGAAGACCTTAAGAGGAAGCTGGATTCCATCACTGCCGAGAATGAAGCACTCACTTTCACGCTCGAGGAGCATCGTTTGTCAGCAAACAAATGGCGTAGTGACATCCAAGTAGCTCACGAGGAGTCCGAGAAGTTGCGTAAGGCTGTCGAACAAACACGATACCAGGCTGAAGAAGCTACGCGCGTCCGCGAATCGATGCGCACGAAGTTTGAAAAGCTCCAGCAGGATATGGTTGTGGCCTCGCAGCAGGTCGCTGCCGAGCGCGCTCAATGGCAGAAGAACGAGGAGGCGACTTTGACAAAGTACGAGATCCTGAGCGCACGTATTGAGGCCGAAGCCCGCACCCGCGAGCGTCTGGAGAGGGAACTTGAGCGCCTGGAGACGCAAGAGCGGGAAGGTATGAAGCTGAGGATTCATTTTGAACAGACTCAGAAACACAACGCCAGGCTTGAACATACCCTCGATCAGCTACGAAAGGAATCTTCGGAGCACCAGAAGAATGCTGAAAGGTATGAGCGTGACATGCGGGAAGCCAGAGAGGCAGCTCACATCGAGATCCGACGAACGCGTGTGCTTATGGAAGCCGACATCGACGCTGCTAATAACCAGGTCAACGTTGTCCGACATGACCTCGAAAGTGAAATCGCTCGTGTCCGCACCGAACTTGATCAGGTCCGCCTAGACGCCGACACAGCCAAGGAGAAGCACGAGCTCGACCTGGAGGCAGCCTCAGATGTTAAGAAGCAGGCGATTCAGGAAGTCTTAGAAAGCAGCAGACATAGTCTGCAAGAGCAGCAACGGGCTTTCGAGCGACAAGTGGAGCACATTAAGCAGGAGCATGCTCGTGCCCTAGAGTTCGCTCTTCAGGATAAGGAGCGTGCTGAAGCCTTCCACAACGACAAGCTTGCTCTGGGTGACTCTAAGATCGAACACCTCAAAGACAAGATTACTCTACTCGAGGAAAAGCTTCAGATCGCCAAGGAGGCTGCTAGCGCCGCAGCAGCAGCATTCAAGTCGTCAACATCAGTCTCGTCATTGGCTCCTAATGCCCCTGAGAAAATATCGCCTCAAGCTTTGCGGGAGTCTATTGCAGTCTTGCAGGAACAGCTTCAGGAGCGAGAAGGACGCATCGAGGACCTCGAGCGCCAACTTGAGGAAACTGACACCAAAGCCCCTGCTAAGCTAAAGGAACGCGACACCGAAATCAACTGGCTCCGCGAGCTACTCGGAGTACGCATCGATGATCTTAATGATCTCATCAATTCCCTCGCTCAGCCGACCTTTGATCGTGAGACCGTCCGCGACGCAGCGATCCGCATTCGCACCAATTTGCAGATGGAGCAATCGGAGAAAGAGCGCCTCATATCAGGCGGACAACAGGCATTTCCCACGCTGAGCACACTGTCTAACTTCGCATCGCCCAAGGCTGTTCAACTCGCCGCTGCTATTGGTAATTGGCGTAAAGGCCGTGGAGAAGCCGCATCCGCGCTCGCTGGAGGCTCAGGACACGCCTCGCGTAACCAGACGCCTTCCCGCCCTACGTCTCACTCTGCACAATCTTTTCTCTCGGGCCTCATGACACCTCCTACCTCGAACATGCGTCGCACACCCGACCTTCCATCCTCTTCTGTCCGCCCGCAAGCCTTACGTAGCAACTCGAGTAGCTCGCATGCGTCGACAGAGGCTGGGTTTCCAAGTCTGGGCAAGCAGGCGCAGCCGGTTGCTCCACGAACGCCACCGCTGATGAGGAAAGCGAATTACGATCAAGACGCGGAACTTGAGCGGTTTAGTGAGAGTGGATTCTATGACGATGAGAGCACAATTGATGGCGCGATGACGCCTCTTGCGCTCAACTTTGGGAGGGAACTACCGCAGTAAACCCCCCCAAACGCACACAACAAAGCTAGAATATTTCCTTTGTACATGTTCTCCTTTCTCTCTAGCTGATACTCAGCGTCACTCTTTTCTTCTTGTATGTCCTTTCCACTTTCGCTGTACCAACGCCCTCTCGCTTCCCTGTACGTAATGCTTGCCTTTTTTTTGCTTCTCTTGTCTTGCTTGTATGTGCTTGCTGTCTTTAGCGCCATTGTTAGCTTACTTAGCCTTTGTCATGCTTGGATAGGATATACCCCCCCAAAGACAGATTGGATAATTTCTGGGCCTAAATTGTATACAATTTCTTTCTAATCGGTGTGGTCTCTCGCGAACTCGCGATATGGTGGATATGTTGGTAGGATCAGAATGTAATACTTTACCTAGAGATATTGGCTCGTTGGCGTGTTTTAGAGTGATGTTAAAGTACTGCTAATGTAATGTTGCATTGTGGGGACGGTGAAGTCTATACTTAATAGTAGCATACTTATAGGACTTTCAAATTAGAGCTATCTTAGTGCATGTTTTCCAATGTGAAGTCATGCGGGAGCCTAAAATATGAGGACAGAATTGTTTCATTAAGCACGCTACCCTACCGAACATCTTCCTGCACAGAATTCAAGCCTAGACTTGTTCAAAGAATCGCTCATGTGGGATGAGCAAATAAAAGGACGAAAAAAAAATAGAATGCCGGTCGCTCGAGCAGAGCCATCCACTGGAATAGATAGCAGATCACTGAGTCCGAGCCTAGTTGATGCTCAACGTGTGAATCGGTATCTGCGTGTGTCTCTGTTATAGCATCTTGACTACCTCCTCCGCTCCAATCATGTCCACAGCCATTTGCGGCACTTTTCAGCACCACAGAGGCATGGAATCGCACCCTCACCCGGCTCATCCATCGGCTCATCCTCGTCTTTGTCGAGATAATCGAAAACAAGTTCCTCTCCCGCAGGGATAAAGCGACAGGCAAACAAAGCGATGTCGTACACCCTAGGGTCATGCTTGTTATAGGAGACTGTGTACTGTCGGCAGTTAGGCTCGCAGGAATGGTTTATGAACTTCGTGGGACCGCCCATGAACTCGCCGTCGACAACGTACATATCCTCCTTGGCAAGGTCCTCAGATTCGGCGAACTTATCGAGCGAGTATAGATATGACCCTTTGTCTTTGCTCGAGGCATTCTCGCGGCGTGTAGCCTCAGCATCCGTGATAATTTCTCCGCGGTATGTGTCGATGAACTGGCCCTCGTGGAGGTCCTCTTTGCAATGTAGCCCCCATCCACGGCCCCCGCTGGTCCTGAATATTTCAACTTCTACTGTACGCCCAAACTGGACGTTTTTGTTTCGGCAGTAAGGACCACAGTGGCATTTGTCGTTGCACTCGTAGATAGGACGCCGGGATTCGAGGTAGAACGGGACCAGGCATCCAGTCCTCTCCCTTTTCGTGCCCTCCGCAAAATATGGAAATTTCTTCGGAAACCCCATCGTAGAACCTCCGTTGGCGATAGCATCATCGTATTCTTGCATCATTTTAGGGTCGCTGATGCGGGACACGTCGACAGCGGCATATTCAAGGCAATCACATTTCTTGGTGTATTCACATCCAATACTGCGGCCCATGTGCGGAGAACATTGTAGACAACCTTCTTGCGTCTCGGAGGAAGCTCGATATACGCCTTGTTGCTCATCCAAGACATAGTCGGAAATATAGCGAAATCGTAGCGATGGCGTAGACGAATCAACCAAGTTGATCAAGTGGATAGGCTTTCCAGGTACTCGAGCAAGCCGCCTCACATACGCATCGCGGATGAGTATGAGCGCTCTATCTACTTTTGCGATATAGGCAGCCCTCTTCATCTCTGGTGTTGGGATTGTCCTAATGTCGACTCGGGACACATCTGCACCTAACTCCTGTTACTCGTCAGTGATGATTCCCAAGCAGATGAAGCCGTACTCACAGGGCGACAGTATATGAAACCATCCCCATCTGCATCTAGCACACCATTGTAGATATCAACAGAAGTACATGTTGAAGGAACCGCAGATGATACTGAAGAGGATCGAGATACAGAAGGCGTTCTGCTTTCTGCTTGTAGTCGACGATCAAACGGCGAAGGGCGACGCTCCATATCCGTCGCAGTTTCTGGGCTCTTTCGTTTCCGTGAAGTTCCGTCTGTAAGAGGTGAGATCTTCATGTCCCTTGGTCTATGTTAGCAATGCATTCACACCTCAAAGTTTTGAGGGTTTCTACCGCTCCCTTATTTCCAGGTAATCTTGAACATGTTCCAGACATCGAACCAGCTCGCTGATTGGATGCCAACTGATTGGTGGGGTTGTGGTGGCGGTGGCTGTACTCCATCGAACGAGGTACTGCTCCTCCTAAAAGCAATATGAGTTTGACTGTGCACGGACCACATTAGGTGAGGGAAGCAGTTACATTGTTCTGAACGCGGTTGGATATGATAGAATGTACCTAAAGTGAGAGATAATGTTAGTTCAATAAAAACACGGGTGAGGTTATACTTACTTGATTAACGAGAACGCGGCGCCTCCTGTAGCCGTTGGTTGGTATTACAACCATGGCCGGCATGCCTATGGTGCCACATGTTAGCTAAGCCTGTCTGTAGCTGTATACATGCTATAGTAATATCTAGCATAGCGCATATAGCGCGTATAGAAGATGAGGACCTAAGTGGTAAACAAACCTAGCAGTAGCAGATAAGGGGTTAAGATCTTATAGCGTGCACGTTCTGCGCTAGTAGGACCAGTAGAAATATAGTAAAAAAGAAGTAAATTACCTTGCAAGATTTAACCCGGCATTTGTTTCTTGACTAGAGAGTTCTAGAGAGGGTAGATGCCTAGCTTGTAGCGATAGGTTCCCGCGCTGCTGCTTAGTAATAACGCACGGACTAGCTAGGCAACAGTGCGTTTAATCTGAACCTGTTAACTCATCTATACTAAGTAAGGATAGAAGGCTATATTCTCACATAGTAGGCTCTAAAGATGAAGTTTTAAGCTTGTTTTTGCTGTAACATGTTTGCGATAAAGGAACCTGCATAGCAGGATACGTATAAGCAGGCTTATATTTAATAATCTTACAGGTAATATAAGGCGCTGTAGTTATAACCTTAGGCTAGAGATAATAGGAAATAATTTACTTGCATAGGTAAGTTCGTGGTCGTGCGATAAAGTCGGGTTCTTAACCATCATGTACGCTAGCCGTACGTGGCGGCCTTATCGATAAGCTCGGCGCAGCCCGCCAGAAAAGTTTCCCGCTCGCGATTTCTGCTTCACATCGAGTTCACAGCATTATCGTCTCCCAGCACAGTCAGTATGGCATCAGACGCGCAAAATAACCCTTTCATAAGGAATCTTGCATCGAGTGGTACGCGCATTCTATTTCTGAATCTGAAGGAGGCTAACAACTGCAACAGATAAAAAAGTTCGCGATGAAGCGTTCGATTCCCTACGAGCGTATCTTGGTTCACAATCGCATATAGCAGAGCTTGATCTGCTGAAGCTATGGAAGGGACTGTTCTACTGTACGTGCCTCCACGTTATCTGATCCCACCATCACGATGACGTCGACTCTGTTTTTCCAGCAATGTAACAAGGGAATACTTACAAAGTCGCTACAGGCCTATGGATGCAAGACAAACCTGCCCTCCAACAACGCCTCTCTCGCGAACTCGCTTCCCTCGTCTCTACGCTCCGTGAACCCGTTGTCCTGCCTTTCCTTCGCGCTTTCTGGCTCACAATAGCCCGTGAATGGATCCACATTGAAGCTCTTCGGTTAGACAAATACCTCTATCTGATTCGTCAATACGTAAACGCATCCTTCCAGTTCCTGAGTCGAAACAAATGGAAGAGAGAAACGCTGAAGGAGTGGAATAAGATCGTCGAGGAGGTGCCGTTAGAATCTAAGGATATGAAAATTCCGAATGGGCTACGGTATCATGTGCTGGATGTTTGGGCTGACGAGCTTGAGAAAGTTGGGGGAGTGGAGTTCGAGAAGGACCAGGAGAAGGCGAAAGAGATTGTGGAAATTATGGTGCAGCCGGTCGAGACACTGGCGAAAGAGGGCAGACTGAAAGTCCTAAGAGTCGCGGCGAAAGAGTGCCTGGCCGATCAGCGATTAAGAGCTTGGAGAGGGCAAGAGGATGAGGTTGTGGATGAGCCCGAAGAGGAAGATGAAGAGGCTGAGTGGGGTGGCATTGATGACTAAAGCACGCTTCCATGTCCGGAATATTGAAAAAGTCGCATACTATTGATTCCAGCGAGGCGTTTACGGAGGGTGCATACTCACCTAGAGGCGGCGGAATTTCTTTAGATTTAACCGTCCACTATGAATGGACAGCGATGTTAGAGCGTTGTCAGAGCATAACATGTTCTGGCCTAAACCCAGCTGGCTTAAAATCTGAGCCACCCAGTATGTCAGGTCTGCTACTAGCGATCTTTAGACTCCAAAACCAAAACCTCGGGTAAATCAAATAACCGCAGTCAACAAGCACATAAAGGTCAAAAACATGAGTTACCTATGTGACGTCAGTGTGACCACAGGAGGCGTTGTAATCGTCATTCGATTTAGCACAGGATAAATGATAAAACAACCTTGCTCTCAACCCTCGACGAGCCTACCATTCTCAATTTGAAATCTTGTTCGACCCTGAGAAAATCCGCTCTACGACCCCAAGATGTCTTCCCAGTCCAAATCCCCCGCGGCCAACCCCAATGTCATCTCAGACTCAAATTACACCGGCTCTGTTGTTCGCAAGGCGTTCCTAGCTGAAGCCCTCGCCAACCTGTTCACAATCCCCCTTATAACCAACACGCGCTTCACCCTCTCCCTCCTGCTGAACAACCCGTCCGACATTAATCCCTTCTGTTCGCGCGACTCTTCGGTGGCATCATTGTCGGTGGGCTAACCTCTGCCTTGCTGGCCGGGTACTCCAACACTAGAAACGGCATTGAGAGTAGACGGCCAACGTATTTATTACTGGGTGTCGGGGAGGCACTCCTAATTCCCATGCTACTGCTAGACTTGTCGAAGAACGGGGGAAGGGATGCCGCGTTGAGTAAGAATGTAGCTATGGGGAGTATCGCGTGTCTTGTGCCCCCGTTGATGTGGCGGTTGTATGTTCTTTTGGTGAAGCCAGAGTTGCTGGGACGGTATAATGAGGAGAAGAGCGGCGCCGATGGTACTAGTCGAGGAAAGTGTAAGTTCTCTACTGGGAATTATAATGTATTGCCTGAATGCTGCTAATTCGTTCTAGATGGCACTATCACTTCACAAGACTAGAATTCGAAAATTCCTTGCAAATCTGACAGAACAGCTACCACTCATTGAGCATTCTGATTATAGGGCATGAAGTTATTTGAGAGTCTATATTGGCAACGTATTATAATTAAATCAACAATAGTGTGACTACATTCAGTATCACGACAACGTTGGCTTAATTCGACTTCTATGGCCCGAGTAAGCCTATCAGGGAGGGGCGATCCTCTTCAGTGATCCTTAAAAGGCAAATGGACATCCGCCTCTGTTACCTGCTATGAGTCGATCTCGCGTCGCTTTGCACTCTTCCTCACCCTGAGTTTCCAGCTTCTTAGGCCCAAGCTCAAAGATTTTATAGCCTTCTGGCTTGTAATGTTTCCCATCGGGGTAAGGACCGCCCAAAGCCCAGCGGAACCAGGAGAGTGGTGAGTTGCGGGTGAAAAAAGTAGGCTTCACATACCTTCTCGACAGTCAGTATAATATATGGAGAAGAAAGTGCCGTGTAGGGTGAATGCAAAACTTACCAGGGCTCACTATCGTACTCGTTTGTATGATAGCGACCCGTTTTCGGATCTGGATGTTCTGATAGCGGATCGTATCGCAGTGCATACGGCCGTGGCAGGATAAGATACTGAAGGAAAAGCTTCCTCACAGCAAAGGTGAACTTGATCGTCTTAAAATAGATTGTAGGTGGGTCATCGTACAACATAGCACGTCTCAGTCTCTCATCCATCAGCGCTGCGACCATGTTTTTGCCGAAAGGTTTGAAGGGACCTGGGATGTTGGCAAGAAGGATGCGAGTAGTCTCCTCGGCAAGCTGATGATTGTATGCGTTGGGCACCATGAAGCGACGTTCGTACTCATCAGCCCATTCTTTGATATCTTCGAAGAACTCAAGGCCGTCTTTGAAGTTGCTAGGTCCATGCCGTAGTTCAGAGTAGTTGATACCCATAGCATCGCCTATGACTTTCCAGTGTGTGCCCCTGTTGATTTGTCAGATCGAACATGCTTGTCGGAGTGTAAGCGTTAAACACGGCGGCTCGGCTGAGAGCTAGGTCTAGGAGGTCTCTATAATATCAAGTAAAGAGGAAATGGCTTACAAGGCGCAGATCTCCATAGGCGTCAGTGATCTCCACTCGTAGGTCCGAACCCATCTCTCAATTTCCAAGACGAAAAGTGACAGAGTGAAAAGCAGGTCATCATTGCTAATCTTGCCTGCCTTTTGATATCTGCTGTGAAGATAGTTCATACGAGCAATAGCTGAATTGGCACGTTCTGAACTTGGAGAGTGGCCCAGAAATTCGATGATTAGGAGGCTCGTATCGGCGAATCGTCGCCCGGCGTATTCGACATGGCCGAGCTGCTGGGTGGCGCAGAGAAGCTTGGAGATTGAAGGTATGCCATATGTCCTGGGTGTTTATCAGTATAGTTCCGGTCAATTTCTACACACGTGTTGCTTACTTGAAGAGAGCAAAAGCCAGGGCCTTCCCAGTCATCCATGGGAACTCAAGGCTTTGAAAAGATCTCACAATCTCCCAGGCATCTTCAGCTGTCATCTTCTTAAAGTCCTCGCGGGTCTTATAAGGAAGCTGGGCATGATTCCGATCTCGTCGCAGGTACCGCAAGCCTCTGCAAAGCGCAATATAGCCCACGAATACACCCAAAATTGTTGTCGTCCGCGGTCCTAGGCTTTGTTGGACTTGTACCATGGTGTTGGGAAGGTTAATGTAGGCCATGGTATGTGTGCGGAAAAGATTAAGGAGCACTTCAGCACAACAAGAATCGTACTGCTAGATACCGCCAGATGTCTTTTAGTCACGAAGATACAGACTGCCGTGAGAGGTGTGAAAAAGGTGGGTAGTTGACTTGTACATAAAGCTAGCCTAGAGTGGTGGCATCTCCCGAGGTAACGAGATAGACAGTGCGACTAATAGAAAAGATAGCATGGGTGACATTTAGCCGACAGGGCATTCGCCCGATTTCCGCCCCTGACACGTGAGCACGTTCCATCCGGGAATGACGTAGCACGTGCATTGTGAAGCCTTGGAAAGGGCGGACCGCCCCTCACACCGCCCAAGCTTGACCGCCTAATACTTCCGTCCAAAAACCTCGCACCACGCATCACCGCCAGTCACAATTGCTCGAAAACTTTGGGCCTATCATGGGTCGGAGGCCCAATCAGCTAATCCTCGAATACTTCGAACGCGGTCCAAAGCTCGAAGATGCGAGTAATCGCTACCAGCATACGTGCAAATCATGCGGCGAAAGAGTGAGTACAACCCCGCAGTGCGAACAGTCTCACGGGACGTCAACAGTAGCTGATGGCATCTAGTTCCCCAAGGGCCGCATAGACAGCCTCACGAACCACCTAGTCAAGAAATGTCCGGCCCTACCCCTCCGCGACCGCCAGCGCGCCTTGTTGCAGTTCCATGAACTGCCTCTCCCCGAGAATATGACGCAGACGCAGACGACGGATGCGCCTGGACCGAGCCAGATGCAGAATGGCCAGAAGATGAACCTCGCGTTCGCGCCCTCCAAGCAGCTCTCTGCCTTGGAGACACTGGCTGAGGTGTCGCGACAACACTTGGATCTGTCAGGGAAGCGTATGCCAGAGAAGCAGCCATTGCACGGACATAATCACCAGAGCCACGCAGGCCTGCTGGACGAGTTCCTCATACAGGATGACAGACCAGAGGGGTCTGATATGGGTGGAATTGCTCAGGGCATGGACATGTCCAATGCGCCTGGCCTCCCAACCTTGTACCAGTTTAACGGTTCGCTACACCATTCGCCAACAAATTCACCTCAAATGGGCCACATGCCCCTCTCAAGCTCGGCGTCCATGGCACAAATGGTCCCCTCGCTCGTTATGGCAGCATCGGCGGCAAACGAACTCATGCCGTTAACCAATGGCTTAACCATGGAGCCTGAATTGAACATGTCGGGCAACGGCATGGGTATGTCTGACAAATTCTTCCAGGCGCAAGGCCGTGGGCAGTGGCCAAATATACAGCCGAGCTCGCTAGACCCGCTGCTACAGGATCATAACAGTCAACATTTGTTACCTAAGGATGATCATACAAACAAGGGCATACCCCATCCACGGCCCATTGCGATGAATCCGAACACCCAGGCGCACTTCACGACCGACTTCAGCATGGACCAGAAACCATCGAAGCCCAAGGTCCGCGGGCGATTCTCTGACTCTAGACGCAAAGAGGTGCAGGAAGTACGAAAACGAGGAGCATGTATTCGGTGTCGCATGCTCAAGAAGCCTTGCTCAGGAGAAAACCCGTGCAACACGTGCCAAAATGTCGAAAGCGCGCGGTTATGGAAGCAGCCTTGTATAAGAACTCGCATTGCAGAGGAGTTTAGTCTCTACTCTGCAGGTCTCCACAGCGTTTTATCGTACCATGCGACGAACCAGGCTAAGGGTCAGATACGGCTTGGTCAGACAACGGGTCGCATAGAAGCTACCCACTATCCGGACTCCAACACTTTTGCAACATTCACGCCGCTGAAGTGTCAGCAGGCTCACGCAGCTCAAAGTGCTGACATCGATCCGGCGATCTTTACTACTGTAGCTTCACCATATCTCGAGCTGATAGACGGTGATGATGATATTGGCGGGAAGCTCGACTTGTATATCAAGAAGATGGGGCCCCACTTCATTAACGCTGAGGGTTCTGCATTCATGAAGACTACACTGGACACCGCATCAAGCATGACCTCCTCAAATCAAGATGGATTGCTGTCCAAAGCGCTCGAGCTTTGGAACTTGACACGAATACTCACCTCTTCCAATCTAGACTGGCATTTGTTCTCTAATCCATCGCTTGCACCTACGATGGCGCCCTCTACTATATCCACCACGGACGTCGAGGATGCTACAAGGACGCCAATTACGGCCCTGAACCACCCTTCATCATATGACCTTATTAAAATGCAGCTCATGGGTGCTACAGAAAAGCGCGCTGCCTGTCTGGCACGCATTGTCATGAATGATCTGGAACGCCGCCTGCTCCAGCGCCAACAAGCAAATCCCTTCGAAACGTTCCTGGTCGCTGTTATCCTCCTTGCCTGCGTAGAGCGTATGTGCTGGCTTTTCCGAACGTGGGAAGTTCTACTACCTGTCACTGTCCCAACAACCACGGACATCGAACTTCCCTCATCAACAGAAACCGACCTAGCCTCAGTCCTACAATCCGCTTCATCACCGGCCATGTTAACGCAAGAGCCGCCACCTCAACCACGCCGCAATCCCAGATGGCCGCTCGATAAATCTCCCGCTTCCTTCTCACAGCAGGGAGAACGCTTTAGTGATATACTTAACATGCTGCTCAAGATGCGCGGCGTGCCACCAAAACCTGCACCTCGTAGCACGGATGGGATGCTGATGATGTGGGGCGATGATGTGGATGAGAAAGTAAGAGATTGGTATGATGGTATTGCGGTTACAACGCAAACACTGGACGACAGGGCGAATGCGCGGTTCGTGGGCGAGGAACCGAGGGAGTGGGAGTTGAAGTATGTCGGCAAGATCATTAGAGGCGATTGATGATCCACTCATGGGACGTACTTTGCATACGGGTTGTTGATCATGCTGGAAATGAATAGGCGCAAGTTCACTCTGCGTCATGTTCGTGCGTGCTATTATGGCTCCAGGGACCAGGGCTATGGATACCAAAAGTTATAAAGTTACATAGAGATGTCCTCGGACCTGTGAAGACGGATAGAAGTGGATTCGTGATTGTAGCACGTGTCTTGCTATGAAATCCTATTACACAAGTTCTGAGCGCTAATTGATGATTGTGATGCGTCTTTGCTTCATGCGGTAGATTGGGTGTCACGGAAGTTTAATTCTCAGCAGAAAATTGGGTGGCTCAACTCTTCAGTGCCTCTAATCTTCCGCGCATCTGCGCCAGCAGTTCTGCCTGGTCTTCCTCTTCTTCTTGCTCGGCCTGTGGCGCCGCAGGCAGCTCTTCCTCCTTGGCTTTGCTTGCTGGCAACCGATCCTTGAGCACCTCACTCAGCACCTTGTCTACCTCTTCCTCAGCCTCGTCAGCCTCACCCTCCAACATCTCATTATCCATGAGCGTATCGTCTACCATCTCCTCGATAATGCCCGCGCGCATCAACTCGCTGCTCAATTCCCTCATGGTGCCCGTCAACTCGGGCAATCGCACCAGACTATTCACATCCTTCATGATGCCTGTGCTGGCCTTGATGCTGCCCTCGATCTTGCGCACCGAGAAAGCTTCGTTGACTTGCATCTGCACGGACGAGAGCTGTGCTTTGCTTGTTTGGAGCCGCGAGTTTTGTTTCCGCACGCGGATCAGTTCGCGCGCGAAGATGCGTACGTCTTGGTTTGCCTGCTTGGCCATGGAGGGGTTGCGTTGGGCGCGCTTGGAGGATTGCATGATGAGGGTCTTGGTCTTTTGTTCTGTGGCTTTAAGTTGTTGGATGTCGCGGTCGAGTTTGCGCACGTTTTGGCGCACGAGGGCGTTGCATTTCCGCTTCTACAGTGTTTGTTAGTTACTTGTTCGAGTGGTGAGCATGAAGAATGGTGGGGTAGCGTACCTGCTCCTCTGGCGAAGGCTTCCATAGGAGGCCCTTGATGGTCTCCATTGTGGGCGGTCTAATACTGTCTACGTCTCGAGTGCATCCATAAGGCCTCGACTGGTTTGAATGCTTTGGCGTGGATGAGATATGCGCCAATCGATGCAAGCGGGAGCGGGTCGGTGTGAGCACGTGGGAAGCTTGATCGTGCCTGTCGGGATGGCGGATTAGGTGGCTATAGTAGAACGAGAGTTAAGTGGTGTGTTCTATGCTCCCATGAGATCACTTCGCTCAGGGTGCTTGAACTGGTCGTTGTAGATGCCTTGGAAGCCACTGAGGTACACGAGGGCGCTCGGGCCTTGTGACGTTCGCTGCCCCGCGACGTAGCCGCAGTCCATGATTAGCCATGTCGAACGACGCTCGACACGCTGTGCACCGCAGACAATCTTTGTCTCATACGTGTGAGGAGATAAGCGGAGCTGTAGAGTACTGCCGTGAATTTCAAGCTTCATCGTGAACCTGGTCGACAGAAGTTCGGGGCGTGGAAACTCAAGTTTCGAGAGAGCTTCTATTACTTTCCACGCTAGTCCCTCCACAACACTGCATTTCTTCCACCTTCAATCTGCCTCTGCCTCTACATCTACCTCGTCCTACAACAAACATCGTACCCACACGTTTACTCCTCACCCCTTGACGACACGAATACCCCCGGTTGATTCCCAAAACACAGCTTCACTATCCTCGATATGTCTACGGTCGTTCCAGAAGGTACGTCGCAGCCTTGTCCATTACGCAAGCCCCGTTTACCCTCCTGCCTGTCTGCTCTCTATGGAACCCTACAATTCGATCATCTGCTGGGGTCGCATACATACTAGGCATCTGCACTACGCATTGCTTGCTTGTGGTCGAATTCGAAGCTTGGGCAGAGCCTTCATCTGCCACTACAACTACTAACACACGACAGTCACCTGGGCGCAACGCTCATCCAGCAGCGACCCGGAGAAGAACTACGTCTACCTCACCATTGTCGCGGCCGACGTCCCCGAGTCAGATCTCAAGCTCGATCTCAAGGATTCTTCGCTCAGCTTCAAAGGTGCCTCCACGTCCAAAAAGGTCACATACGCTGTGGACATCGACTTCTACGCCGAGATCGACCCCAAGGAGTCGAAGATCAGCCACAGCGGTCGCGATGTTTCATTGGTGCTACGCAAGAAGGAGCTCAAGGAGGAGTACTGGCCCCGCCTACTCAAGGACAGCAAGAAAGTGCACTACTTGAAGACCGACTTCGATAAGGTGAGTACCTCTAGTCGCAACTAAGCAAGATGGAAGCAAGTTTAGCTGAATGATGCTGACTGATGCCAGTGGGTCGATGAGGATGAGCAGGACGAAGCGCCCGAAGACGATATGATGAACCAGATGAACCCGATGGGCGGCGCTGGCGGTCCTGGAGGTGATGGTGGCTTCGGCGGCATCGACTTTAGCAAGCTCGGTGCAGCTGGAGGCGCCGGTGGCCTCCCTGGTATGGGCGGCATGGACCTGAGCAGCATGGGCATGGGTATGGGAGGCGGCGACAGCGATGAGGAGGATGACGATGATATGCCCGAGCTTGAGAATGACGAGGAGAGCAAGGACAAGGAGCCTGCAGCGGCTGCAGCGTCGACCGACAAGCCCAAGATTGAGGAGGTCGCGTAAACGGACAACTTCTTCGCTATGAGTCAACGAACCCGTAAGGGGCAAGGTGCACGATTATCTGGCGTTGTGGCATCTCTGGAGTCGGTTTGGGCCGGATTTGGCTGAGTATCAACGGACACCCCTTGAGGTTGCCACGTGCAACCCTTTACACAACGCTGTCATATTCGTGTAGGTGATGACTGAAATGATAAAATAACACGAATCTTACTCCCACCACTGGTGCATCATTTGCGTCTTCCTTGATTATTATTGGCTTGAACTTTGCAGGCTCTCTAGATCTATGAGGGCGAATGCCTATGACATACCGTTTACCTACTCTATGCTTCTCATTACCCATATATTCATGCGTCTTTAACTATACCAGCTCCTCACGACTTGGTCCCTTTTGTATCCCGAAACTCTCATATGGAAAGTCTACCAAGCTCTTCAGCAACCGTGCCCACCCATCATCAATCTCACCAGGCATGCCAACTCTCCTCTTTCCTTGCACAGCCTTCTCCGTTTTCTGTAACTGTTGCTCTTCATCCCCTTTATGTTCTCCAGTCAATCCTGCTAGCACCTCTTTCTCTCTGCCATTATACTCCACCAACAGCTCTGGATGTGGACACCATACCGCCTGCATGCCCGCTCGTCGCCCTGACTCGACGCCCGGAACGCTGTCTTCGAACACCAAGCACTCTTCGGGTTGGATAGGCGGTTGTCCTTGCGCCTCGAGCGTCTTGTTTAGGGTGGACAGGGCGAGAAGATAGATGTCGGGTGCGGGCTTACCCCGACCAGGTGGTATCCGCGGGTCGTCGCCGAGGACCTGGTGTTCTGGTGCAAAGTACTCGAACAAGTCACCCAGATGCGAGCTCTTCAATCTAAAGTTTCCCGCATGACTGCTCGTCGCAAGCGCCATATGTACGCCCCTCGCCCTCAGCCCTTCCAGCAAATTCATAACCCCTGGTAAGGGCTGTGTGCTCGGGAAGAGCTTTGTCTGTAACTCTGTCTGTTCTTCCGTGAATTGTTCGTGCGAAATGGGTAATTTTGCCCAGGCATGGAAGATTTGGCCTGATTGCGGGCCTGGACGCCCTTGCAACTGCGCTTTTATGGCCCAGGGGAGTGCGGGGCGGTTATAGCGTTCGAGAATGGTGTTTGTGATGATTGTATAGAGGTCTTCGGAGTCAATGAGGAGGCCGTCCATATCGAAGAGGGCAGCGCGTATGCGCGGTGGCGGGGTGCTGCTGGGGAGTGTAAGTGGGGGATATATTTATGTATTTGATGAACGATGCATACTTTGAGCCCATCATGAAGTCTATGAGGAGGTAGAATGATTGTGTCGGCGGTCACCTGTGTTGGAATGGACAGTTGAAGGTTAGAATAGTAAAGCGGTGAATTCATTACCCCACGTGGCCGAGAGTAGCCGCATGCACGACCCACTCTCGGCCGACGTCACTGGACAACAAATGTCCCACCAAAGCAACACTCCATGCACACAGCAGACTCGAATGTTCACGCCTTGTCCTACGGTCCATCACTTGAAAGCCCTCAATGGTGAAACCACAGAGCGATACCGACGTGAAGGATAATACCGCAACATACACCCCCGAGATATTCCCTATAGACGAAGAGAAAAAGCTTCTTGAAGAATCGAACACTGAGAAAACCTCCGCGAACAAATCATTCACATCTGGAGGCTACGATGGCGCAATACAGGGCTACGAAAAAGCTCTTGCAGTATGTCCAACATATCTCGAATACGACATCGCAGTCTTGCGCTCGAACATTGCAGCTTGTCACTTGAAGCTCGAGGAGTGGAAACAAGCTGTCGAATCAGCGACACAGGCACTGGAGGCACTAGACAGGCTCGATCCTCCCGTCGTGAAACAGGCGGAGAACGGTAGAGGGGAAGTCCATGGAGGAAGTGGCGGTGTCGTTGGCGAAGTAGACGATAGCACAGAAGTCCTCCTCGAAGCCCTCACCCGCACCGGCCACACCATAAACGACGTCCACAAGATCCGCACAAAAGTTCTCCTGCGCCGCGCAAAAGCACGGCACGAAGTGGGTGGGTGGGCTTCCTTTCAAGGCTCTCTAGAAGACTACCAAGCACTCTCCAAGCCACCGCACCAGCTCTCGTCCCTCGACCAGAAAGCTGTCCAAGCAGCGTTGCGCAAACTGCCACAAGAGCTCGACGAAGCGAAGAATGCCGAGATGGCGGATATGATGGGCAAGCTGAAGCAGTTGGGGAATGGCATACTGAAGCCGTTTGGGCTAAGTACGGATAACTTCCAGTTTACAAAGGATGAGAAGAGTGGGGGATATAGTATGAATATGAATCAGAATCCGGGTGGGAAGTGAGGTCGTGCGCGATCCTCTTTGACAATACACTTTACCCTGAGCCTCTAAGGCATGATTCTGGGTTGTAGTGTGATTCCCGATCAGTTCGATGCAAAATCGTATCCTCTGTGCCAATAGAGATACAAGAGTGGTCCTCGACCAAACAGAATCCTTAGTCAGACGACGACGATGCAGAAATCGTTGGCTATGATTCCAACATTCTGGATTAGAATGACAACAATGTCTACAATAAATTCCACTAATGCTACTATATGTATGGGAAGCCAATACTTCCAGGGGTCATGCACTCTGTAACACGACATAACGTAAGAAAGCGCATACCTAGAGCTACCTGTTAAACTGTTGCCAGTCTGTGGTTGTACAATATGATTGATATTACGTTGCGGCCTCTAGGATAGGTGAGTGAGCCAGTCAACCGTGGTAGTAGACACGAACTGATGAATCTGATGCGGTACCGCGGTTGTATTCATATTGTCCTTACGCAACGATTCGAGCGTGACGATTTTCTCTGTCTACGCGTTCAAGGGGGAGGCCGCTGAAAATGACCAATGTTATTCGAGTCTGCTACAGTCTCGTGATCGCGCGTATGCGCTAGTGGCGCGTTAACGCATTACCGCCACCTTCCTCGCAATCATCAACACCACGCACTCAGACCGTTAATCTACAAACAAACCCGCAAACAAGATGAGTGCCGAAGAAGAACAATTCGATGACGGCGCAACGGGCCATGCTGCTGGCGCCCCAACTCCGGTTGCCGCTCTAGAAGGCGTCAACGGGCTAACTGCACGCGACATCAAGCTGGTTATTGAGGGCGGCTACAACACTGTGGAAGCTATTGCCTACACGTGAGCTTGTCGCAGAAGACAGTGTAATTTCGTAGCTAATAGAGATAGACCACGGCGGGCGCTCGAGCAAATCAAGGGCATCTCGGAACAGAAGGCGTCGAAGCTGCTTGCTGAGGGTAAGTGCCGGAGTCTATTCTTGATCACATTGTCTGACACTGCCAGCATCAAAACTTGTCCCGATGGGCTTCACAACAGCGACCGAAATGCACCAGCGTCGAAGCGAGCTCATCTCTATTACCACGGGATCGAAGCAATTAGACACACTCCTTGCTGGTGGCGTTGAAACAGGTTCTATAACCGAGATTTTCGGCGAGTTCAGGACCGGAAAGAGTCAAATTTGCCATACTCTGGCTGTAACGTGTCAGCTGCCGTTCGACATGGGTGGCGGCGAGGGCAAGTGCCTGTACATTGATACTGAGGGTACCTTTAGGCCAGTGCGATGTCTGGCCGTTGCGAATCGGTTCGGTCTATCGGGCGAGGAGGTTCTGGACAATGTCGCCTACGCGCGAGCATACAATTCCGACCATCAGCTTGAGCTCCTCAACCAAGCCGCTCAGATGATGACCGAGACGCGCTTTTCATTGCTGATTGTCGACTCAGCCACCTCACTGTACAGAACTGACTTCTCCGGACGCGGAGAGCTCTCAAGCCGACAAACACATCTGGCCAAGTTCATGCGGACGCTGCAACGGCTCGCTGATGAGTTCGGCATCGCTGTCGTCATCACTAACCAGGTCGTTGCGCAGGTGGATGGCGGACCAAGCGCGATGTTCAATCCTGACCCAAAGAAGCCTATCGGCGGTAACATCATTGCCCACGCCAGTACGACACGTTTGAGCTTGCGCAAGGGTAGGGGGGAGACGCGTGTGTGCAAGATCTACGACAGTCCTTGTTTGCCCGAGAGCGACTGCTTGTTTGCCATCAACGAGGATGGTATTGGCGATCCAAAGGAGAAGGACTTGGAGGAGAGGAACAATAAGTGATGCACGAGGTGAAAGGTGGTTCAATGGTCTTCGTTCTTTGTTTATCTGCATTAGGGCGGCGTTAAAGGTGGCACAAGCGGTGATGATGTAGACCATTTGACATAGCGCTTATCGTAATGGTATGCAGTGATATCCTTGAACAAACATCGAATCCATTGACTGAAGTGAATGGCATACTGAAGTGTAATAATTTGTCAAAATCCATTGGTCCGTGCGGGAGCTTCAAGCGCACCCCGTCGCGACCGCTGTTTTTGTGAGCTCCACCCTGGACACGGCCACAACTCGCTCTGAGCACCACAAATATCTCGCCCATCGCCTCGAGAAATTCATTCGCATGCGAGCAGGATGGTCGAGAATGAGGGCACCTGCCTCTATAAAGAGGCGCGGCTGAACATCGAACCTGCCTTTCCTGGATCAACAATCGCATTCACGCTCCCGTCGAGCTCCCTCAGCACCTTTGGCAGCCGACCAAATGCGAAGCGCACTGTAATCACAGAACAATATGCGGACCAGGACGAAGATGCGTTCACAAGGCGCCATCTGGCGACAGACGGGTCAATGTTCTTTCGGCAACACCACGAATACCCACGAAGCTTTCTTTGGCGCGTACTGGATAACAGGAAGATGCTCGAGATACAGGCGGTCGACCTAGATCACGACTACAATGACAAGTTCGAAGCAAACCTAACCCTCCTCCTCCAGTTCCCATCACCAATTCGACCTTTCTGCGTAGCTTTCGCCGAGCCAACAGACCGCGATGCCCTGACTGTCTTCGCGATTACGACGGCGAACGAGCTATACACCATCACCCTACACCGCGACTTCTTTACGAACCCGGCGGCCTCGGAACAGGACATAGAGAATTGGTGCAAGAGGTCAGAGCCGGCGTTGTTCAGCGGGCGCATTCCGTACCGGCTCGTCGCCCAAGATGTAGATGAGTTACTTGTAACGCTTGACGATGGAGCTATTTGTCGCATGTCTTGGGACAAAACTCATTTTTCATGGGACGGATCGCGGTACCAAAATAACAATTGGTCGGTTCGAGGCCTATTGTCGTGGAAAACGCAGCCGACGGTTCGATACGAAAATGCCGATCTCGCCATATCAGCCGCTGCTGCTGTTGCAATATCACCAGACAGACAGCACATTCTGTCGGTATGTCTAGATCACACGATAAGAGCTTGGAATGTTGCGTCGGGAAAACAGGGCATTCAGATGGATATCTTAGGTCATAACGATCACGCGCTGGAGAAGAGTCAGAACTCCTACTTCATTGGCCCCTCACAATCCAAGCTTATGGCTGTCCTGGAGGTCCTGGGAGGAATTGGAGGTGCCACATATCACGTCGTCACATTTTCGCCTAAACAGCACCAATTCAAGTTCTGGGGTGTTAGAGACGCGGACGATTCCCAATTTGGGTTTTACGATGCTGCCGCGGACGCCGAGCTCATCCCCCCTATCGATGAACTTATGAATACAACCGTGTGGTCACTGGAAGAGTTTCACATCATCCCAGGACCTGCTGGATGGAGAGGATCAGAAATTTGGATACGGGCAAGATCTGGGCCGAGTAGTAGGGTCTATTCGCTCAAGTTCGATCTCACAGATGATCCTGATACACTGTCACAGACCTGGAAAAACGATTGGGTGTCGGTCGATTCAGGGCCACTGACCGTCGAAGCACTAACCAAGAGTTCTAAAAACCCCAGCAAACAAGACCGAGATATAGAACAAGGCGATCTGGAGTTATCTGAACCATGGCTTGACTTCCTATTTTATCCGGGGCGGTTTACCAATTCGACACTGGAAACTGCACTGCTCATCTTTAAGAGGGGACTAGACCGGACACGGTTGGGCCGATCGTCAAGTAGGGGCTCACTCAAAGAGCGTATTTGCGCCACGGTCACAGGCCTCGCTATGAGCAAGCAGCATGCCAACCAGGACGCAGAACAGATTGGCAATGCTGTAGCTTCGCAATGGCAAGCATACTATGGCCTTGTCAAGGACTTGCATAAGCGGAGAGGAGACTCACTTTCTCTTGCCTATGACAAAGAGACAGCCATGCCATGGCTTGTTCTTAGCGACCAGCTCTCGGCGATACGGAATTGTAGCGAGCTAGAAATCACGGCTTTGAACGCGGCAACCCTGTCGTCATCACACAAGCTAAGTAATCCTCTTCGCAAAGCTCTAGACAGGCCTGAATCTCGTGATGTGGCGCGACTTCTGAATGCGGCCTCTTCATTTCGACAACGGTTGCCATGGTCTGTGCAACAAGAAGTTGAACGGCACGTGGAGATGGATTTACTCCAGAGTCGCTCTCTTACTATCATCGATCGCATGGAGTGGATTGAAGGCCATAGCGAGCTGTTACAGCATGTATCAGATGAAGACTTGTCGCAACTCGTCGAAGAACTCGGAACTGAAGTGAAGGATCTTACCACCGATACATTCCTTCGGGCCATCAAGACGTTAGGTTACGAAGAGGAAGGCCGAGTCAACTCAAGAAAGCAAATCGCACGCTATGGCCTGAGCGCTCTACTTAGGGTGTCTCAGGAGACGCTGCAGGCAGATCACGACACCTTGTTAGATCTGCTCATATTGGTCTTGTTCATGTTCGTTGAGTTGGAAGGAGAGACACCGGAAGACTTCGACGCATCAGAGGTCTTCGTAGAACTTATTGTTCAGTACAAGGACTGTATGACAGTATCGTGGCTTGCTAGCACAGTGTGGGCACGTCAGAGTTCCACTGGGCCAGCATCAGAGGTGGTGAACCGAACCCTGAGCGAATCCCTGAAGAATGAAAAGAGGCTTCCCTTCATGCAGACCGTGCTGGAAGGAATACACGGTCATCACGCATTCGACCTACCACTTCCTAAGGGTTCGAAAGCCAACCTGCTCTCACACTGGAGTCGCGCTTGGATAGCATCAGTCTTCAAGGAGCAAAACTATGATAGTGTGGTGGAAGACACTATGGGTTACTTGCTCGCTCAAAAAGAGTACGACCTAGCACTGAATTTTTCGAAGTTCCTTATTGAGAGCAACTGGAACTCATATCTGAAGGGCCGGTTACACATAGCATTGGGTGAAAATGCATTCGCATCTGTGTGCTTCGAGAAGGCAGCGTATAATCTTGGTGAGTATATCGAGCGCATGCACACGGACGGTACACTAATAGTTTCAGCGTTGGGACTGTTCAATATCGATGATGCCGACTCAGCAAGTCTGATATCGGAGGCTGAGCGAAATTCATTCTCAGATGGCCTTGCAAGATATTACGGCCATGTCATCGGCTTGTTCGAGAAGGCCAAGGCCTACTCTTATGTCGCGGACTTTGCGCGATTAGGCCTAAGGTCATTGAAGGGCCGGGAGGATGAAGAGCTGAGGACCGATCTGCTTCAACGTCTTTTCACGGCTTCGGTACAGACATGCAGGTTCCACGAGGCGTACTCTGCCATGACTAGGCACAGCGATGCTGCCTTGTAAGTTGATCTCTTGCGGTCACAAGCATGTCCGTACTAACTGAAACCGTAGAAAACACTCGGACCTTCAAACCCTCATCACGTCCATGATAACACAGTCACAAGCCAAAGAACTTCTCAAGTTGCCCCTTGTTGGCCTAACGGAAGACGTGGATGCCATACTCTCTTCCCTCTGCCAGAAGACACTCAACCTCGCATCTGGACCCCCTTACCACCAGATCCTCTACTCCTTCCGTATATCCCGCGGCAACTTTCGCGGCGCTGCATCGATCCTCTACGAACGACTGCAACGCCTGAAAACAACATCTTCGAAAATTCATGATCCAGCGGATGAATCGCTAACGCAGTGCTACCTGATGATTATCAATACACTCTCGTCGGTCAGTAAAGCGGACGCATATATCCTAGCTGAGCAGAAGACTGAGGGGGGTGGACCGCCGCAGTGGGGTATTGGCCAGGGCAAGAAACTGCTCAAGCGGCAAATCGTCACTTTGGAGACGCTGAGAAAGGAGTATCAGGCCGAGCTTGACCGCGTAGCAGCGATTGAGAGCGGGCAATTTCCGTTTGTGGACCCGACGGAGGAGATGGATATCTTGTAAATGTAGAGACGAGTCTTTTCAGCGCGGCGTTTGACGGAGGGAGGTAACATGGCAAGGGAAAACATGATGCTGCACGTGTTCAGGGCTCTTTGCACTTCTTGGACGAGATTTTCACAATACTTTGAAGCTACCAAGGCTATATCATCTGAGAGAAATGATGTCAATGTCTACTATAGATGCGGTCATATTGGACGTTCATGTCGATGCTACCGTTTCGGGTGCAGAACACCAAACTCACGCGCTAAAATGGCTAGTGCGGATGATGGGTGGGGCGTCGCGACCCGCATCCGTTGCACATCCCGAGGTCGTGAACAACCCACGTCGGCGCTTAGTTTACTCTTGCAATACAGGGCTTCTCCGCCCATTTTCTTGTATACATCGCACGTAACTATGGTAAGCCCTATGGTCATCCTTACGTCCATGTGCACCTTCAACTGCTAACAGCGGCTATTCAGAACTCCAAGTCGCTGCGCCGTCTCGCGACCGACCACGGCTCTCTGCATACAGCTGGCCTACCTCCGAATTACCTCTTTCCCCCTTCCTCAGATGGTTCCGCAGATCTGACCTCTCTTGATATCCTACTTGCTGGTCCGGTCGGCACACCCTGTACGTGAGGTCGGTCGTACTGTATTAGACTATACTGACGGTACCACGATTTCTAGACGCCGGCGGTGTTTGGCGACTACACCTTGATATTCCTTCTACGTATCCTATCGCTCCGCCCACAGCACAGTTCCGCACGCGGCTCTGGCACCCAAATATTGACGAAGCTACCGGCGCTGTATGCGTGGAGACTTTGAAAAGAGACTGGAGTAGTACGCTGAAGTTGAGGGATGTGCTTGTTACAATATCATGTCTGTTGATTCAGCCAAATCCGGCGAGTGCGCTGAATGAGGCGGCGGGCAAGTTGGCGACGGAGGACTGGCAGGGATACTGCAGACGGGCAAAGCTGATGACAGAGATCCATGCTGCTATTCCGAAAAACATCGCGAGCGAGGTCAAAGAAGCGCAGATGAGGGGCGAAGATAGCGTTCCTGAGCCTAAGCCTGAGCCGTCAGTCCCGAAGATTCAGACTAGGGGCAAGGACAAGGAGCGTGTCAAGGTCACACCAACAGCCTCCAAGGTGCAACGATTAGCCTCAGAAGATGAGGAAAACACACGACAGCGAGGGGAGACACAAGAACCGGAGAGCGACCCCGAGAGCGACTGGATACCTGGGCCTGACAAGCCTGCACCTCCAGCGGCCCGACGAGACAATAACAACATTTTCGGCATCAAAGGGCTAGAGGAGACCATACAACTCGATACACCACCTAAACGCATGTTCGCCCCGCACGTGGTAGCACCTCCTCCTGATGAGGAGAATGATCACGACAACTCTGATCCTTTCATTACTGTGGCGACCAAGCGCGCCAACCCTTCCTTCGACCTGCGACTCCCTCCCGCCTCAACCCTCGCATCATCATCACTCGCACAACCGCCCTCAACAGATACCCCGGAACTCCTCAAGTTTTCACACCAGAACCCTTTCTCCGCCATCCAGCCCAACAACCAAACACACATCTTGATCAAGGAATTCTCTTACTCGTGGGAAGAGTCGGAGATTGTGCACGAGACGGGAACCTTCAAGGACGGCGCAAGTAGGGTGGAGACGAGGAAACGAATAGCGGGCGAAGAGTTTGAGAAGAAGAAAGACTGGGAGATGAAGAGGTTCAAGAAGGCCGGGTATCATGTGGGACGGTACAATAGGGGAGATTGGGGACCGAGGATGGGGATTGGCCGGCTTTGATGAGTGACCTTTGATATGTTTGTTGGAGCGATCGACGGCCACACTTGGCCCTGCATCATTTGGTAAGCTAGCAGCAGCCACGATATGGCAAAGCGCAGCTACATATGCTGGATTAGTATGCCCTTGAAGCACCCAGGGCACTCAGCATAGTCTTTTTAGCATCGGGAACACTACGTTGATGGACTTTTCAGCCTTGCAGAAACTCAGATGCAACCTATTGGTTTAACGATGTATTTATTTACTCTACTACGTATATAAATTACTCGTCATCGCCAAAGAAGACCTTGATTGGGAGCCAAGCATCTCCGCAGACCTTGAAGCGCTCAGGCAGCGAGTCGATCTCCTTGACCTCCTCATCCGTAAGCTCCCAGCCGTCAAGCTCGAAGTTGCCCTGGATGCGCGATGCAGTGACAGACTTGGGGATGACGCTGGTGCCGCGCTGGAGACCCCATACGAGCAGAACCTGCTGTACAGACTTGCCCTTCTTCTCGGCAATCTTCTTGAGCTTCTCGTTCTTGTAGAGCGGGGAGTCGGTGGAGCCGAGGCAAGAGTAGGCGGTGTTGTGGATGCCCTTCTTCTTGCAGTAGTCGAGGAGCTTGGGTCTGAGACATTGTTAGCTTTTCATCATGGCCTGAGGAATAGTTTGGGGGCACGTACGAAGGGTTGTTGGGGTGGAGTTCGACCTGGTTCACGGCTGGCGTAATCTTGAAGCGCGAGTCGGCGAACAGCTTCTCGAGGTTCTTGATGGCAAAGTTGGATACACCGATGTTCTTGACACGACCGGACGCAGGAAGCTTCTGAAGCTCAGCCCATGTGTCCAAGAAGTCCCAGTCGGGGTAGTGCTTCTTGAGGTCATCAGGGTCGGTGGACGAAGGCCAGTGCTACACGGCGATTAGCTCTCGTCTCAACAGGGGTCATCTCTCGGGCGGACTCACCATGAGGTACAGGTCAATGTAGTCAACACCAAGGCTCTTCAGGGAGCTGGTGATGCCCTCCTCGACGCGCTTGTGCCATGGGTTGTCGAGCTTGGTGGTGATCCAGATCTCCTCACGGGGCACGCCAGAGTCCTTGATTCCGTCACCAACCTCCTTCTCGTTGCCATAGGCAAGAGCTGTGTCGATGTGACGGTAGCCGGACAGGAGAGCCGCCTTGACAGCCTCGCGGACCTCACCAGGCTGTGACTGCCATGTTCCGAGGCCGATCGCAGGGATCTTTGCGCCGGTGTTGAGCTGGATTGAAATGTTAGTCCTGCGTACATGAAGTGTAATGTATCGAGTATCAAGGGTTGGTGGTCCGCTGCAACTTCCACCCTCTATGCAGGGCCTGCTGGTTGCTGACATGAGGCTGAAAACATAGTCCAACCCCACGCTTGCCTACCCCGCCACCAAATGCTGATGGTGATGCTGGAGATGTTGATGCAAGGCAACGCGCTGTTGCTCACTCGTACGTACCGTGAAGCTCTCTTTGGTCCAGTTCTTAGGTGCCATGGTTGCTGATGTGAGATGTAATAGTAGATGTGAGTTTGTAGATGCAGGAACAGAGAATTGGCGAACTTTTTGAACAGCGTTTCTCTCGAGGAGCTACATCATCGCATCTGCCCCTCGGCGGGGGCCCCGAAGACGGGAAATCTAGCGAGAAGCCGTTTTCCCACCAATTGAAGCACTTCACCTGGGCAAGGTGCACACAGGCAGGTCTTGTGCGCTAGCCTGAAAAGGAAGCTGCACCAGCCGCGGTCCAAGCTTCCCCCATTACGACGAGGAGCTTTCTCTTAGGGTCCCATCGCCTTGGCAACGCCACCGACTCTCCAGGCCTACGCGGATACTTGCGAGCTCCGTTGTCCTATTTCCTCCGACAAGTAGTCTTTCCACGCTAGACTGTATGAATCCTTGTCGAGATGAGTAGTGGATTCGTGAGCGGTACGTCTCCTCACTACTAAAAATGTGCGTCATCACACTGACCTCGTAATTCCAATCCTCTAGGCGGGTTGGCCGACGACGAAACAGAGAGAGATTCTGAATGGAAAAGGGCTGCGAAAGAGCTGGAGGCTGAGCGGCAAGCAAAAGCAGACTTGGCCAAGCAACACGACGGGAAGAGCCTCTTCGAGATCCTGCAAGCCAACAAGGACAAGAAGCAGGCCGAGTTCGAGGAGAGGGCTCGCTTCAAGCTCCACAACGCTCTTGACGACGATGAAGCAGATTATCTCGACTCGGTGCTAGAAAAGAAGCGACAAGAGGAGGCTAACGTGAGGAAAGAGACGTTGGAGCAATTAGACTTGTTTCGTAGGCAGCAAGAAGAGGCAGAGAGGAAGGCTTTGGAAGAGGAGAGTATCGAGGCGCCAAGTGAAGATGGAGCACAGTGGGCGGCGGTCAAGCGGAAGAGGAAGAAGGGACCCGATGCTGGCTTGCTGAAAGGCATCAAGCTAAGGAAGTCGAGTTCAGCAGCTGAAGAGAGGGCAGTAATCGAAAAGGCGAGGGATGGGGATGGGTCGACGCAAGCCGCTCCAACGGCCAAGGCTGCCAAAGACAGTTCTACGCCACTACCAGCTACGACGACCAAATCTTCATCTACTTCATCTGTAGCAAAGCCCTCGGGTATTCTCTCACTAGGATTAGACTATGCGTCCTCAGACGATGACACTTGAACAAATAAGTAATTCGCTTTATTTTGGAGAGGTACTGGTACGTTAATAACTACTAAATAGCGCTGTCTCTATTTCTACCTCTTTCATCCAAATAGTGCTTAAAGTAGCTAACGTTCAGACTTGATGCGGAAGTACACAGGCTGTTTGGATATAGAGCGCCATGTTCGCGAAGCTCGGCTCGCCCTGCCAGTGATGTTGGTGCGGTCCGAGGATGCCCGTGGTTAACTTTCTCCGAACTCCAGACTACCCCAGATTCCCGCCGCGGATGCCCACACTACCCCAGATCAACCTCTTCCAGAGATGTACATACCCCGCATGGTCAATCAGGCCTACTGGTCTGGAACCAAGCAACCGCGTCTACGGGTTGTTGCTAACTTGATAGCTTTGGAGCTTTCGATAATCCCCTATGAATTCGTGTCGCACGGCCCAATCGGCTTGATGGGATGAGATGCAGGTCGTTTGGTCGCATGTCAGATCATTTAGCTCCTTTGTACTTGTGCCATGGATCTAGGTTTCCGTAATGACTTGACAGGGTTTCTCAAAAGACCTTCGACGTCCCAAGCCAACAGGACTTCTCTACTTGTAACCTGCTAAACACCTTGCTACCAGCAGCCAGAGGATCAAGTATGGCAACCCCTGAAACAACAAAGGCGAATGTGAATCATACCGAAAACGCCTCGACAATCAACGACAGCACTCTCGAGCACACACTTACACAAAACATTCACGGCTTCGAGATTGATTTCGCTGCACTGCCAAAAGGCTACTACTACAGTCGTTTCTTCCTGGGTACCTTCCTTGCCACCGGCCTCGCAATCATCTGTGGTACTGCGGCCTTTGGTTTCGCAGCTCCCATCCTTGGAGTCATCAACGCAGATATCGGGCCTGATGCTAGGTACACGTGGATTTCCCTGGTATACAACGCTGTTCTTGCCGTGTTCCTTTCGCCCGTCGGACGTCTTAGCGACATCTTCGGTCGCCGCTACTTTTTCGTTGGAGGTGCCGTTGTTGCCATCATTGGAAGCGTGGTTTGTGCTACCGCGCAGGATATCCCTACCCTAGTAAGCAGTAGTCTCGAGTTATTGCTTGAAATGTATTGTTCTGATCCAAAACACAGATTGGTGGCAATGTGCTTCTCGCCGCTGCTACGGCTACGCAGCTCAGCTTCCACTTCGTCATCGGCGAGCTCGTGCCTATGAAACACCGCTATTTTGCTATTGGCATGATATACATATTCACCTACGCTAGCTCTGGCATGGGCCCTGCTATATCTGCGAGCTTCGTCGCCAACCATCCAAACGTCGGGTGGCGCGGTGTGTACTGGCTGCTGTTTGCATTGAATGTAACTGCTTTCATCCTGTGGACCGCGTTCTACTATCCACCTTCATTCTCCGATAAACATAAGCACGACGAGAACCGCAGTAAGGTGTATTGGCTCAAGCACTTTGACTGGATCGGGACTTTCCTGTTCGCATCTGGGTTCATCGTCTTTTTAATGGGCCTTAGCTGGGGCGGCTCACGTACGTCTTCTTGACTCTACAGTTCTGCATGTCTGACAACTGACACTTCTTAGTTTACCCCTGGAAGTCTGCCGCCGTTATCAGCGCTATCATTATCGGCTTCGTGGTCCTTGTTGCTTTCGTGCTCTGGGAGATCTATGCACCCATCAAAGAGCCCCTGATCCCAATGCACCTGTTCTTAAACGGGCGTTGGGTTGCTGCCGTGGTCCTGCTGGGCTCGGGTGCTGGCGTTTATTACGCATTCAGCATCGTCTGGCCCGCACAAGCCGCCGTACTCTACGGCAACGGCGACACTATTCGAGTTGGATACATGAGCACCATCGTGGGCATCAGCATCATTACAGGCCAAGTGCTCGCCGGCATATTCGCTGAGCGGATCGGAAAGACACGGTATCAATGCATGGCCGCCTTCTTGATTGGAGGCACCTTTCTCGGCTGTGCTGCAGTTGCTAACCCCGACAATGGGAGCACAACCATGGCACTCATCTTCCTTGGCTGCATGTTCATCGGCTGGAACGAGTCCATATGCCTGGCGAACTCGACCATCCTTGTCGAGGACCAGAACGAGATCGGAATCGCCGGTGGCACAGCGGGTTCTGTACGTGCAGCAATTTGCGCTGTCTTGGTCGCAATCTACTCCACCATCATGACGAACCGCCTCGAAGAGACGATTCCTGCTCAAGTTTCGCCCGTCCTCATCAACGCCGGTCTTCCTGCTGCCAGCGTTCCCCTATACCTGCAAGCAATACGGCTTGGTGCTGCTGCTCTCGCGGCTGTACCCGGCATCACAGAGCAGATCATGGCGGTGGGATATAGAGCTTACCAGGAAGCAAACGCAGATGCATTCCGGACAGTGTATCTTGCTACGATTGCCTTTTCTGCTGCTTCGGTGGTTCTGACCTGGTGGGCACCGAACACTGATGATCTGATGACAGGCAAGGTTGCTGCGACGCTGAATCATGAAGGCCAGCATGGAAACACGCAGGAGAAGCACGTTGGGGGAAATGATTCCTCTGTCTAATGATGCACATTGGGGACACAAAGCATAGGGATATCAAGTAGAGTGTAATAGTAAACCCGAGCTTGATTAATAGAAGTAGTTTAAGGGTAGTAAGGGTAAGCTCTAGAATCTATTTGCTTTATAATAGTATTCTTCCGTAATATAGCAAGAATACGACAAAGGGTATAACATTGTTGGTATTTATAGCCAAGATTTCTCTTAATAATATCAAGTGCCTACTAGTATACTATTTCCTCTGCCTCATAAAACCGCCCCAGGGCCGCATAGAGGAGGCCCCAGTTATTGACTGTATTACGTACTAGTGTATGCTCTAGTCTCTGCGATTTCTCAAAGCCTTATTTCTACCCGCTAGTGCATCTTCTTTGCCTCTTGCTTGCCCTACTCTACGTAGAGCATGCCTAAGTTGTATGTTAACCTCTACATCCTAATTTATCCTACTGCGTATAATTCCTTCTTGTCAATGTTGACTTTACTTTCAAAAAAAGAGAGAGAAAAAAGAAGAAAAGCTGGAAGAAATTCACCGTCGAGAATGACCAGAAGAGGCGGTTCAAAACATGTTTAAGAAAATGACTACCCAGTACAAGTCGAAGATCGGCTAGGAGGTAAAGAAATACTTCCTATAAGCCTGAAAGGCGCTAACGGGTCTTCTGAGTATCTTTTAACGAAGCTACGACACTATCTTCCCGCTGCTGGTTGACGGACGAACTCGGGTTTTATTATATGTAGCGTAAGATGTAACACTCCTGTTCCTACAGTCTATTCTAGTCGAAGAGATGTCTTAACATTCTATGTGAAGTCTCTTCCAGTCATGAATCGAGATTTTCCAAAAGCACTTTCACATTTTTACCATCGATGGACTTTTGAACTTCTGCAACGAACAAAGAGAATCGTCCAACCCTTATTGGTACGGCCAAATCTTGCGCATCTCCTCAGCGGATTTGCCATACTCTGCAGAATGAGCTATGCAAATTTCAAGTAATTCCTTGTTCCGCTGCTGCTTCTCCTCAAAGTTATCATTAGGGGCAATCCAGCCGTCGGCATCGGTACCCAGATATTCCCGGGCAAGCTCATAGATCTTGTGGTAGTCCCGGTATTCTCGAAATTCCTGCTGGTACTTTTGGATCTCATCCTCGCTGAAATTGCATGGGCAGTCGCCGGAAAACCCAGCTTCACTCCATACGTCGGCTATTGCAATCAGGCAAACACGAAGAGGTACAACACCCTCCTCCCACGCTTCTCCGCAACGGAGGAAGAGTTGTCGGAAAAGGGGAGGTAGACGTATAGCTTTGAAGACATTCTTGTTCTTAAAACCGCTGGCAGCCTCGTAAGCCTTGCCCATCATCGTTTGTTTGTGCCTGAACCTGACAATCGCTTGATCGTCGTCGTCCATTTCGTCGATGTTCTCTGGGAGTGTCGGTATCTCGTACCCAAGCTCATAGTCCTCACCAATGCTTATGAATTCGGGGAAGCGAACTTGGTAAAACAATGGCGAGACGACGATAGATTGCCAATCAATGAGTGAGGTGATTTGGGTAGGCTCTTCATCAGATACATAGATGTTTCCCATGTGTAGGTCGGTATGCCATAAGGTCGGCCATGGCAAGCGTCCAGGAAGAGTCTTCGCGTCCATCTTAAAGAAGACCTCTTTAGCCATGTTTAAGACGGCAAGCTGTTCCTCAGTAGAGCCTCGTGGTGGCCCGTAGGGCACAACTCTGGGATTCTCTTCGATACGTGCAATCTCACGTTCGGCAAGCGCAACGCCAAAAGCAGGTAGAGTGGGCCCTAATAAGGTATCATTATCAGTCTGAAAAAAGAGTTGGTTCAGTATTACTCACATGGGCCTCGGTCAAAGCGGGCCTGAACAGATTCCGCTTCGTACTTGCCGAACCATGACTTCTCGCAAGAAGGCCCGACACAAAACAGGCCACAGGGATCCATCTCGGGCGCGAGAGGTTTGTACTTGTCGCCGGCCCCCATTGACTCACGGAGGTAGAGGCTTCCATTCGCGGGGAAAGCAATCGCCGCGAGATCAGCTTCAACCTTGCATAGGTTTTTGATGAATTCAAAATGACTCAAATCTTCCATCTCTCCCCATTTCTTGACCAGTTGACAGCCGACAGCCTTCTCCATTATTATGTATTCGGCACCGACTGGATTCGAAGAGTCGGCGTTCCACGCCAGGACTTTGGGGACCGGAATTGTGGTGTAATCATGCACTATTAGCGCATTGATCAGTCACAAGCTCTCTATAGTAAACATGTAGAACGCACAGTATTGCAGTACAGCTGCTTCAGATGCTGTTAGGTACTTAGGGGGGCCAGCATTAGGCAAAGGAAGTTTAGCAACAACCTCTGTCCCATCTTCTTTGCTCATAAGTAATGCCTTACTAAAGCCTCCTTCTATTTTGTTAATTAGACGGATAGGCGACTGGCTAATACCAGCAGAGGCGGCTACAGCACAGAGCTTGTCTAAGTCAAATTTCAGATACCTTTGGTCGCATGATTCCTTCTCCCTAACTAAGAAGCGTCCATTCGTGTATTTGAAAAGCTGATCGCGACTGATTCTCTCGCCTATAACAGTTTGATTAATAATTCGAATCGCTAACAGGTGGTTCTTACCCCGACAGAGTATTGAAAGAGTTCTAGATGAGGTGAAGGATATCGCATGCTTGCCCTTCCAGAAATTCATGCCCATTGATGTAACAGAAAACAAAAATGGCATAATCCGCGTATGGACTTTGTACGAGACTGATTGATAGTGACTGTGTGAGCGTATCAAGAAGAGTTACACTATCCCAATCTCATGGGCCACAGGCGCTCACCGAGAATGAGTCTCTGAGACGCTGTTTGCTTGTAAGAAGAGTGATTGAATTACTTGATGCTAGGGATCCGTGGGCACAGGCCTCTCAGTCTTTGGTTGAAGGTGTACACGCGCGCAAAGCTCCGATTGGAATGGTAAGGCGAGCCAGAGAAGAGAGAATGTGGCAGCAAAGTAAATCTGAATATAGAGAATCTCTAGCTTCAGTGCATGTACAGCGCGCTTAGGTCGCTAGAGCTGGTGACGTGGGCGGAAGTATCGATACTTTCACAACTTGCGGCACAGCATCGGCGCATATAAAGGCGACTGAGAGCGAGGTCTTGAAGAGATTGGAAGAAGATGCGGATGTAGACGGCGTGAGCCAACGGCATGGAACTTTGGGCTGTCAATTAGCTGGAGCTAAAAGATGCACGTTGAGAAAAGATTGCGGCGAAGGAAGAAGAGTCGAGGTGGGCTCTTGTTGGAAGCGTCAGGTGACGTAAGCAAGCCGCTTGGGCCCCTACGGAAGGCTAGATGTAGAGGTGGAGTTTTGGCAAGAGCAAGAAAACTAAAAATGGACATCACTTGACAGGATATGCAGCCCCGGCAGATTTTTTATTATTATAAAGTCTCGTCACACAATTGGAAGAAAGACACGGTAACCAAAAGCAATAGCCAAGTCATTCTGCATGTGGCTTTTTTCCGTTAGTCCTCATGTAAACGCTGACAGAACCACCCTAGGGCTGACCTCGATACTACCCAAACTCATTTAGCCAATTTCAACATCCTAGCTTCAATTTACCAATCTTCACCATGCGCCAGGTTCTCAAGGCTTCCAACCGCCAGTACGGGACTTGAAAAGCCCCGCCGGATCAACCTGCTCCGACACTCTTTTTGCCAGCGCTCGACTCTCGGGTCGCAGTCTTCCAAAATAATCCTGGCGGTAGAATCCGTAGTTCATAAAGATTGGTAAGTATGCTTGCGGAAGCGTGCCGTCCGCCTGCCACGCCGTCACCCTGTTCCTCACACCTGAGTATGTAGCCTCCATCGTGTTTGCCATTGGCTCGTATTCCGACTGCGGGATGAATGCGTAGTTCATTTCGATGATGATGCGGTCAACATCAGCGTCGGCGTCAATTAGATCCGGGCTGAGTTCCCTCGCCTTCTGTGCAATCTTTTTAGGGAAAGGCTGCCAGGCGATGGATGCCACAATACCAGGTACGAGCAACGTGGTGCTGGATATATTGCGCCAGTGGTTGTGCAATCCCTCCATGACTTTGACCTGGTTTTCAGCGGATGGTAGTGGTATCGTTTCAGTTGCAATGTCTACGACAGAGCCCTTGATGACAACCCAGTTGCTCGTAGCCATAAGATCGGCGTAGGTTTGAGTCCTCGTTGTATCTAGTAGCGGGTTGGCATCTGTAAAATTCTTAAAGAGCCCGGGCGGAGGCGAAGGACCATCGTAGAACAGAAAAATGATCCAAGAGTCGACAACGTTGATATTCGCACGCTCGGCAGTAACTATGACAGCAGCCTTCTCGTCCTCGTTGTATTCGGTCCAGTCGCGTACTGCCTGGAGGAGTTGTTTATCTTTCTCAGGCGTGCGTAGGTACACCAGATTTCCGCCCCAGATGTTGCCTTGCCGATGTGCCTGTAGCTTATAGTTCGTAACAATGCCGAAGTTGTTGCCACCTCCTTTGAGCGCCCTGAAGATGTTTGGATGGTTTTCGCCGTTAATGTGCCCGATCGTGCCATTGGCAAAAACGATCTCATACTCCAGAACCGAAGAAGCAGCCCATCCATATTGAGTCGACATGTAACTGAGCCCTCCACCAAGGACGAGGCCGCCGACTCCCGTATTGCCAATTCGCCCACCCACGAACGTCCACCCAGTACCCTGTAACTTCGCTGAAATACCATCGAGTCGGTTACCAGGGCCAACGTCAACAACGCCGGTGCTGCGATCTAGATTGGCCTGATCAAAACGTTCCATCGCAATGAGAGGCCCGCCAGCGACACTGCTCCATCCATTGTTTGGGTTATGACCACCGGACTTGACGGCGAAGGGCTCAGAACTGTTCGCAAGTATCTTGACAATGGTCGAGACCTCTTCTACGGTTTTTGGGAAAAGGATACATGAAGGGCGAAGAGCAGAGCAAGATGTTGACCAGTATTGAGTCTGCTCTTGGATGTATGCTAGGTTCAAGGAATAGGTAACTTCAATGGACCCTAGCGCCTCGACTGACGAGCAGGTGCTCGCATGTGCCGAATGTGGTAGAATAAGGGCGAGAAAAAAGAAGAGTAAAAGGTCTAACATGTTGAGCTCGAGGAGAGCGACCAAGCTTGTCTGATGGCTAGATAGCTATCCTGAGCACCCTTTATACAAGATGGTCTTCCAACACGTCTGGGAGTGACGTCGGTGTGCATTCGCCGAGACATCCTGAGAATAGGCTACGAGGCAGTACGAGTAAGCAAGGAATGACTGGATAACTGTGACTGCGCGAAGGACCGTTCTAAAAGTACTCCGTGTTAGTGGCAGTGTTGACTAGGCAGAGTATTGACTAGGCATAGCCTTTCACTATACCACTAATGACAAGCGCTATGTCTGTACTGCCAGCAAGATCACAAGCCCGGATAATGCCTTGAACTTAACCAGGATTTACCGATCGCGAAGTCTATGAGCGGTAACGATGTCATACCCTTGCGGCGCAAAAATAATGAGACACACCTTGTGCGTTAGCTTCATTCCTTCCCAAGTGGTCGCGTACAACTTATTCCAGCACTAGCAACGTCTTCCGAGGAACAGACTCGAGTCAACCTGATTTGTGAACCTAAGTCTTCTAAGGAACAAGCTCGAGTCAATACAAAACCTTTTTGCTAAATGCCAAGCATTGAAGGCCTGTAGCTCTGACTAATTCACGCGGTATTTCAACCAATTCGTACGTACATGCGGGGCGCGAAAGGTAGTGTAAACCTAGACCAAAATAATCATGCTTGCGTGGTGGTTCGCTTTCTTGCCGACGCAGTCTGCGATGTTGTTGCATAGGCTGAATGCGGAAGAGCTCGCTTCTGTTGTCTGCTGACACGTGGGCAGGTACGAATACGAGCGCTCAGGAGAGACTTCGGGAGTTATTTCCACCTGACTCGGTTAGCTTAGCATTTGCTGTTCAGATACGGAGCACTTATGCAAAAAGATGGGGCCACCCCGAAGGACGGCAATACAAACAACCCGCACGAAAGGCCTATCACCACCAGCTCCCGCATCGACATCAATGACCTTGCAAAACATTCAAATCGAGAAATACGTTGAAAGTAGCTTCCCCGGGTCGGGCGAAGAGGACTTTGCGGAAAAGGGTAGCATAGTACCAACAAGCAGACTTGAACAGATAACAGGAAACCCAGAATGCTCGTTGCGGACCACGTTGACGGACAGGTCTAGGCCTTGAGCCTCACTCTTGAGAGGTCCCATCTCGGAAGTCACCTGCAACAAGCATTCCGTTGTGGTAACCGAGATTTGATCGAGATTGCTGTGTTGATCACCACACCTTTCGCTTAGTGACCTCGAAAAGTAGCCTTTCCCAAGAAAGTCGATCTACGCAGCTAGAAATGAGATCTGCGAAAGCAACGATGTTTTTGAAGAAGCCGCTCTTCTGTTTCCGATACTACACGTTGCTCTTCACCACAACAAGACCATCGTCTTCGTGTGCCAAGGCTCAAAATTGACAATGCCCTAGTCGTGTCGGCACAACGGTCGTGCAACGTTCTCTCGGTGACACTTTCATCTTGGTGAATAAGCCAAGAAGATTCTCTCCGAATGTAGTAGCATGACTTCTTGAGACTTGTCTTTGATTCCTCTCCAACACGGGTTCGGTGTGGAGGGCGTTCTGATGCGGACAAAGGACATCCTCAAAAACCGCATTGGTGGTCGTAACAGCCACAGAGACTGCTCGATCAGAAGGGGTAGACGCTCGCCGATACATATATACGCTGGACGTACATGTCGACGATTGACGCGACTGGCCGGATATCACAAAGATGTGACTAGTGTCTAGTGATGAAATCGTGACACAGGCTTGTTGATGGCGTATCTAGCGGTGAGGTTGGAAATCTGAGTAGGATTCTCATCCTTGTGGGAGATGTACACAGGAATCTTACTCGCCATAGGCAATGAGCTTGCTCGAATCAGTCATCGCACGGTGCTAGCGACGCGTACTAGGTCCAATCACACGTAACTCCCATAGACTGCCTTGAGTGAACTTCAGGAACTCGGATCTGGAGCGTGGCGGCCTGCCAATTGTGACGATACCAACCTGAGACGCATCGAGACCTCGCTGGCTTTCGCCATTCCGGCGAGTGGATCTCGCGCCGGCCGAAGCCAAACAAGCTGGTATGTCTGTGTGAGTGGCTCGATCAAGATCAAGACCGCGCTCTTCTTCTGCCCATCCGTGCACTCAAGACGTCAAAAAGGAAACATGGTTGATGTTGGCACCCAGCTTTGCGACTCCTGTGCGACTTCCACAGACGAGTGATCGATGCTTTGGCGGAAAAGAATCCTAAAGTCGATCCTCGATCGAGGTGACCGGCACATCTCTTCAGAGTTCTCCCCATTGCGCCAGAGTGTTCCGTCTTGAAGCTATCCATAATGGCCAGAGTCTGTTGCACAGATGAGGATGTCGACGTGGTTCTCGGGTGAGAACTATAACGCCCCGACAGGCACATGACACCTCAATTTGAGCTCTCGCTCCCGTACCTCGAGTCTCCCTTTTGCCACCATCTGCGAAGCAACCCACTTGAAGCGAGTCGCCAGGCATTCGGCGCTAATCGGAAGGTCGGCGACATGACCGCGAAGCTATTCATTGCGCATAAGGCAAGGTGAATACCAGAAGAAGATTAGGGTTAAGATCCGAGCCTGCCCTCCTCACGCACAACCCGGATGTTTCCATCAAGGCGCACAAAACAGCATACAAACAACCCATTGAGACCATGCTAAGAGGCTCGGGTGTGTGTCGATTGTGCAAGTACGCGAGGCGCGGACGAACCGCATTCCGAAGAAGACAGACATCGGCAACTGTGGGGAAAGTGGCATGCGGCAGAGCTTGTAAACAAGCGAGAGAAGAAACCGGTGTCGAAGGAGAGCGTTGCGCGACCGTCCCGCTGGTGTCGACATGGTCAGACGTTGTCAATGATGAGTGCGAGGTCGTGAATCTGATCTAGCTGTACGCGAAGAGCAGTAGTGGCTTGTAGGAATACAAAAGGGATGTGGTGATGGGCCGTCGAAGTGGTTGTTGTTGAGTGAGGAAAGAGCAATGGACGCGTTGCTTCCGCGTTGGGGACGCGTTGGCACGTGCTGATTTTTACTAAGCACAATTCCTCCCTCTGCCCTTTTTCTACAGTCTTCGCCACAGCTGTCACCACCCACCCATCAACTCTGACGACCCGCTTAGTCGAAATGGGAGCCGTCGAAGATGCTGTTGATGCCGCCGCAAACTTTATAGGACCGTTTGTAGACAAGGACCCAAAAAGTAGCCCCAGTGCTCTCGATGCCGACCAACTCGTAGATCAAGCTCTTTCGCATCTTCAGGCCATCAATAACGCTGACCTGGCCGCGGATCCCGACGCTCCGTACGATGCGTCCCTCGCTGGCGTTGCATATGGCCTTCTTGATCTAATCACTCTGCTTGGCATTTTGCCTAACCTCTCTCCTGGCGTCGTATTCAGTCAGCGTCCGAGATCCGTCCTTACAGTTTTGACCACTGTACCGTCTAGCAGGGATGCAGGGTTCCTCTCCAGAGTCGTACAAACATTGATACCCATCTTGGAGCAGCGAGGTTCTGGCGTTCAGCCTCTTCTCTCCCAGCGAATCTTCCCAGATATCCTTTCGGCACTTGCAGAGTTATCATTCTCTCCCGCCTCAAATCAAGAGATACAAACTAGATTTAATTCCATCTACGAGAAGGCCGTTTCCGAAACACCGACCTCTCGGCTTCTCCCAATCCTGACTACGTTCCTTCAGCAGTCTCTGCCAACGTGGCTGAAGCCAACTATCTCCAAAGAACTAGCATTGGTTCCCCTTCGCCAACAGGGAGTTCGTCATACGATCGAGTTTCTCTCACTCTCGTACCTCTCCAAGAATGGGCATGTGCCTGAAGCCGCCTCTGGCCCGCAGTCGCAAATCCCAATACCGCTGGAAGCAGTCACACAAGCGTCCCGTTTGCTAGTACTGCCACCCGCTGAGGTTAGTCAGGACGATTGGTTACGTAAACTCGCTCCCCAGCTGCTGGCCCTGTTAGACGGTACAGAGGGAAGGGAGCTGAGTAGAGCAGCCGGCCAGGTCATTGCTGGCGGGATTCTGAGTAAGAAAACCACTGGTGCGCCAGGAACTGTGGGATGGGGTTTATTTGCTCTACCACTACTACAGTCGATCTACCCGAAGGACCTCGACAAGGCGAAATCTCGAATGAGCTCAGAGAAGCAGGTCATTGTACACGAACAGGATCTTAAGCTGGCACTAAAGCGGCTCTCTGTCATCGCTTCGTCATACTCGCATGCTGGCCTCTTGCGGCGACTTGTGGGCCCTCTTCTACTTCCGCTCTGGGCACTGTTGAACCATGCTAAAGCGAGACCGTCGTTGGATAAAGAGTGGGCACGGCTGGCGCAAATCATCCTGACCCGATATATGGCAATTGCTTGCGACGTGAAACAGGTCGACAACATTACCTCAAACCTCTTCTGGGATGGTGATGTATTTTGGATATTTGGACCGGGATCTCAGGGTGGCATCGAGATACGTCGGCGGGGCAAAGACCTTCACGGTACGACAGAGATGGACGAAATCCTGTCACGAATAGAACATTTGGATTCTCGGGTTAATGTCCTTGTATCTCTCCTGACAGACACGAATATCTCTGTCGACGTCGTTAGTTCGATATTTTTGCAAGTAACGAAGCGATGGTTGTCGCCAAAGCAAATCCCAGGGACGACGTTGACCAATGAATCAGAGAGTGACCCTCTTACTGCCCTAACGGATGCGAAGCTGTCCGAGGCCTTGGCTACAAAGTTCAAAGATCATTTTGCTCGGAGTCCCCAGCACATTATTGAGCTGATGGGGCAGCTTGTCCAAAATTTTGTTGAAGAACACCAAGTCAGGGCGGGGGAGTTAGTGAAGCCCGATAAACCAAGTCGAGCGATGCTAGGTAGCATCGTCAACAAACAAGGACGAGATGTTTTAGGAAGGGAAAGTGACGAGGGACATACTGCGGATGAAGACCTGGTATCTTTTGCGCTAAGTATTATCACTACCTTGGTAGCTTCGCCTCACTTCAAGAAAACGCCTGTTGTGACAACGACGTTCGACCAGGTTGTACCGTCCCTTGTATACATTTCGCAGCCGCACGATCGACTTCCCATTTCATCTTTGCTTACCAACTCTGCGACCAACCTTCTTGCCCTCATTAGTCCTTCTACATCATCCTCATCAACGCCTGCGACCGCGACGGACCCTCTCTCCGAACATCGAGCAACACTGAAGACCGTCCTCTCAGACCTCACGTCCTCAGAGCCCCCAAATCGTACCTGGGCACTCAACACTCTGCGAAAACTCGTACAAAACCCCGCCGCTTTCCCTGTAATCGATGTACCGTCATCGACACACATGATTATGTCAGCTTCACTCGCCGATCCAGAGTCGTATGTCCATACAGCAGCAATACCCGTTTTAGTCGACCTGGCGATCCGCGCTCCAAATCCCGTGACCAGGATACTAACGGATGCGTTCATAGACATTGACGAGCAATCTTTGAAGCTCGCTAGAGGCAAGCAAACAGAAGAGCAAGAGAGAGACTTACAGAATGCTCTCGACTTCCGGTTACGAGTCGGGGAAGTTTTGAATAACATCATCCTTGAGCACTGGTTTATGGACTCGCACAACGATGCTGCTCTTCGATACAGGTGTCTAAAACAAATCGTTGAGGCTTGTCTATCGCTTGCAAGCCGCCGTGGCCAGCGCACAAGGACATTATCAACGCGCACCCAACTTGCAGAGGCAGAGCAAAATTTACAAGATGAGGCCGAAGCAGCATGGGGCGGTCCCATACCAAACTTACTTGAATCTGAAATTGAAGACCCAAATGAGCAGGCGGAGCGAAATGCACTGTCAAATATTGTGCAAGGATGGAAAGATACAGGAATTGAGGAAGATGTGCGGATTCGTACTTCTGCATTGAGCGTACTTTCCACTATCCTTGAAAACCAATTAGGCCTGCTTAGCCAGCCTACTGTTGATGCAGTGTTGCAAATCGTCCTGTTGATCCTCAGTGTGGAGACACCCGAGGCGAAAGGAATTCTGCGGCGCGCTGCGGTGCTCGTCATCATGGGCCTACTGCGCGGTCTTGATGCAGCGCTCGAGGATGGCGAAAATATCCCTGTGGGGCTGAGCATCAAGCAACAAGTAGAGGTTGAAAGGGTGGTCAAATGGGTCAGAGATGACGATGTAGATGCGCTCGTAAAAGATCATGCAGCGAATGTGGTGGAGGGGCTGGAGACGCTGAGATTAAAGAAGCTGTACAAGATGAGGGAAGAGGGGTTGCGACCGGGACTTGATCTTGGGCTAGAGGGGAGCATGAGAGGGCTGGATGTAAAGCCTGATTTGGAGGGAAAGCAAAGAAAAAGAGTAGTGGTGGAGGAGATTGAATAGTTTTGATCGCTTGATTCTCGAGGCTATAGTATCGCAGACTTTTAAACCAAATCCATATCTGCGCCTCATGTCCTCGTGGTATATCCGAATAACTGTTGCGGCGAAAGTGCGGCTGTCTCCCGGGTCGCGCGTCAAGTGCCATGCTCGCTATCTCGAGTCCCTGTAGGCCTCAAATGTTGGCACCATAATAGTCTTTTGGACGCCGTTCATATGGCGTGTCGTAGGCTCAGGCTCTGTACCTGGCGCACTTCAACCGCTCATGGCAGAATCCTTGGTAGCCTTCGGTTCCACCTCCTCGGCCTTCCCGATCCACAAGACGTTGTTGCATCGTATCAAAACCTGTCCAAGTGTGCCCGAGCTCACGCCGTTGACAAATTCTTCCGTATTCGAGAGTTGTATGTTCATGTAAAGGTCGACGGACACGAGTCTGCCCTTGTATTCGGTTTCGCCCCACTTTAACCGGACGACGATATCTTTATCGACTCTGGCGGACGTTAGCAGGTAATTGGCTGCAGAGGACGAGTGAGAGAGGGAAGCTCTATGTGACGTACAAGCTCTGGAGAAGAGGACGGGGATTGAAAGGTGCGACGGCCTAGGATTATGTTAGCTTTGCGCGGAGGAGACGGGAGGTAGGAATATCTTACAGCCATGTTTGCGACCGTATCTCGAGGTTTCAAGACTGTGCAATGTACAGCGTTGACGGTGGTAACGGTGCAGGCAGCTAGGGTGTACTCGGTCGTTCTTACCTCTCAAGAAACAAGTCGGCGAAAGGTAGCGCCGGGCCGCCGATTGGCTAATGACCTCACCGCGGGGGCGGGGCGAGCATCACTGTAATCATTTTAGAGCTCTTGCAGCTCACTTGCTGTCGATTCTCATAATTACAGTTAAAATATGGTGCTCGCACTGGCATTGAAAGCAGAGCTCAATGGGTACGTCATACGTTCCTGATCCATACTTCTCTTCATGAGATCCCGGAAAACTGACTAGGCGCAGAGTAACAGACCTCCGTCCCCACGATACCGAAGACGCGCCGTTTTACTACACATTCAAAGTCCAATGTACATCATGTCGCGAGACACACCCTAACTTCGTCTCAATAAGTCGCTTCGAGCAGAATGACATGAGCGGCAGCAGAGGCGAGGCCAACTTTGTCTGGAAGTGCAAGAACTGTAAGGTCTCTCTGCCCTACCTTTTTGCGTCTGCAGCGCTTTCATTGACTCGTAAATAGAGAGAGCACTCGGCGAACATCAAAGCCGCACCCGCGACATACGAACGGACCGATCCACCCAAGACGGTGAATATCCTAGAGTTTGATTGTAGAGGATTAGAGTTCACCGAGTTCAAGGCCGAGGTGGGTGCACCCTTTCACGGTTGGAGGGACCTTGGGCGCTGACTTGTCTGCAGGGAGAGTTTCTTGCCAAAGGAGCAGAGACCGTTACCAAGTTTTCCGGCATCGACTTGTGCGAGGACGAGTGGTTCGATTACGACGAGAAGTCTGGCGAGGAAGTTAGCATAACGGGCGTTCAGTGGGAGGTCCGACGCGCCTAGACCTCACCAGCGAAATCTGGCCCTATTTTCGAGTGTATGAAAGCACCGAAAGCGCAGCTTTTGGCATGTGAGAGTCTCGAGAAATACACCTCCAACAATCTCAATAGCCTGTGGGCGCAAATATGACGTCACCTACTTCACTCAATAACTGGGCTTGTCTGTGGCTAACAGTACATAGTCTCGGAGGGTTCGCGTAGAGTTCCACATGTCTTCGCTCAGAATCGGGTTGTCAGCGTCGTCCAGGACCTCACACTATTCGCATTCACTTCAACTGCGCGACGCGATCTCCCAGTCGTGAATGCTGTCGAGGATAGTATATATTTGACTAACTAAACAGGCAAGAAACCAGTCAAGCCTTCCGAATATCGAATTTTCTGCCACGATTACACGGTGTAACGACAGTAGTTCTATCTTCCCAATACCTTACACAGTCCAAGAACATTAACCTGATCCAACAATGACTAAGGGATGATCAAACCTCCGCTCTTCGAAACGCCGGGTCAAGAATCACCAAAGGAAACAATCTCAAGAACCTCTTCTAATTCCAAGTAACTTCAGTAGTCGGCTTTCCAAGCGTAAAAGTATCCTTGGGCTTGCCAAATTCTACGTCTGGATCACGCTTGCTCCATGTCGTCTCGGTCGTAGGCTTGCCCAGAGTGAATGTGTCCTTGGGCTTGCCAAAGTCGATGTCACGCTTTCCCCACGTGATTTCTGTCGTTGGTTTTCCAAGTCCGATCGTATCCTTTGGATTTCCGAATTCGATGTCGCGTTTACCCCAGGTCGTCTCGCTGGTCGGTTTGCCCAACGTAGGCGTGTCCTTCGGCTCTCCAAACACGATACCTCGCTTCTTGCTCCAGGTGATCTCAGTGGAGGGTTGCCCAATCTCGATAGTGTCGGCGGGCTGAGGCTCATCACGCTTGCCCCATGTGATCTCTGTCGTCGGCTTGCCAAGCCCAATCGTGTCTTTCGGTTTTCCAAAGTCGATACCTCGCTTCCCCCAGGTTACCTCGGTTGATGGTGGCCCAAGGCCGATGGTGTTATCAGGCTGAGGCTCGTCCCGTTTGCCCCAGGTAATCTCGGTAGTTGGCTTGCCTAGCTCGATGGTGTCCGTTGGCTTGTCGAAATCAGCATCGCGCTTTCCCCAAGTAACTTCAGTCGAAGGCGGCCCAAGACCGATGGTGTTTGGTGGGTTGTCGCTGGAGAATGTTTGTGCCTTAGACATGGTGAGCACCATCGAGGGAGTTTCAAATCAGGAGATGGGATATATTCACTTACCTCGGGCTGAGCAATAGGCAACCCACTGCTAACAGCGACGAGGACGCCTGCGGCGAGGAAGGATACTAGTCTGTACTGCATTGTAATCCCCAGGTGTGTTGATATCTTTGGTTGCTATCAATCAGGATGTAGGTATGGTTCGGTTGGTAATTTCAGGGTCAAGCTAATCGTGGATAGATATATAAAGGTTGAAGGCTGTGATGGACATACAAGCAAGAGCCGGCTTGCTTCATATACTATCTGAACCAAAGTATTGAGTCCTTGCCACCTTTAGTTTGGCCCATTTCGGTAAGTAGTTGATGGTGTTCGAGGCCATTGATACGGGTCGCGCAATATGGGTAAAGCACCGCTGTCCCTTTTCTGGAGTAGCGCAAAATTTACCAGCCAGCCCTGAGCTAAGGTATATAGTGGGTAGCAGGTGCGCGGGAGAGTTTTCATGTGAGGTGATCAGAGAGATACGAGAAGTGATTCGAGATTTGGCCAATCGATTGATATTTCAAGCTACATCGCGTTGACTCCTATGGCCTCGATAGAGAGTGCTACCTTATGGAACAAAAGGAGCATGACCAACTTGTTAGTCGCGCCGACCTTTGCCTTCCAGCTTTATGTTTACCTTGCGCACTACCGCTCGAACCTAGATCTTCAAGGGTTTTCAAGGCCCTATTCTGATCGCCTATGTGCTGCTTTCCACAGATCAATGCTTGCGGCATCTAGTACTTTTTCAAGTACCTATGGCAAGAGAGTGAAGATGATCGTCGAAACGATCGAGAGCACGCTACAGCCAACTCATACAGGAGATCCTCTCCGGCACTGCACGAGTTCGTTCCCTCCCAACGCCGTTATGCCCAACTACCACCCCAATATGAGAGTCCGGCATCTATCGGCTTTGACGTAGATGAACCCTAGTGCTGCCCATCACGACTGAGCATGGGACTAATGATGTATGTAGCAAGTCTCTGACTCGCGAGGTGGTAGGTACCAATGAGCAAAGCTCTCTGAAAATCTACTTCCACACGGGTCGTCTGCCGTCACCTTATCCTGGGGTGACCTACGGTCTCGATCTGGAGACCCTCGTTAGACGTACGAACGAATAAATAAATCGGTAGACGAGTATCGAGTCCCTGGCCTGAATCTAGATTCTCAAATCCCTTTCTCATGGTTGACTTTACTAGATACAGCAGGTAAATATTTGAGTTCGTGACTCGAGCGAATGAAATTGGTGCGGTTTTGGGATCCGACAGCATGCGTCGATAGGGGAAGTGAATGGAGGTACAAGTGCACGGGCTGGAGTTCTGGTTGAACAAACATCCATGCCGCTACGCGACCGTTAATATGAGCCCCATAGTGCGAGGGTCTATATTTGGAAGCACCAACATTTGTCGAATGAAAGCTGGCCAACTCTTCCTATCTGTCCAGCGGAGAGATGGGGATGTTGCATGGGTGGTTGAAGGAGATACGAGACTTTGATTATCAGACAAGGGGACCTCAACAAGCAATAGAATCTAGAACAGAAGAAGAAGAAGAAGAAGAAGAAGCACAACTGCGATCTGGCTAGAATGAAAGCGATTGACAAAAATAGAAATCCACTACAGCGCGCCCGAAAGCAAGATGGCTGCAAGCGAAAGAAAACTAAAAGCGAGACATCGGCAAACTTTCGAAATGAAGCCCAATCATCCAAACGACAACGTCATGGCCAGACTCTTTCCAACATTTCAACCTTCACGCTACCTCATTAGCAGATACGGATAGAGACGTCGATCAAGGTTACCGTCTGTTACCGTTAGCATTGTACTCATGCCGCTTTTTGGCGTTGTCAATGAGAGCCTGAAATTCAGGCGGTGACGAGGTTGGGAGTTTAGGAAGCAACATCTTAGATTGTGGTGCGGTGCGGTTAATTTGAATAAATGACGGAGGACGACGAAATGCTTGGCATAACCACGACCCGGTGACACTCAATGAGTCGGGTACGATAACGCTATTCTCGTCCATTCTTCCTCGTCGTCGTCGTCCCTTATTCTCTTGCGGAACCTGGGGTAGGTGTGCTGTTGGTAGTGCAAACACACGTGACGTGTAACCCATTAGTTCTACCAAGTACTGACAAATTCAAAGCTCCTTAAGTCGTAAGAACACGAAGCGATGAAGAGGGTTCGATTCTTTTATTTGTGTCTTTTGTGTGTTGTACAAATGCTACGCATGTCCCTTTCGATCGCACTACTAGGCAGGACTCCACCCGGCTTTCATCGTGATACCAAACGCCTGTCTAATGCTTTAACATGTACAATGATATACAGATGAACTGAAATGACGTAGAAATAGTGTTCCTCATCTCAAGACTCTGGATCCTTCGGCCTCTCTCCGAATTCGTGCTCGACCCAAGACGCCCACGCCTCTTTGGGATCAACAGCGGTTTGCTCAATCGTTTCTGCTTCAGAGGTATTTGTAGATAGAGGAGTTTGTTGCAAAAACATTTCATCATCACTAGCGGCTCCCTCCATCTCAGCCCCAGACTTCGGCGACCTCGCATCCTGGATATAGTCCGACACTGCGATGAGTACGTTGTCCGCCGCCCAGGCCGGTGCTAAATACTCCCTCTTCTTCTGCGCCCAGCGTGTCGTCTTTGTAGCAGCGTCGAGAATACTTATTCGATCGAATCCTCCCCTCGCGACTTCGTTCAACACTTGGTTGAAAGCCACAGTATTGCCAGTTACGGAACACAAACTCAACATATGATAGTACGCCTTGGCCATATCCCTTGGCTTGGCCTTCGTTTTGATGTTGTCGATTTCTTCCCAGGTGTAGATGCCGCCTTCCCAGTCAGCGCGCCGGATACAGTCTCCAAGTAGCCTGGTGAGGCCTTGCACATCAAGCCCCCAGCCATCTGCTTTCATCTCATAGTAAATGTCGAGAGCCCGGTCGAAGCCAGCGAACTTCATCACACCACCTATAAGTGCACCGAACACCATTGGGGTTGGGTGGACTTTTTGGTAGATTTTGTCTGGACTGATCTTTACGAGCCGGGCCTGACCAGCCTCATTGATATTGATATTTGGATCGGCAAGCATGAGCGCATCGCCCACTCCTCTCATTTTGGCCACAAAACGGGAGAAGTCGTCAGCACGGAACTCTGCAATGTAGTGCCCGAGGATCTCGCGGCAGGTTATCTCGTTTGGGCGGATTTTGTGCACGTACAAGGCGGCGATGACATCGTCAACCAGGTTTGGGCGGTTCAAACGCTTGAAACCGGAAATGAGGAGATTGAAAGTTTGAAGGTCTGGGGACGCGGTAGATACGAGAAGATTGTCACATATCTTCGCGATCGTAAGAGCCTCCTTTCGGTCATTGCCTTTGGATACCTGATCAAGAAGTTGCTTGATACCCCTGTTCATCTGCTGGCAGATCTCGTAGAAGTCGCCATCAGAGTCTTGAAAATAGCTTGGAATTCCAGGCTGGTTCACGTGTACCTTGGCTCTGACAATTTCGTCGGCTGAGCTATTCACATCTATTGAGTGAAGTTTCTCTATGGTGTCTAAAATCTCTCTGCGTGCCTTCTTGGCCAGAGACTCGTTCAAAGAGGCGATTTCTCGGAGCTGTGGTGACATTCTATCGAGGCCTGAGCTGGCCGACTGAAAGTATCGCGGGAGATTAATTCGACTAATCAGAGAGTGAATCAAAACACCAGTTGAAAGCTCTTGCATGGCCAACTTCTTCCAGGTATGTCGTCGTCGCATAGCTGTGAACCGTAATATGTCCGGCGCCCATAGTGACTGAGGCGGCAGATGATACCGCACCAGATCTCGACCTGTATTTTCCGGCCATTCCAGGGATTGTGCTCCTGGGAGCCGGGAATCGAAACGTAAGTCATTCCAAGCTGTTTGTACCACGTCGTGAATATGCGACTCGGCTTCCTGTTGTCGTAAAACCTGGTCATCCACGAGCTCCATGCCTGCGATTCGATGGATCAAGTCCCAGTCAAGATCATTGGGTAGGTCCTCGAGTGGCACACCATGATAGGCGTGTGGTTGTTTCTCACGCTCAAACGGCGCACCCACCGCATCTCCCTCTACGTTCTCCCTAGGTAGCGGGTGGTCCATCGCCTCCCTCAAGTGTGCAAACGCCTCCTCCCATTGTCTGTTCCTAGCTGCTTTTGCGCTTGCGTCGACGGTCAAGCCTGCCGCGAATACGGTCGTATAGAAGAAGGTCGAAGTCGGGGTTCCAACTGCCCACGCGCCGCGCAGACCGGACTGTGCGCGGCGTCTAGCGAGAGCAGTCGCATGAGGGGCAGATGATATGCATCTACGGGTACCCAGATTCTGTCTTGCCCGGGAGCAGATTGCTAGCATCGCTACCGGGGCATGCTGCGCGGAGTGCGGAGGGACGGCGGTGGACCGAACCGCAGGCTGAGGCGTGACGCGGTACACGGTTGCAGCCGAAACGGTTCAATTGGGAATGGAAGGGTTACGAGCGCCTGGTCGAAGGCTCGTTGGCCTTCAAAATGCTTATGTTGAGTACATTGAGAGCTTCGCGCATAGCTAAAAGATGGTCATTCGATCAAAACTGAACTACGTTATGTAAGCGAACACTTAGCGCGTCCAACGCCGCAACGCGGCACGATCTCAACGCTTTAGACTTTGATGATTGAATACCAAGCTCCTTATTGAACGGAGAGTAGCAACGAAGCTGGAGAGACCTTCTCGTGAGGTTCTATCATTATACCCAAGCATCAACCATTTCATGAACCCGACTTGTTTGCTCTATCTATCTATCTGATCCTAAGCAGCTAGGCTCGTGATGAGTAAGCGCATTTCTCGACCTTGTCCAAAATATCTCAGCAAAGTAACACACTCCACAATCGATCATATACTCGTGCGCATTGGATTGCTCTCCATTCTCGCTCCAATAAATACCCCCAAACATCTTCATCGCTTCCATTGTTAGCCCTCTATTCTGCGAGACATACCTGTTGCACGTCCGACTCTGCATTTCCGCTTCGAGAAGACTACGAGTGGTTAAGGTTTCCAAAAGAAAAAGTGGCAACCGGCCCGGGGACTCAATCTACCTGGATTCGTACTCGTTATACCGAAAGTAATTCTCTCCAAGTTTGGAACCGTAGGATTCACAAACACATCCGACACCACTTGACAACCGGACACTCCCTACATTAGATTGGCTGCCCAAGATGGTCAAATTTTATCCCTCTCTCAACGAATCCCACGTCGAGTTTATTACCAACCAGTCACTATTCTACGTCGCGAGCGCTCCTTGGGCAGGTGACCACATCAACATATCTCCCAAGGGTCACCCATCCCGGACTTTCTCCATCCTCAGTCCTAAAACTGTCGCCTATCTCGATGCTACCGGCTGCGGTTGTGAGACCATTTCCCACATCTACGAGAATGGGCGCGCGACTATCATGTTCTCCTCGTCCGGGCCTAAGCCGCAAATCCTTAGACTGTTTTGCAAGGGACGAGTAGTCGAGAAGTGGGATCCGCACTATCAACAGCTGAGAGCGAAGATGGCGACCGAGAATGGGGATGAAGTTGACATTACCGGGGCGCGGGCGATTATTGTGCTACGGATACAGAAGGTGCAGACGAGTTGCGGTTTCGCAGTACCTAGCGATGGTATGGGAGATGCAGTTGCCATGGCGGAGCACGAACCCGATTCTGATGGAGCTCACAGCTCCAAAGCTCAAGACACGCTTGAAAACTGGGCACGAAAGCAGTTGGAGAAGCAGGAGCTTGCCGACTACCAAAAGCAAATGAACCACAGATCGCTCGATGGACTTCCAGGCATGATGAGCGCTCGGCGCTCGCACGACGAAAACTTTGCCGTTGAGGATGCGAAAGCGTGGTTTAGGAAAGTAAGCAGACAGCAAGATGCCGTCGCCTTCGGGGTTGGCTTGGGAATACTTTTCATGATCGCGTTGAGTTTAGGAGGAGTACTCAGCATTAAGCCGCTCTTCATTGAGCATATACTGAACTTCCAGAGAAGGCAGATGGGAATACCAGAAGATCATTCGTGGGACAAGAGGGAACTCTGATGGCTCAACCGGATAGTGTAGGCCAAGTGTCATGTTTCTCAGCGTCTGGTGGGTGGGTGAGTCTACAGCCCGCGATAGGTCCAAATATAGGCATATAAACTACCAAGTTTTATCAAGTTCACTGCATCCGCCGCACCTTTTTGTTTGATCGTCCTTGGTCGACCCCTTCTCTTCCTCAGATGCGTACATCAATACAGTTCGCCAAAGATAATGGCCGCATGCTGTTGCGAGATGCAGCCCTGAAACTTAGGCGAATTCAAGATAATACCAGCAACTCCTCTCTGTTTCATTTCAGATCCTTCACAATCGCCTCTTGGAGCTCGTCAAAGTAATATGCTAGCACCGTATACATTTAGACAAACAGACAAGGTTCGATTGCTACGCGATGCCCTCCACCTTCGCCTTGATCCTGGGTATCATGTAAACTCCTTCAATGCAATACTCTATCCCTCGCTTTAGTTCCCGTATTGGCCCTATTCTAACTCTATGCCCTCTCTTTCTGCCGCTTGCACAATGAACTTCCTCGTCTTCGCGTCTGGAGCCAGGTCTAACGGCACGTGTTCATCTTTATCTTTCTTGTCAAATTCGGCCCCCATGGTCAACAGCAACAGTGCTGCATCGCCATGTCCTTCACTCATGGCGTGATGCAGTGCTGTCATGCCGTCCATATCCGTTGCATTCAAGGGGCTCTTCGCGTCTAGCAGAGCCTTCATCATAGGCACGCTGCCCACTGCTGCCGCCCGGTGTAATGGCAATTGTCCCCTCTTGTCTTTTATTCGCGCCGAAGCTGGCGGTTTCTGGCCGAGGAGTGTACGTGCGATGTCGAGGTTGACTTTGGAGGCGCAAAAGTGGAGGGCGGTCTGGCCGTTGTTGTTCTTTGCATTGACGTCTGCATCTTTGCTCAGTAGTACGTCGACTATTTGGTCGGCTTCTTTGCGACTGCATGCCATCATTAACGGTGTCCAGCCTGAGCCATCGGTCACGTCGGGGTCGAAGGTCTTGGTTTGTACGAGGATTTGGACGATGGGAAGATGGTTATAGGAAACGGCCCAGTGGATTGGTAGTCGCTCATCTGGATCGCGAAGGTTCGCTAGTTTTGGGTTTGCGGATAATAGTGACTCGACCCTAGATGCTAAAAGCGAAGCGTTAGGTGTGCTGCCGCCTGTGTTGTAGCTGGGAGCTTACTTTGGCCTTCACGGCAGGCATCATGGATGGCATATTTAGCTCGGTACTCCTCCATGGTATAAATCTCAAGCCTTCGGGCTGCGGTTTCGTAAGAACGCTTGTAGGAGCGCAATAGATGTTCCGGCGGAGGCACCAATACTGCCGGGCGGTAAGCGACTAGCGTTCGATGAGGTAAGTGTGCATCGAGGTCTTTGATACACCACCACCGGACAACAACTCCATGCAGGAACACACCTCTTACCAATGCAGTCCCATATTATGAAAAGCTTGGGCCGTTCTAATTTAACCACTGGTCAATAAAGATGGAGCTTCGGAGGACCTGCCGGCGAAATCCATTGATTTCTCTGTACCTCGCTAACAGCCCATGAACCCCGCAAAGTTACCCCAGATAATCCTAGTTTCATCCTACAAGCAATCCCGTCCTCCATCAGGCTTCTTACCATGCCCTGATAACTGTCCCTATACTACATACTGGACTAGCGTAAGCGACAGCCGACGGACAACGTCTTGGGCGTCTACTGAGGCCGAGCATGCACCCGGCAACGTTCCGATTGCTGGAATCCTTTGAGGCATTAGAGCAGAGACGAGCCCCATGGGGACATGACAAGTTATGATTCTAAGAGGCGGCTCGGATAGTTTCTCCCGGTGGATGTTGGTAGAGAATTGATACAAAACCTTAGGCATCCTTGACAGTAATGCGAATCCAATGTCTAGCCTGTGACATCTCCATCAGCAGGACGTTATGCATCTGTACCTTCTTGCTGTGGTGGCCGCTTTGGCGCTGCCCGCGGTTCAGGCCCTCGACCCTCCTTCTCCCGACAGCTACTGGCAGGTGTCACCAGCCATTAACTATTCTGATCCTATCTACGCAGGTTGGCCCCAGCTCAAAGTCGATGCCGAAGTGCTCGTATACAAAGGCACAGATGTGAACCGTACCTACGCTCACCATCCCGAACTTTACTATGACGGCAAGCGTGTCTTCTTGATGTACTCTACATCACCAATCGACGAAGACGCTACCGGCCAGGATGCGTGGTTGTCGACTTCGACTGATGGCGGCTTCACCTGGTCCAAGGGTTACTCTATCCTTCCAGATGCTCTTCTACCAAATCAAACGCATGCAGCCAACTACACTTACTGGTGCGACAACCGCATTTGGCAGCGAGCCCATCATCCTGTAGCTTGGGTGCCGATCGATAAGAAACACTTATACGCTGTATCGCAAACAACCTTACGCTACTGCTGGGGCGACGATGCAAAGGGAACGAAGGCAGCAGGCAGAATCGCTCGTGTTATCGACAAGAAAGGACAGCCTGTAGGCGACCCCTGTTGGACCCAGCAAAACGAGTGGACAAAGGAAGTCCGTTTCAACGAAACCATCTACGGAAAATATGGCATGAAGTACTGCAAGCACGCCAAACAGATTGAGACATACTTGGAAAAGCCAGAAAAGGTGCCCGCCTGGGGCACATGGCTGTATCAAACCAAAATGTTCGCCGCCGACAATAAGCACGATGTACAAGAACCCACGCACTCAGTCTGGTTCGGCAACAAGCATGGAGGCTACTGGGAGCGATTCTGGCGCGATATTTCGAGCTCGAATCTCATCAGCACCGCCGTATGGGTCGAGCACACCGACTCACGTCAAGGCAAAGACTGGTACCCGAAGATCGAGCAACAGCACGGAAACAAGATCTTCCAAACGAACATTCCGGACGTGGGTAGCAAGCAGCACCTTGGCTCCTTGCCGAATGGTGATCGCTTCCTCGTGCACAATCCTCGCAACAACACCGAGCGCTACCGCCAGCCGCTTACCATTGCTACTTCACGGGGATCCGACAGATCGTACAAGGGCATTGGTGTGCTTCGTACCAACGCAAGTACCATTATCGCCCCCGATACGCGCAAGTTAAAGCGGTTGATGTTCAGCTATCCTACTGCCATTCTGGTCGAAGGCAAGTTGGTTGTTTCGTATAGTGAGAATAAGGAGAATATCTGGGTTAATGTTGTGGATCCGAAGAATCTTCTTTAGCTTCTCTCATCTATACGGCAATGATATGTCGAGTTGATAATATGAATAAATGATAATGCTTGTGATCCCTTGCTCACAGTTATTTCCTACAGCTACCACAGATAGAGGACATATAAATTAGATCTCATATTCTGGGGGGTTGAACAATTTGAGCCTCAGTATCGTCTGGTCGTTCATAGGTATATAATACATGGGAGAACCGCTGCTTCCAGGGTCGACTACTTATTCTACTTCATAGTCTGCACCAACTCCCGATAAATCTTCTTCAAGTCCTTAACATCGCCCTCCAATTCCTCCACCCTCTCCGTCTTCTCGCCTAGCATCTCGAGCGTAGTCTGGTATCTGACCTCCATCTCCTTCAGCCGCTTCTCCAGATCATCAACCTTTTGATCCTGCGCTCGTTTTTCGTCCACTTCCCGCATCAACGCTACAACCTCTTCGCGCGCTTCGTCCCGCTGCGCTGTAAGGCGGGAATGCTCTTCTTTGTGGGTGGCTTTTTCGGACTCCAAACGGCGCACGGCAGCGCTCATGCGCTCGACGAGTTGCACAGAGGGGCCTGCGCCGACAGTGGATACGGATATCATGTCGTTGATGGTGCGGTGCGGGGAAGAGACGTTGTCGAAGGGGTCGTCACGGTCTATTGTATGAATGGATGGTGTATCGAACGGGGCTCCACCATTCAGGTTTGACATACTCGATGGAATCGAATCTTGTCGTTGTGGTGTGCCAATCTCTGGCGTGCGGACTTTGGGCGTGGATCTCTGGCGAGAGCTAGAGGGCCGCCGTGCAGCTTCTTCGAACATACGGTCCATGGGTGACAGAGGCATGTCCATTCCACCAGATACAGAGCGAGGCATTGCTCTTCTGTTGTATATGCCGAGGGGATCGGGCGAGTGTCTTCGCTGTGAGGCTGATGGCGAGTCCGCACGGAGATGGTTGGGGTCGCCGAGCAGAGTTTGTGGTTGCAGCTCTTGCTTCCACTTATTCTTCTCGTCCTCCAGCCGTTGCTGTAACTCGGATTCCCATACCTTCTTCTCCCGCTCGAGGTCAAGTCGTGCATCCTGCGCCGCTGCTTCTGCTTGCGTCAGTCTAGCCTGTAGTTTCTGAGCAGTAGTACGCTGTTCGGTAAGATCGTGTTCGAAAGTTCGTGCTCGCTCGTTGATGCTTTCGAGTTCGTCTTCTAGCCGTCGAGCCTTCGAGTTGACTTCTCTAGCTTTGCGTCTGACATCAGATTCTCTCTTTGCTGTTTCGTCGCGGTCTTTCTCAAGCGCCACAAGACGGGACGTCAAAGTGGTCTCAATACCCTGCCAATTTTCCGAGGCGAGCGAGTACTGGGTTTGCAAAGTCTCGATCTGTCGAAGGAGCTTAGCTTGAGAATCACCTGTCGCTGAATAAGTAGCTTCTTCAGTTCGGCTACGGAGAAGTTCGAGTTTGGACTCAAGATTCTAGAATCATTATTAGCCCGCGTTGTTGCTAGGGTCGTTTGATGGAGTCTTACAGCAATCTCGCCGCGCAACTCAAGCTCGGCCAGTTGTGCTTTCTCCTGTTGTCTCTTCGTCTCCTCGCGTGATGCCTGGAGCTCGCGCTTTGCTCGATCCTCCGCAAGCTTCTTCTCAATTCGAATATTCTCCATGTCCTCCTTAAGCGAGGCAGTAGCCCGCTTCTCCGCTTCCAGTGCTCCCGTCTGCACCCTCTTTTCTGCGTCTTCTGCTCGCGAAAGTGCATCATTCAATTGCTTTCGAAGCTCAGAAATGGTTAACCCAGCCTCCTCGTGTTCGGCTCTTATGGCGTCGAAGTCCTTTTCAATCTTGCCCACGATCTTCAATTTTTCTTGTGCAGACTTCTCAGCAGCTTCTGCCCGTTTTGCCCTTTCCGACTGTTCTGTGATACCTTTTTCTGCCTTAGTAAGCCGTTGTTTTAGAGTGGCAATGTTCTTGCTCTGTTCAATTGTCTTGGCGCGCATCTGCTTTATGGTTGTCAGGTGCTTCAGTTCGGACTTTGAGAGCTTTTGTCCTTCCTCTATGAGTGCGGCCACCCGCGCATCCTTTTCTGCCATCTTCTTGTCGTCCGGTGTTGCCTCCGCATCTGACGACGTCGCTTTGGCAGATGCAGCAAGTTGCTGCGAAAGGTATATAACCTTTGACTGCAAAGCATCTATGCGCTCAAGGTGGGCATTGAGCTCGTCGCGATTGCCGCGGAGGGTCTCCTCGTATGTATTCTGGAGCAGAGATAGCTCCATTTTAAGCTCTTCCGGGTCTCTAGCAGCGCTTTCGCCAGATGGTACGGATACGGACACGTCCATCGACGATCGAGAGGGGTTGCTCTCGAACGACTGGCGTGGAGAGGACGCCTGTGGGGTAACAATCGATGGTATAAACATTGTAATGGGTGTTGATGCTGGCTGTTCAGCTACTATAGGTGGAGATGCTATTCGAGGGGAGACCACTGGCGCGGAGGCCTCTGTGGAGGGTCTCGGAGAGCCATCAGTCTTTGTGTCCTCGGTCGTTGTAGCCTCGTCTTCTTTGGCAGGTAGAGAGACCTCTATGCCTAGTTCCTCAGCCCTCGAGTCTATGCTTGACCGTCCCGTATCAGTGACAGCGATAATGACTGGGCTCGGTAATGCTGGGCTCTCCGGTCGTGAACCAAGATCCGACGAGGCCCTTGATTCTGCGCCCTTGCTCACAGCCTTCGCAAGACGGTCTTGTAATCGAGAGTTCGGCCTGCTTCGAGAGGAATTACGTGACACTTCTATAATGTTAGCTTCCAAGAACGCGCAATCCTAACGGTATGCCAATGTTACCCACCTGGCTCAACTGCAAGCTTCTTGTCCACTGTGGACTTCTCAGGGGCGTCTTGTTTCGCCGCGGCGTCTGATGCCCGCGCCTTTACATTTGCCGGATCATCTTCAGCCAGTATTGTGTCGAGACGGGACTCGAGGCCCGATATGGCACTATTCCACCAGCCCTTTCCGCTCATCTTGAGATTTCAATTGCCCCAAGGCTCCTTCTGATTATTTCTTCCTTGTAGGAGGAGCTTCGCGACTGATCACCGTGCACTTGTTCTCCGCCTGTGTTTGTTCATGGCTCGGGTCCGCTAAAGGCCAGATTGAGGTGTTGCTGGTGGTACCCCAAATGTAAGGTTTCGCGGGGAGGCGCAGCGCGAGACGATTGACAGGCCCCCAATACGGGCAATGCAGCCTCCGCAGTTCGTCGCAGGTTTTCGATGACTCTGGAATGTCTAGCAGCTACAGAGCCGTCTTGTAATTGGTGTCGTGGCCTCAGGAAGCCGCGCAAGCCTTGAGATTGCTGGCGCACTGCCAAACAGGCCGAGGCCCGTGCGACTCGGATCCTCCACGCTGACGCAACATGTTTCCCGTATCAAAACGTAACCGCAAGCGGAGAGCGGACAATTTGCTCACGTATCGTATGGGTTGCAAGACCAGTTGGCATGAATAGTGTGAAGCCCTTCCACTCCATAAATAATTTAGGGTATATCTTAAGACTCGCGGCGGATCTCGTCATGTTTTTACCCAACTTAGCCTAGCCATTCTGGTGCCATGGCTATCCGTGACGACGTGATTTGCTGTTCTATACCCTACAACGACGTCGGACACTTACTGGAACTCTATGAAAGTACTAAAAATGCCTTTAGCAGTAAGTTTGTTCTCGTTAAAGTTAAGATCTTTCTTCCTTACAAGACAACTTCATCATTTTGCCTACTTGGTCTCAACCCTCATCTCATAGAAATACTTTATACAGTACCCGGCTGTGTTATCAGAGAAGGTGTAGTGTTTCTAGGAACTCATGTCTATCTTATCATTATAGTAGACCTAATGGACTTCTGAGGTTCGTTTCAAGGATCTAATTGCGCCCACAGACACACCATTGACAGCCATACACATACTAACGCCTAGCTTCAGGCAGTCGGACAAATCCGCTCTACAGCCTCAATAGCTCACAACCTAAGCCAATGTCAGAAGCTCGTGCAAAGAGCAAAAGAAGCCGGCGCAAAGGCACTCTTCCTCCCAGAAGCGTCTGACTACATCGCAATAAACGGAAACCACCTCTGTAAATCCGTCGAGGAGTCCGACTTCGTCCTCGGTCTACAGCGAGAAGCAAAAAGGTACAGTCTACCCATCAACGTCGGCGTCCACGAACCTGCCGCAGACCAAAAAGTAAAGAATACATCGCTATGGATCGACGAAACCGGTTCCATCACGCAGAGATACCAAAAACTGCATCTCTTTGACGTCGACATCAAGAACGGCCCTCAGCTCAAAGAATCAAACAGCGTGGAGCGCGGAAAAGAGATTCTAGCGCCCTTTGCCACGCCCGTCGGCTCGGTGGGGCTACAGATTTGTTTCGACCTGCGCTTTCCCGAACCCGCCCTGGCCCTTCGAGCGCGCGGTGCTCAAATCTTGACCTATCCATCTGCATTCACAGTCCCAACAGGAAATGCGGGGCATTGGGAGATTCTCTTGCGAGCACGCGCGATCGAAACGCAGAGCTATGTTGTTGCGGCTGCGCAAGTGGGCGTGCATGATGAAGAGGGGAAGAGGAGGAGTTACGGTCATAGTATGATTGTTGATCCATGGGGGAAGATCATCGCGGAATTGGGTGGCGAAGATGATGACAAGGGTCGGGGGTTGAATGAGGGTGAGATTGCACTTGCGGAGATTGACTTAGAGAATTTGGAAAAGGTTAGACGGGAGGTTCCGCTTATAAGGAGAACGGATGTGTATCCTGAAATTGTCTGAGGCTGAGGGTATGTGAACACATCCGCACATTACTTTGGATGCTTGCTCGTAAGGAAACTATCTACAACATTTACAAGAGATGCTCTTCAGCACAATGCATTTGTGACTAACCGGATAATATAGAAACATGAACCACTTGAGCCGTAGTGCCGAGCGAATAGTCTACCAGCAAGCCGTGCCTGTTATGTAGATCGTAAGTCTATAACCTATATTTTGAGACACACTGTACATTGTATTATCCAGGTCCAGTCTCAGCATCTAGCCAACACCGACATCTTGCTTGCCGCTCCCCAAGAATGGAATGAATGTGGAGCAGTAGGACTACCCATCCCCATCCACGAAAGTCAAATCGAGTCCCCCCAACAACCGCGCCTTTCCCATAAGATCCAAATACGCAAGCGAATGATCTTTTTTATCGGTGTTTTGCTCGATCTTCGACTCGACCTCTTCCAAAGGACAGCCCATCAGCTCTGCCAACCTCTCTAGGAGAGTCGTAAACAGACTCCTGCCATTGGCTCCTGGTTCCTTGTGAGGCCCCTGAGTCCTTGGTGGCTCGAACTCTCCTACGCCATCACCCCAACACGGCCAGTCCCAGTCGTGAGTTCCATGATCGTGGTAGCAGTTCAATAGTGTCGTCTCAGCATCGGACGTGCTGTGATCGAGCAGCATATCACTGAGAAATTGCGCGCCGATGTTGAGTGTAGCTTCAGCGAAACAGAATTCGAGCTCATTGCGCAGAGAGATCTGATTAGCGTCCATGAAGCGGCCATATACACTTTGATGAATCCAGCCTGAGCCATGGTAGCGGGCTGATAAAATGGCGTGATGGATGGCGAGATAAATGGCCGTCAGGGGGTCGCGCTGAAGAGACTTAATGTACGTGAGTTTGGCATTGTGGTCCTCTATTGTAGTATTAGCGCTGTACATTCAAATCAAAGCAAGAGCAAATAGCTCACCAAATCTTCTGAGTCGATAGAGCAGTATCAGGCCTGTATAGACAAGAGTAGCGTTATGCCGCTCCACCGCAAAACAGTTCTTGTCGGAGGAAAGCGCACCCATAACGTCATCTATAACGTCGTATCTCTTTACGCATTGCGCAAGCCAGTTGAGACCGATACCTCCATCGCATGGGAAATCTGTTGGCGCATGTCGAAGTTCTTTGCCAATAAAGCTCCTGGTAATTGAGCGCTCGTAGATGCCAAGAAGATCTCTAAACCGTGGATGGGTGCTGCGCAGAATGGCAATTATTTTTCCACTGCCGAATGGGAGATGTTGGATAATCTTGAGAAGTAGCTCCGACGGAAAGCGCGGAGAGACCAAGAATTGGTGGTGTGGAAGTGGACCTGGGCTAGCCATACTGACTTATGTTCTGGGATTTATCGGTGAACTTAAGGAAACGATCGTGTGGTATATACGGAGGATATCGAGGGGAAGACGAGGATAGACGAGTAGATGATGGGAAATTGGCCGCAGCGTCACTAGCAAGCGCGGTGTTGATCGTGACCTCTAGGTTTGAGGTAGGTGCAGCTTGAGGCCCTGTCGTTTTAAAACTAGCATGGGGCGGTGTTCAGCGCGCATTCTTTGTTAAATATATAATTTCGAGGTGTGAATACCATGATGGTCGATATTTAGTACCATGGGAGAACGATGATGAGGGTTGGAACCATGGTTGGCGACCGTTTCGACCTATCCTGGAAGAATTAATGTAATTACAAACATCTCCGCACTCAAAGTACTTTCACAGAACCAGGGATAGCTCAACTAGGGCGTAGGCGCTTTGGAAATTCTCTTAATACCCTGATGGATGACGACGCAACCAATCGAGTACCGTGATGGCTGGATGACATCGCTGGTCAACAGGCACTGGGAGTGAAAGTAGTGACGCCGTTTGACCCTGGATGTGAATACTGGACAGTTGTTTGCGACACGCTTGCAGAAGCGTCATGCTTCAAGTAGAGGCGAGTGGGCACGCGCATGTCAAGGCGTAGGAGGTATGAAGCAGCGAACGTCAGCTAGTCTTCGCAATCGAGAACTCGGGCTGCAGCGACATCATGTGCTGGAAGTATGTTTGGGTAATGCAGGTGGTCATTACCAGAGCGATGGCACTCAGTGTCGGAGGTGAGACTATACAGACAGTGAGGCTAGAAGTGACGTTCGCCACGGACCCACGACAGCTAGCGCAGGTACCCCACATCCACTATAGACGATGTGTAGTTGAAGAAGTTGATAGTGCTTATGTAGAATCTGCCGTAGCAAAATTGTGGTTGTTCAATCACGGCTCGCCAAGTATGCCTACTCAGGTCGAAGCCCGCTGTTTATTGGGTCCTCTGCTCCAAAACGCCGCGGTGGGATCTGCCTAGTCCGCACCTATTTCTTGATCCTGATCACTGCCTCTTCTACCTTCCAATATCCTTGCGTCATATCCCAAGATAGTACTTGCCCCGTTCATAGGCATAGAAGCTCACCGCCGCCATAGGTACCACTTTGACATATCCAATCGTCAACCCGACGAAGAAACCCCTATATCCCTGTTCAAGATATATCCTCTTCGCTACCTCGGCGATACTGAGGCGATGTCCATCACCGACTACACCGCCGACCTGCATACGCCGCCTGATTACTTCTAGTGGGTATGAGACGGTTTGTGAAACCAAGCCTGCGATTCCACCCGAGCTGAGCTCCGCCCAGTACCGCAGCTGTGCAGGCTTGTGGGATGTAGTTGTGCTTTCTTCACGAGAAGTGTGTGGTAATGTAGTGTAGGGAGCGAGAACTGGGAACCGCATCAAATCAGACATTGAATCGTGTGCCAGAAAAGATGCCCCTGCGTAGGGGATCATGCCGAGAAGCGTGGGCGTGAATCCGCGAAAGAAGTTTGGAAGACCCGATCGGGGGGTCACCTTTTCAACAACATGCGTCGCTGTTGCTGCCACAGCGTTCGTAGGGTTATGTGATATCGGAGGTGGCTGTTCTGAGTAGATTTTCCTTACTATCGAGCGTAGATTGCTCTTGTGTTCCACTCTCGTCTCGAAAGCTAACCGGACTCTTATAACCTCCAAGGGATAGGTGAGAAAGACACTCATCATACCCGCCAAACTGCCGCTAGCGAACCTCCTGACCGAGGTCTCCTGTGCCTTGTTCTTGATCACTCGCGCGCGTATTTGCTCGTATGCAAGAAATTTAATGCCGGCATATGGAAAGATACGAAGAAGGGTAGCGGAGTGGCCTTTGAACAGGCCTGTGAAGCCGGCGGTGGCGTATATGTCGCGGATTGCGGTAGGAAACCCGGACCATGAGCCTGCGTATTTGGCGAACTGGGGATTATGGGTTTGGAAGAGGATTTTGACGCGGTCAAGGGGGCCTACTACAGTTTTCGCCTGCCCATGAAATATTAGCAGTATCCTGAGAGATGTATATGTGCCACCGTTCTCGTAACTTGGGCCAAAGAGAGGCAATAATGTACTTACAACACACCCGGCGAACCCTCCCGCAAGCCCGCTCTTTATGAGATACTCCGGGCTCTTCTTGTCCAACTTCTTCCTCCTGCTGTCCTCCATATCCACATGCTGACCCTTCTTCGCGGGCAAGACTGCGTCATGGGCCGTTGTCATGATCTTCGTGTTGATTCCAGAATCGTCATGGCGGATGATGTGCGTGGACATCCCAGGTTCTGCGTGGATGTACACTATCGCGACATGAGGCCGTTTGTACTAGTGATGCGACAGTGAGCTTGCGACCGTAAGGAGTCTTCAGATGCGCTCTGGAGTGTTTGGCCGTCGTGTGTGGATTAGAAAGCGGCAAATGTGTGTGGTCGAGATTCTGGTTGGCGGCCATGACGTTGCCTCGGCTTTGAATCTGTTTCCGGCCGGCACAACACAGCGAGGCAAGAACGACTCCCGCTGCTACCCTCCCGGATACCTTTTCCACCACCAACGCCAGCATTCAACGGGCGTGCTATATTCAATCTTCACTGCAAATCTCAAAGGCGAAGTGTGTAATCGAAGAGGTCTTGGGTTATGGGCTGTGTCTATTGATGAGATACTTGAACCACCGCCGTGCGGACTAGACGTGACATAGAGGCTATCTACGCATAGCGACTCGGTAGGTCATTGTTCATGTCTATCCGTCTCAGTCCATCTCTCCTCATCTCGTCCAACATCTACTATCGCCATGGCGTACGCGGATCCATCAGCTGCGCGAAGCACTCCCTGGCCTGCCGTCATCTACCAGAATGCGGAACGCGACATCATCCTAATCGACATACCCACGTCAATCGCAGCCGCTCAAGGACGCTCGGATATTCTTCTATCTACCCCACCGCTGGAAGTCCCAATTGAACCAAAGGAGGAGTACCGGCCGAAGGCATCGAGAATGAGAATGACGCAGACGCCCGACTTCGCGCAGCATGAAGAGTACAAAGCCCTCATCGAGCAAGCACTTGCCGAGATTCGCACCCATGTTTCAAGCCCCTGGTGTGCACCACGGAAGTTCCTAGCCCAAGCACCACATCGTAGGTACGAGGACCTAGCAGTCGATCATCCAGAAAAGGAGCTAGAGTCCCGACTGAGGGAGTGGGCCGCATGGAGGGAAAGTAAGGGAGACAATACTGCGTTCGATCTGCAGAAGATGATGGCTTCGCTCGGTGCGACATCCGAGTACGAGGCCATGGCTGCAGATGCAGTTACACAGACGTGGATGGTGTCGTACCGCCCTGCACGTGAGGCCATGAACGGTGCACAGGCCGCCGAAACGGTCGCCCATGCGCAGAGTGAACCATGGACGTCTACCTTTCACAATCCAGAAGACCTCTCCCTGGAGCTGGCTATTTCTCGACAAGCTCAGCTGGGTCAAGAGTATCGTTTCACAATCCCACCTCGGTCCACTCTCTTTCTTAGTGATTCCACGCACTCGGATGCCTTCCGTACCTCGTTTCGTCAGCTAACAGACGAGTACACGCTTCCACGACACTTTGATCTAGTATTGCTGGATCCTCCCTGGCCCAATCGTTCTGCCAAGCGGAAGGGCGCCTACGAACAATGTGGAGGGGTGCCGTATCTGAAGAAAATGCTGCTTAGAATGGACATTGATAGCTACCTGGAGCACAACGCTCTGGTGGGCATTTGGATTACGAACAAGAAGTCGCTGAGAGAGCATGTGCTAGGCCCAGGTGGTCTGTTTGAGACATGGAATGTGGGTCTGATTGAGGAGTGGATATGGATCAAGACGACGACCAAAGGCGAGCCCATGTTTGACATTGACGACCCGATGCGAAAGCCGTATGAAGTCATGCTCCTGGGGCGGGCAGCTCCTAGTAACTGGACAACAATGCAACACTCGCCATCCGTCAAGAGGCGAGTTATCGTGGCTGTACCGGATATCCACTCACGAAAACCGTGCCTAAAGGAGTTGCTTGAGCCATATATGCGGGACCCGAAGGACTACAGCGCGCTTGAAATCTTCTCAAGATATCTCGTGGCCGGGTGGACGTCTTGGGGTAACGAGGCACTGAAGTACAACTGGGACAAGTATTGGGCAGCAAATGTTTTAGGCCAGAGTGCTTCGGAACAAACGTTGCCCATACGAAGCATCTGACGCGGTCGATGCCGAGTTGGGAAAAAAGGCCGTGGCATGGACAATCTCTCTTTGCCCGTAAATCAAACATAATAATCAAACGTGCTTAACAATGAAACATTCAAGTCCAACGATATGCCTGACTCCCTTTGTACACACACATGTTCAACACCGATTTACACGTGCAAACCTCACATGGAGACACTGCAGTATTGCACGATCTCGAAACATCTTGTTTGTAATACAGTGTATTGGTAGAACAGACGATCCCATCTGCTGACATGCGTGGGTGTGTGAGAAGTAGAGTGGAGCCGCGGCACCAAGTATCAAGGCGTGGGGTAAAAAGTGGGCAAAGCGCTTCGCAACGCCACGGGATGGGACGGAGAGGGCCTCCCAGGCGCAGCAGCCTCTCACAGCAGGGGGCAGACTCACTCACATGTGCACTGCATACATATCCATGACTGGTTGGGAGTGCTGGGTGGCTGGATCGCTGTTCTCCGCTGCTAAACTACTTGCTTGTGACTTCTTCTGTCTGGAACGTATTGCCCCGCGTGGGCTACCCAACTGACACGTCCGAAGCCGCAACACCACAGGCCTATCAAACCGCAACGCAGACGACGACTCATTTCAGGGCAGCCGCTGGTCGCGGTCACAATTCGCTCGCGGCGAGAATGCGAGTATTCCAACGGATCAAGGCGGGTCGTCGTGTGGTGTGTGTCTGATGACTCCTCTCTTCTCTTCTCCGAGCCTTTCCCTTATGATTATTCAATATAGTGATCGTAGCGGATTATGGTTACATTTGCCAACTCACCCCCTCTCTCTCTCTCTCATTCCTAGGCCTGATTACACATGATAGTCAATAAAGTCTAGAAGGATTGCGATCAGCAGTCGTGCATGTCGTCGCTCGTCGCACAGCGTACGTACAGCGCACGGCAATAACGGTCAACCCGCTGTCGGGATGGCGATGGCGTGCGCTGGTTGGAAGTGACAGCTCAGGAATCAGGATACCTAGAAACAACGCAGCGCTGCACGCTCTCACCGCTACTAGGAACGTTTCTGCGTTATTGCTGTGTGGAAGCACCGGTGGGACGGCGCGGATGAGAATGACTGTTATCGTTGTATACCTAGAGAAGCCTATGGGTAGAGAGAGGTGCGGTAGTTGTGTGGTGCGTAGAGTACAATGACGAGCTGTTGAAGCTGAGTGGCAAGGCGGTTCTGTCGTGAACACATCTCGTACATCCCGACTGCCTCAGGTGAGTAATTGAGTTGTCCGGAACGAGCAGTCGTCGCGGTGTTGTATGCGTGAAATATTGTCGCAGCTTCTTCAGCGTGAGCGTGAGAAAGACCGGAGTCGCTTTGCGTGACAGCTGTCAGAACCAGCTCCATTGCATATCCCCACCCCAGGACTCCCTTGCAGTTCACCATCGACGTGCGGGGGACATGGGTCCTGCCTGGACGCGAAGACTCGGAGCCTTATCGCGGCGTCCACGGCCACCTGTGTTCACTGATGAATAATTCTTGGAGTTGAGAGAGCCTAGACGGAGTATTTTTGCCACGGAAGAATATCCACCGAATGCAAATGCACAGTGCTTCTAGCGCGTATACATAGTGTGGGAGTAATGATTAACCACAGGGTACATGATTGCGAGTACCAAGCTGAGCAGTCTGGGCAGCCTGTGCGGTTGCATTCCCCAAGTAGGAAAGTAGATAAACGCCCCATTCACAGTCTCTACCTGCGACACGAAGAAGAAAAAGTTTGAATAGAAATTTACTTTTCTCTAGATCTACTTCATGCATGCATGCAAAGTGATGCAATCCAAACCTCTACCCGGCCGGGAACTCGCCAATCTTACCATGCTGGACCAGACTAGAAAGTGGAGAGGAAGAAAGTTTCTGCGAAGAATCTCCGCAATCTTTTCCCAAATCTTATCCGCGGTCTTAGGGCTGTCTGTCTCCACTCTGTGCCGACGATACCCCAGCGCAGAAAATTTGGCACCCTGCCCTAGCTTTTGGCTCCACTTTGTTCCCATCCATTCTTCTGTACCGAATGCGTTAGCGCAGCCGAGTACCCGACTGAGAGATCCACGTGGGAAGCCTCACTGAGATGTGGAGAACCTCGGACACTTGGACCCCGAATTCCACTACAATCATGTACAGAATGTAGGAAACTCAGCCGCTGGAAGAAGCGATACCCGATGATAACAGAACAGCATTTTTGTTGGTAGCGAAGCAGAGCCTGCAACCGTGACGGCGCTGCGCATCTATAAGGTTTGGCTGGTAGCGGCAAAGTTGCCCATTTTATGTATGCGAACGCGTGTTTGCGCACAAGATGGGAGATGCATTCCTCAACCTACTTGACAGATGTCGCAACGATGCTTCCGCCGCCCCTGCATGTGTGGCGTGGAAATAAACCTTCATCCCAAATTATCCCTTGCCTTTTCGAGAATTGACTTTCAGCAACTCGCCTTGCTAAACTATGTAATGTGGCATCGCGGAAGAGATGACCCTTTTAGGTGCACTGTCCTTGGGGTGAAGACTTCGATAGGAGGTGCACGGGCGTGTTCTAGCGGTTGCGCTCTTCGTATGGAAGAAAGGGAGAAGCTTCCACAGCCAGGGCTGAAGCCTAATCTCGTCGAGCGCAGACATTTATGAACCCCAGATTTACACTCGGACCGCAGCAGGCAGGCAGAACGGTTGTTATAAACTTAGGCAGGCACAGATACGCATAAATAGAGCACGGACATTTGCGTCGGCTGAACATGGCCATGAAAGTATTTTCGAGGCTGATTTCTGGCACTCCGTTCCCTTTACGGCATATGGAGAAAGGGCCCTATGTAAGAGAAGGGGCGCATGATGCGAACGGGAGGGTGTGATGACTGCATTGTGCCCGTGGATTATCGATCTCTACTCAGCCTTGCAGATGCTGCGGTAAGCTGTAAGCTGTAAGATGTCAAGTTGTACAGAGGGCGTATATCGGATTTGGATCATGACGGTTGCTGGAGTATTCTTGTATCACGGATCCGCACCGGATGTGACGCCGACTCCAGCACGCCGTAAAGCCGGGTAAGTATAGTCGGACGCCCGGAATGTGTATTATGTACTTCTATCCCAAGTAAAAAGGTATCTTGCTGGAGAGATGGTAAGGGATGCTACCTTGGTCCACAGTCTGGCAGTAGCCAGTCCGCTGTGTCGTGATAATACGGAGGCTAGAGATTGTGTCGGAGACTAGACCCTGAGATCATCCTGAAGTGCATGTGAAGGAGCTAATGTACCCCAGGTTACTGGCTAAAGCTCGACTCGAAGGAGGAACTAGCCCGGCTGATTTCCGCAGCTTCTCCGAAACGGCGGGGCTTTTAGGCTTCAAGAGGGTTTACGAGTCGTTTCGTTTCAGCTTCATGCGTGGCGATCGTGTTGTCCAGAGCCCTGCAACGCCCGCCCTGTGAGTGGATTGGCAGGATAGGCTGCCACTCTGCGACACGCAAATCAAGGCAGCAGACACTGAACAGCTGGCCAACATGAAAGCCACGACACGTATAGGCGTCGTCGACTTATTAGTTATTAGTGACCACCAAACAATAGTCAGGCGGAGCAGCGGAATGGGAATCCGAGGGCGGACGGGAGGTGAAATCCGCAACAGGAAAGGATTCCGGCGGATGAATGCGTGGGGAGCTTCCTTCCCACGATCCCCGAGATGACGATCCTAGACCAAAGCTTACTGCTCGATTAGTGAAATTTAGTGTATAGGGCGAATCTTATCCGAGCAGCCATTTCGCGGATGCGGGCGTGGCGCGAATGAGTCGTGGGGGGCGTAGGCGCTGTCACAGTGACATGCCTGGCCCAGGAGCGTTTACAGGATTATGAAGCGAGTTGTGACTCAGTGACTCAGGGTGAAGGCTCAGGGTGAAGGTTTAGGTGACGAGGCAGCATCCAGCGTGTCGGTGGCAGTGGCGGCTACGAGCAAGACAACAACAGAAGACGGTGACGAGTCATCGTAGCAATTCGCAGGCGCGCAAGGTGACAGGGCCAGGAGTGTTGCCATGTTACACCCTTCGGGCAGCGGAGCAGACGGGGCTGACGGCAGAGGAGCCAGAAATGGGCGCCATTTGAATGGCGGTCTGGGCGGGGCCAACCACAGGGCGCCCTTCGCAAAGAGCGGTCGCTCACCGACTCACTCCAAAAGGCAAATCAGAGGGCGCCAGATGAAAGCGTCTCATGCGGACCGGAGCGCGGCGTGGAGAAGCAAATTCTCGACGGAAGATATAATGAGTGCGCTGTGACCACGATCCGCCAGTCCCACGCCTCGGACTATTCATATGATCAATCTCATCTCCTGCTTCGAGACACAAGATTTGCTTCTGACTGACTCGGACTCCTGACCCCCTTCCCCTTCCCCTCCCCTCCGGAACAGGCCCCCCCCGTGGCTTGTTGCTTTGCTACATTATTTATCTACCACTGCCCACCCCTTCGGCCGTCTTGAGCCCTAAACATTTATCGATCGTACATTCCCGGCTGCTTTTCGAGACCAGGGACGCGCTACCCGCTTTGGCTCGGCAACACCCTGTTTTCGGACCCGCACCCGCACCCAGCGTCATACCTCATAGCTGCTTTGCGCCTCGGTTGACCTGCCCGGCCGCTAAACAGTGAATTACCATACCACCCGCGGTCAAGTGTGTATATACACTGAGGGACCCACCCCAGTCTGCTATCTCAAAATTCAAAATGCATTTCGAACTATCGCCCGGCTCCTCGCCCTCCAAGTCGATTCCTATCAGCACTTCGCCTAGGACCATGGCTTCTCCCACCGAGTCCCTCTACAGCAACTACTCTTGCGAGTCGAGCTCACGCCGTGGCTCCTCGTGCGCTTACCCATCATGGCCGACAGGGCCCTCGCTCGAGTACCGCGGCACGCCTTCATCCTACATCAGTGACGCCGACCTGTTTGGCGAGGACTTTGACGACGAGTTCTCCAGCCCATTTCTCCAGGAAGCCCCAGCGCCACCACGAGTGCCACCCATGACGCAGGCATTCCCCGTCTTGCCACCACTCTACGCACCCAAGAAGCCCAAGAGCGAGCGCCGTCGCAGCAGCGGCCGCAAGCAGCGCCGCACTTCGAAGCCCATGACTCCCATTGCCGAGTCACCAGAGCAAGTCGAGTGAATGAGCATCATCATCATCACGAAAGCTGAAGAATATTCTTCGCGTTAATGTAAGTCCATCACAAACACGCCGAATCGCGTCGCAATACTAACGAGGTTCTCCAGTAATATTTTGACCTAAGCGTCACTTGGAAGCGCGCGCGTTGTTGACGCGCTATCGCCAAAGTGGCTGGTCACATGAGATGCCACCCACACAACAACCCCACGGGCGCTCCCTCAAGGTTGATCAACGCTCATGTCACATCGGCCGTCATGTTGACTTTGACTTTGCCGCGCATAGCGCCTACCACGGTACATCCTCTTGCATACTGAAGTACCGTGGGTGTTTGCGAGATGCAACAGTCAGCACCATGGCCGTAGGTCACAGTCACTGTTGCATCCCGCCGCCTGTCAACGGCATGGGTCACCAAGACTCAAGACATCGCTAGTCGTGGTCATCATCACCACGCGACGGCGTGCGGGCGCACACTTTACGACTGCGCCAACGGTCGCGAATGTCAACTGCGTCTAGACTGCACGTCCTCTGCAGGGTGCATCTAGACTGGACGATCATGAGGTCTGGGGAGTCTGGATTTTTGCAGCGATTTTTTATTATTACGCGGGAAGCATTGCGATGGGAAACGGATGGGATTGGCGGAAGCATTGTGATTGTTTTTGGGCATTTGCAGGCGTTTTGCGACTCGGCATCGATACCCCCCCCCCCCGCTCCGCACATCGGACGGGATACTGCTGCATTGGCACTATTTACGCATGAAGTGAGGCTTATGAGGCGTACTCGTGGCTGAAGCACATTTCCTAATTGATACCCCCCCCATGTTGAGATACCCCACTGAATATCAATACTTTACTTTACTTTAAGACGTCCCTTCGTTCGGTCCCTTTCTGATTGTCGTGACCAAGACTGTGACGAGATGTGACGGACGTTTTAGTGCTGTTGTGCGTGATTGTTGAGAAGTGAGGCGCTCTCCTTTTGGTCAGTACTGGTAATCCCTCGACACTATTCTAAACAACGACAACGACTTGACCAGTTTAGTTCGCAGGTGTATAAGCGGGGGCAGCCCTGGAAAGGAGGTTTTGATCATCTCTCCAGACTACCTGCGTTCATGATTGATCAGATACCTCGCACCAACATGAACCAAGACAAAAGCCACCCCGTAACCCGTCCTGTAGTGAAAGCCACAAATAAGCTTCTTCGCACACGAGAGTCCTGGTAAGCGAAGAAAGCGGGGGTAGTTCCGCCCGTTGCTCTGTCGACTCTTTCCCGTTTTTTTCTGCACGCGTCCGGATATTGGTGCAGGCTCTGTATCACGGTTGGTCAGACGCTGGGTCAGACTACCGATGCATCAGTCTCAGGTTGAGTATGGGCAGAAGAGTGCAAAGCATGCGATTTGCGCGGTACAAACTGTGCCCTCCCTCGCAGCACCATGATTTGCGGCCCATCGTGGGGAGTGAGGAGAGGGGGGGGTCACCAAATGGGTGGCTGGTTTGTCGGTGTAGCGAAGCAAGGATCAGGCTTTAGTGCCGGCGCTTGGGAGGGGGTCAAGATTGTGAACAATACACAGGATGCAGCATTGTGTGCTGGACGTGAGAGCAGTCTCTGTGATACTGTTGGATAGTGTAGGACTTGTTGAGGGGTAAGTTGGCGCAATGGGAGCGCGCTCTTATAGTGTTGCTTCATGCTCAGCCAGGCACCTCGGTATATTCGTTATCACTAGCAATGCAATCAATCTATCACGACCGGGGAAGAGCGCGGTCGGCTCCCAGTGGCAGATGGAACGAAGCTTGTTAGTTTTAGATACTGCTGCTGTGCTGAAGCTGACTGACTGACGGGGGGGAGGTGCGTGCGGAAGAAGAGAATTGGTTGTGTTCCCATGGCGAGCCCAAGCACCATGTCTCCAGAAGCGTTGCTCCACAGCGCGCACGCTACCTCGCTGTACTCGTTGGTTCCTGGAGCTAGGGTTCGCATATGTGCGTGTCGACAGATTGGTCGGGGAGGGGGCTGCAACACGTTGGGAAGCACGGCGATACAAGCACCTGGGTCAGGCTGAAGGTCGGAATATCCATGCAACGGGTAGCTCCACGTCATGCGCGAGGTTGTGATGCATCGTTCGGGTCGGGATGGACCGCGCTGCGGGATGGGAGGAGAGCGTTTTCTGCCTGATGAGAAGCTTTGGGCACGAATCGACGGGAGTGCTCTTCTACTTCTAATGGAGTCAGGATCTCTATGACTCCATCACAGTAGACTGATTGAGTGGCTGCGAAGATGATACGAGTAGACTGAGAATCATCACCATATGGGGACAGCGTGAGCGCGAAGAGGCCAGAGATATACCTGCGGCTGCGGAGGAATTGCAAGAGACAGGATGTGAGCATGTATGAATGAATGAAGCGATGATCCCTGGGCCCCGTTGTCCTAGGCGTCGTCCTAGGGGGGGAGGGAGATGCTGCTGCGCATCTTGATACGCTGTCGCGGGCGTGATAGTGTGATTGTTTGTGCCGCAGCACATGGTCCCGTCCAATCAGCGCTGAGACATCATGTGCCCTTCTCTTCCCCCCCAGTCTTCCGCATCGTCGTCGCTGTGCGCTACGAGGCGTTTGAGAGGCCGCTTCATCTTGCTCCAACGCAGGCACCGCTTGTTTTCGGCGCCAATCTAACCATTCGTGTCTCGTGCCACCGTCTTGGCCGCCAGCATGCACGTCGACCTCTGCTTCGTTCGTCGAGTCCCCAAAGTCCAAGTCGAGCTTTCACAGCGCCCAGCAAATGAGCTTGCTCCAACCCAAACCCCCCCCCAGCCCGTTGACGCCTCTTTCTCTCAGGCCTGCTGCCCGCTGGCTAGTAGACGGGCGCTGGCCGTGCTTTCGTCGTCCGTCCTATTCTGAGCCATCATGGTCGCTCTCTCTCCCAAGCTAAGCGCCCGACCTTGATAGGCGGGATGTGCCCACGCGCATCAACTCACACTTCGTCCGCGCTTCTGCTGCTGCTGCTGCTTTTTCTCTCCCTCCTCTCTGTCTTGCCTTGTCAGTCGGTCTTTTCAGCTGCACGTTGTTGTACCGCCGCAGATTCAAAGCGGTACTGCACCTCTTGTTTAACCGCCAACGCCCGAATCCTAGTAGTCGCAGGCCAGGTGGGGCGAGAGGTATACCGTCCCTCGACACGCCGTGGAGCTGTCAAGAAAGCCCACCACCCTTTTAGCGCGCTCTCTGCAGTGAGTTCCAATTCCCCTACTGTCCGACCGTTTCATCTTTGCTCTTCTGGAACGTCCTGATTGTCTTCGCGTTGCCCTTCTTCCACACCCTCTCCCCCTCGGAATGCGCTTCTGCGCCCTCTGTCGAATCCGACCCGACTGACCACCAACCACCATACAGGTTCAGCGATCATGTCGACTGGATTAGGTAGGCAGCGCGCGAATTCATCGGCCAAAGGAAGCTCCGTCCGCACAAACGACGTCAAATTCAAACCACCAACGCCGGGACAAGACGAGTTCGCATTCGAGCCATGTGCCGCAACCGGCGCCTTCTTGCTTTGCGCCCAAGGCAATGAGATATTGTGTCTCCACCACGACACATTGGCCGTCGAGAGGCGCTTCACCCGGCACCGAGAAGATGTATCATGGATCTCGGTCGACACAATTAGTGAAAGAGGAGCTGGTCGTCTAGTCGTGTCGTACGACGCCGGATCTACTGCCATTGTATGGGATCTCCTCACCGGCGACGAGGTGGCGCGGTTTGCTTCGTACGAGCAGATCCGAGTTGCAACATGGATGAGGAACGGCAATGTTGCTTTTGGTGAGTTGTGACCTTGGAAGCAATCGCCACGGCCTTGTCAAGTGCTAACTCCGGCCCAGGTAATGCCCAGGGCAACATCATCCTGTTCGAGCCCTCTACCTCTGAACACCTTTCTGCGAGAACCATCTTCGACCCCATCACGGCATTAGCACCTGCTTCCGACTGCAGAACGTTTGCCATTGGGTGTGTACCCCCTGAGGAACAATGCCCGTAGACCCCTGAACAGCTGCTAACTCGACACAGCTATCTGAATGGCTCGATTTTAATAGCCACTCTGCAGCCCTCTTTCACCATTCTCCACACGCTAACCACCCCAAGAGCTCCTTCTCCTCTTACGGGGCTAGCTTGGCATGGGTCATCCTCCAAGCAAAAGTCTGAGATGTTGGGAGCCCAGACATCAGATGGAGATCTCAGGGTGTGGAGCGTTCCAAAAGCATCGCATGGTAGTGGCGATGCTCCCTGCGTAATTCGCGTCTTAAACCAAAAGGAGCAGCGTGAGCCAGGCCCTTGCTGGTTTGCTTGGTCCAAGAATGGGCGCATCATCCAGTATACGGAAGGGTACGTAACCGCACTTCACTTCCTGCGCACGTGATGGAGTTGCGATATACTGACGTCTTAATAGCCAAACCTGTGTGTGGGATGTACGCACCAAGAGAGTGTCTTACGAGTCCGTCCCGACCACAGATGGTGTTGCCGCTATCTGCAATTACGGGCCCACCGCGACCCTTTTCACCATTGGACGCAATTTCAGTATCCAACAATACGACCTCAACCCCAGCAATGGCCCGGCAACCATGGTCGCTAACGTTCAGCGGGCTCCTGCTAACACTCCTCCGTCTCCTCCCAGCTCCTTAGATGAACAGAAGAGGCAGATCGAGACACCCCTGACCGCTCACCCCATCAAAACAGTACCCCAGTTGTTTTCTGAATCTGAGAGTAGTGCTGATGAGGGCGCTGCCATGTCTCCTTTGCAGAAGATTGCACAAGAGATGGATCAGTTCGAAGAAGAACGCCGTGATCGCGTGGGCCCTCTGAGTCCCGTATCAAGTCGGGGCTCGCAGAGCTCACGATCTTCTGGCAGTGGCCGCGCCCCACGCTACCGTTATGACCGACCTTCGTATGGCTCAGTGCGGTCATCGAAGAGCTCAGGCGGTACCGGCACTATCTTCTCCTCTGGCACATCTTCACAGGCAGGCACCTCACGTGAGAGCATCTCCATTCGATCTACATCATCAGCCCAATCTTCCCGTTATGGGTCATCGGCTCTTCGTAAGGAGGTTCTAAGAAGCCCTGAGCAGCCAAAACGCGCCCAGAGCATGGATCTGTTCCCGTTTACAAAGGCCAGGCTGAGCGATGTCCCGTTCCGTCCCACAGATTTGGGACCTGAGCGGACCCCTGATGATCTTCGCCTTAACATGTTGAAGGTGATTTTTGGGTGGGACAATGACATTGACGAACTCATCCGAGACGAACGTAAGTCTTTACGACACGTCCTACTCACATAACTATATGCTTACGGACATAGTCGCACGTCACATCCCTGGTTCTGATGCAGCAGTCCTTCTCTCCAAATGGCTTGGCGACATAGGCGCTGATCTGATGGCGTCTATGGTTGGCTCCGAGTCGATGACTTCCTCTGATTGGATGTTGTTAGCTTTGAGTAACATGGGCCAGGGCTCGCAAAAGAAGGTGGGCGAAGCCTTTGTCCAGCGACTTCTTGAGAAGGGAGATATCCACCCCGCTGTTGCCATCTTCCTCGGACTCGGTGAACACAACGATGCCATCGAAGTCTACGTATCTCGAAAGTACTACATGGAAGCCATTCTGCTTACCTGCGTGACTTTCCCCACGGATTGGCAAAGACAATCTTTCCTCGTCAGGAAGTGGGGAGAACACGCCGTCTCCCATGGCAAGGCAGAACTAGCAGTGCGGTGCTTCTCTTGCATGGGTCTTGAAACCACGGAGCCTTGGTTTTCACCCCGAGCGCAAGATGCTGTCTTCTCTGCCCAGAAAATGGCACTGCTCGGCTCGCAGCTTAGCCCTCCACTTTCGCCTCCCAGTGTTGGAAGCAGTAGAGTTGCGGCTAGAATGGCTTCACTTAAACTAGTCACTGACTTCACTCGCGGACCTCAACCCAGGCAAATCGTCCGAGGAGACGAAGATGACAGGACTCCGATGAATGCTGGTGCTACGCCTATCGCCGAGTCTGCTCTGACTCCGGCTGCTGCTAACAGCTCTTGGCTTCGTGGCCGGGCTGCTCGTGACACTTCAGTAGAACCATCATCTGCACGGACTGCTACACCTGGTGCTTACACCAGTAGAAAGCGCCTTGCCTCCCGGTCGGATGCTGGTCGATCTACCACGAACAACGAGAACCTCGCCACGCTAGCAATCCCTGATCGAGGCCAGCGCATGGAGTCCCAATCAAGAACTGCTATTGATAATGTTGGGCGCGAAGCCGAGACTCTCCCATTTTCCACACGCCGGGCGACTACCACAGGCGGGTCTAAGGAGTTCGTTTTGTCTGCCGCAACTTTCGATCCTGCCAAGGCTAGTGAACACCTTCCCTCCCCAGCAGTCGGCGTTTTTGAGATTCTCAAAGAGAAACGAAACCTGTCGCGTACCAGTTCTCGGAGCCGAAAACCGCAAGAACTCCAACTGGAAACGCAGAACACCGTTGTGGAGCTGGGGCTAGACACCGGCTACAGTCAAAGATTGAGCCCACCACTGACGGGCGCAAGCCTCAAAAGCGCAAAGGCGCGCAGCATCGATCAATACATCAGCAGTCTAGAGGAGGCTAACCACCACGCGCAATCACAAAACCGCACCAGTTCTCGGAATGAAGAGAGGCCTGCTTCGCGTACGGCGAGGACACGCAGTCGTACCCGCGAAGAGTCTCAAAATCGTGGACGATCCGGCGTTCGCTACATTCGCCCTGCAAAACGCTCTCCATCCTCGCCTGTTCCCATGTCTCCAGAAGACGCTGGAATGTATGGATCTACTAGGAAGGAGGCCAGCACTAACACGGAAAACTTTGATGATGAGAGATTCTACAAGGTAGGCATGGCTTCCCCGGCCGTCACGGAATCTGTTGCGAGTACTCGCACTGCCCGAAGCCGAGCGCGACATGGTGCGAGTAAGGTCAGATCCTCATCCAAGGCAGCAACACGTCGTGCCGAGTCTCCTGAAGGCGCCGCGCGAGCCCGAAGCAGGGGCGCCAGTCGAGCTTCAAGTCGTCGCCCAGCCGAGGATCGCGGTCGAAGTGATATTCGCGGAGATCAATCGCCCGAGTCCCCACAGTCAATGCATCGTGATGAGTTCAATGGCGGGGCTCAATCCGAGCCAGGAGCTCCTCGTCATCGAAGCAGTAGCCGCCGACCACTAGATAGCGCTCGCCGGGAGCCCTCTCCTGAACGTCGCACGCCCCGGGATCGCTCCGTGAGTAGGAAGCCCCCATCTGGTCTGCGAGAGTCAAGCCGAACGCGCGTCAACACCGCGCGAGATGTTTCCCCAGACTCCTTGACTTCTGGTCGCTCGGGTCTGCCGCGTTTGCGACCGACCACTCTGACAAGGAAAGCCCTAGCTGCTCGAGAATTGGAACAACGTAGGCAATCATTAGCGAGACGACCTTCCGCTCCCGTTATTCCACACCCGGAGGATATCACTTTTCGACCCATGTCTCACGAGCGATCCCATACCGACGATATGCTAAGTAACCTTTCAATGTATCGGGATCCAATTCAACGAAGCCAGACGGCCGATCTGTCAATGTATAGGGACCCTATTTCTCGAAGCCAGACTGCAGACCCTGAGCTTTCGTCGAAGAGATATACGCCGACGGCTAGAATTAACGGTGGCGCCACATCTACCACCTCCGTCCCCATTGGGTTACCAGCAAATCCACGAGCCATGCGTCATCCTCGATATATGACGGCCGATCCGAGCGAGGAAGACGATATCCCTGCAGTGCCATCAATTCCCGACAATCTTCAGTATGTGCAGGAACCTCGAACTGCGCGAGAAGACGACCTTGGACCTCTGCTTCCCGCAACTACTTTTGGCCAGCCTATCGCGCCTCCTCCTCGCTCTATGTCGGCTCCTCCGCAAGATCTTCTCCCGCCCACGTATCCTACTATCGGCAGGCGTCCTTCCCTAGGCGGCTCGCGCGGCCACGCAAGACAGAACACGTCGCCTGAGATTCTGCCCCCAACCAACTACAAGCGCATAAGCCCACCGCCCTTCAGGTCCAGTATTGCCGAAACGATACACGAGAGCCAGGTGGTCATCATCGAGCAAGATGACAGTGCTCCTCCTATGCTGTCCCAACTGCAGCACTTGGCGACTCCACCGCCCCCACCTCCGCCGCCTCTAAACCTAAGCGGCATTGGTGCTCCAGGCGGCATCGGCATGATCAACATTGCTATCGAAGGCAGTCCCAGCGAGAAGCCTTCAGAGCCAGCATTCCCTTCCAACGCTTCAGCGACCAGCTCTCCCCATGCTCACCGCCGAGGACGTGGCAGTGTGAGCGAGAATCTGGGCATGACTTTCAAGCGAGTCACTGAGCGCATGCGAAGCACCAGTCGTGGACCCACCCGCGCCATATCGCCACCCAGCGCGCCCTACGAGAGTGTACCGGAATACTCGTTCCCTCGCGGTGGAAATGGCCGATCCCCACAAATGGAGAGTGGCAACCACGAATCGTACTTTAACAACCAGATTCCGCCTCCGCCACCACCTCCACCCATGCCTATGGAGCAGGTCATCCCGCCTGGCGACCAGTCTTTCTATAAGCACCCCAAGGAGCTCCGGGCGAATATGCCACCCCAGACACTCCAAGCCGGCGTCTACCAACCTGGCGCGACGCCCATGATCTAGGCCATATCCAGGCCTATTTTGCAGAAAATTATACTACATACCACTGAGACGACTATAACGAACCTTTTGCATCTTCAGCACCATCCTTTATACCCTCTTGATACCTTTTCGAAACCACGTCATCTTCGGCATTTATCATTGAGCGAATAGCATTCTGTTACCTTGTTAGTATCATTAGCGGGTTTTGTCATTGTCTTCTTCTTCTTATTCAACATGTCAAGACTCGGGAACTGGAAAATTAAGTCTTCCATGCGGCTTCGTCGTGTGTGTGGAAATATCGATACCCTTCCTCAACTTCCTTTTCTCGACTTCACATGTGCTCTCTCTATCTCTCTCCCCGGTGGGGCTTTGCAATGAATGGGATACATTGCGAGGGCTCTATCAGGGCGAGTGAGTTTTTTCTTGTCGGTAGCTTTGGCATTTTTATGGTTTTGCATTTTGTTTTTCTTGTTTGCATTCGGGGGATGATGGATTTATATCTGGTGTGTGGCTTTGGAAGAAAGGAACGATGTATGATGGTGCCACCGGGGTAATGCACGGCTTGACGAGATGAGGAAGGCAGCAGGAGGAGCCCAACACCGGGGAAACATTTCCACTTCTACGCAATGTACACGTTTCCATAATTGTTTATTTTTTTTTCTCTACTCCTTCGTTGGAAGGCATCTGTGTCTCTCTTGGAAGCTGCTTGTTCAACATGCTGTTGTGTCATGTTCCTGCCACTCCTTTCTGCTCGTTTACGCGATCGCTCGTTTTCCACCACCACCCAACACGCCCGCACTGGACCACACACACTCCCTCCCTCCCTCTACATTATTACCGCATTCTTACACCACACCAAACCACACAACATCCCATCTCACACCACTACCCATCAAATTGTCCTCTCTCCTTTCCTTTCCAAGTTTCTCAATTCGCGTCGGTAATGAACGGGCATATCAGAAAGGGATCTATTACATTATACCAAAGACAAGCGCCTCGCGGCTAAAAGTCAGTTTTCCTTACTAATTCTTCTTCTTCTTCATCTACACTCTTTTGACTTGTATTGGGGGAAATTGTTTGCTTGCTAGGG